GGGCGCCGGCGGGAGAAGCGAGGGGGCTGCCGAGCCCCGCTGGCCGCCCGCGGCGCCCAGGGCGCCGGCGGCCGCGCCGCTGCCGCCTCCCCCGGGGGCGCCTCGCTCCGCCATGGCCGAGGAGGAGCGCGACTTCCCCCTTCGGCCGCGCCGCGCGATCCGACTCCTGTTGCCCCGCGCGCTCCCGAGGAGGGGGCGGAGCGCGAGCCGAGGGGGCGGGGCTCCGAGGGGGCGGGGCGGGGGAGAAAAACAACGGAGGTTCAGTGGGCGCGAATACGCGTGACAGGACGCGGGGAGGGGCGGGCAGGTTTAACGGTTCTCGCGCGCTGATTGGTCCACACGACCTTTCGTCTTCTCTCTCTCGCGCGTGCGCCCCGGAGACTGCGACGGGGAGAGAGAGGGGGGGAAGGCTCTTGCCGAAGCGTGGATTGGCTGGAGGGAGCCTTCCCTCGCGCTCGGGGCAGGGCGAAAAGGCTCTCGCGCGCGGATTGGCCGCCCCGCCCTTCCCATGCCTTCCGTGGCGCGCGCGCTCGCCCGTCCTGAGGCGAAACCGCGAACTGAGGGGCGGATGAGGAGGGACGCAAAACCCCGCCAAGTTTGCCAGGGGATGAAATTCGCACCAGGGAACACCAGTATAAATCACACACCGTGTACGATTGAGTCAAAGAACCAAGTGCCGTGTTTTTACTGCAGTAAATTCGACCTGCCCCCCCTTGAAAAAGCGTATTTTGTGTGACGCAGAAGAACGTGCAGCTGCGAGGCCCACCCTCCCTGCAAGAAATCGGGGCAGTCTAGCCCTCTCGTCACTTCTCTTCCCCTCATAGGGAAACGGAAAAGCTTACCTGCATTGTAAAACTACCTGCAGATCTCTTCAGGCCAGAGGGGCTGAAATTCTTTCAGTTCAAAGTCTGGATTCAGTTTTCCACAAGAGCTGAAATTCCTAGGGGCTGCGTTGCAATGGCTGACAAGATCAAAGACACGGGGGAAAGAACCGGAATATAAATTACCAGTACAGTGCGGCTTAATATCACAAAATTGATCTTAGAGCTGGCGTGGTGCTTCAAGTGTAGGGCTAGAGACACAAGAGATTCAGATTCTGATCCCCAGTCGAACATGAAGCGCACCAGGTGACTTTGGGCCCCTCACTTGCAGCCTGATCTACCTCACAGGGCTGTTGTGGCAAAACAGAACCATGTAAACCACCTTGAGTTCTTCACAGGAGGAAGCATATAAACGAAAAGATATTTCCAACCTTCTAGAATGGGAGGTAACTGAACAAGGCTTGGAAAACCACCAAATGGTCCATGTGCGCAGGGATGGGTATGATCATCTGCCAGTCCCACAGAAGGTTTACTCCCCCCCCCATAGGTTTTCCTGTTATATTTACAAAAAGAGAAAAAACCAGCATTAAAAACCCCTTGAACACCAGTACTTTTATCTTCCCCTATTCAAAAGCAAGATGAGGGTTTTGCAATATAAATGTCAAAGTCACTGCCTTTGCATAACAAGTTTAAGCTGTTAAATTGAAAAAAGCTAAAAGCAGAATTCCTAAAACTATAGAAAATCTCAAACCACTGCCACCATATGGAAACTATCGTGGTCAGCTTATCTTGTAACTAGTGGAAGAGACAAGTGACACATTAGCCTAGGCAGATTCCAGAAAAGCAGCTAGTTAGTTCCTCTTATAAGCCAGGAGAAGATCCAATATTCAGTTTATCAATTAACCCAAAAATAAAGGCATGTGATCACAAATGGGTGATTAAAGGTGGCTTCACACTGTCACAGAGGACAGATGCAAGCCAGCTGATGCAAAGGGTTGTAGTCAGTTTTCTCAGCCCTCTGACACTTCATCCACCAGTTTTCACTTTATTTCTAAACCCAACTCACACCAGTGATTGACACCCACACCCCTCATGCTCCCGCACAATCCTGCCTCCTCAAGCATATAATCAAGAGAGACCCTCTTTGGCATCTTACAGCTGCCAGATATGTTGTTCCTCCGAGCCAGGCGGCCTCTTTGGTTTCTTCAGAGAAAATTTTGTTTGACCTGTTCTGGAATGGGATTAATCCACCAATTTTACATTGCAATTCTTGAGCTGTTTATTTTTTAGAGCTTTTATAGGACTGGTTTTGGAGCTTTTAAAACTGGATTGCTATAAATCACCTTCAAGAGCAAATAGTGGGATAGAATATAGGACCAAGATTAAGAAGATTTGGGTTCTAGCCCCCAGTCACAAAGCTCACTGGAGGACTTTGCCTGAGCTCCTTATTTTCTTAAGTTATCCTATCAGTTTGTCAAGATAAACATCAAGAAAAATAACCATGAAGTCACCTAGGATTCCTTGCAAAAGGAAAAAAGACAGGAATAACCATAGTATATTTTAATACAAACATTTCAATATAATATACATCCCTGAATAATTAAAATCACAAGTTTAAGTTGGTAAACAGCAAAGAGCACTATGAACCACCCCATTTGATAAATAACCACTCATGGGTAGAACCAAGAAAGGTTTATTGAGCAAGTCATTTCTAAATACTTATAGGCATGTTAATAAGCTCAGAACAAGAACGCTGGGAAATGTTTTCTTTCAGTCAGATTACTCATCATTTTCATAGTCGGCTGGGTTCTTCCTTTTCAACCGTTCAAATTCTTGGGTTCCCCAGGAATAAATGAGATAGCCACTAGCAAGTGCTTAAGAGATTAAAAAGGACAAATTAGCTATACATGTTAAAATACCCAGTGCATTTGCTCACCCTGTTCCACTCCCGTCTCTTGCCTACAACCCTTTTGCTCCCTCAAAGAATTCTCCCACAGCTCTTGGCTCCTTGCCCTTGTATCCTACTGTAACAATCTAAGTATGTGTAATTAAATGACCACATATCCTTTGATCATTGTGTCATTTCAAAAAGCATGCAGGAATGGAACACCATCCATTAAAACCACCAGGGAATATAAAATGGCCTTCCCAGTTTTGTGGGATTACAACTCCCACGGGCCATGCTGGCTGGAGGTGATGGGGGTCCGGAATTTGGCAACATCAAAAAAAGCAGTCTCGTTCACACACAGCAGCTTAGTTATCAGGAAAGCCTGGGAATAGCAATAACTTTGAATTTCTGAATTCCCTTGATTTTCTCTTGCTAGGTCTAGACTTTCAGCCCATCTTGTGTGACCCAGTGTGCCTTTTGTTGCTTTAAAACTGGAGGGCAGAACCACTTTCAGAGGGTCAAACTCCATTTCAAAAATGCTTCTGCATACCAGTAGTGAGCAGAACAGAAAGCAAAAAAAGGGGCCAGGCCAAAATACCAAAAATGCCAGCTTATTTTAGCTTGAAGTTCTTAATGTCATTTCGACCTTTTGGAATAGGGAAAAACTGTACAAAGGAGTAAGTCACCAGTCAGTGGCTGGGAAGAGGAGGTAGGCGGTCCCATCACCCTGGGAACTGTAAGGGACCAGATTTGGCTGTAAGGCTCAATTCAAAAGGTTTGCAAACTACACCTGCCAAAGCATCCCACAAGGTTACAGTTCACAAACAGAAATATAGGTGATCTTTCTTAAAAACCTGAAGCTAACTATTTTATTCTGAGCTGCAACTTCCTGGTTGCGATTCTCTTTAGTATCCATGTGCTTTCAGAGGTGACTATTTCAGTACATAAAGTTATATTGCCTCAAACTCACCCTTCCCATAAAATCTTAACACAGCTGAAATGCCACACAGTAACTAAACATAAGTCTACATCACTGCAGTAGTATTTGTTTCCTGTTTTAAATCTGTCTGTATCCCTAACCCTTCCTCAGCTGTCTCCCTTGTACCTATTTATCCTTATTTTAACTCTTCTCCCCACGCTTTGCAAAGTGCCATGCACTAGGCCAGCAGGACTACAATACCCACATACCTCCAATTTCTTCTGATGCTGAGTATTACTGCAGTCACCTGCAAATCCCTCTGCATACTTAGAAATGAGCTATGTCAATGCCAGTCATTAGCATCAGTGCTGATGAATAACTGGCAGCCAGACTGGTAATTACATCTTAATTGGAGTCAGAGGAAAGGCACACAGGTGAAGTGGCCTCACCTGCCAAAAGGGCAAGGAAGTGGCTTCTACTGACTTGCCCATCTTAATTGAGATGCTCATTATATGCCAGTGCATTCATTGCATAACTGTCCTCATGTAACATTGTTTTTGTTTCCATTTGCATTGGAAAACACCCTGGGTTAAAATCTTTGCAGGACAGAAATGCCTTAAAAATGCAAATCAGAGTAGCCTATGAAAGCCAATGCCTATTACCAATAATTAAACAGATTGTCACTTTAGCTTGCTCTCTTCCTCCACCTAGCGCTTCCAGTATAGACCTGAGAGAGAAGCAACCTATTTAAACAATGTAATCTGATCCGGGCTTCATGCCCACCTCCTCTTCCCAAAGTAATTGCAAACAGGAAGACACTGCTTCCTCTCCCCCATCTCCCTTTCATTATTCTGGGAATGAGATCTCCAAAGTGGTCTCTGCCAGTCTCCCTGCCCTCCTGATTCTTAGTGTATTTATAAGTAATCAGATAACTTTAAAAAATGGGAGCCTGGTATGCTGCAAAGGGAAGCGTTACCACCCTGTAGAATGCAAGGATGCTACTGGAGGGCATCTATGCGCAAGCCCCCTTTTGCCATGCCCTTGAGTTATTGGGAAAACCTTTCACCTCTGTGGTTTCTCTTGTTGGAAATGTGTGATCGGTAACCAGCTGCGACAACCATTTCATGCACAGGCAAGCTGACACCACCCCCAGCCAGCCATGATATCCTTTTAATAGCAGAGTATCTGGAATAGTCACTGAAAATTCAAATGTGTCCTATGGCCAGTGGGATTCTGTAGCCAGCCAACCCTCTCGTCAGCTCTGAATATCACCATTAATATCAAAGCACTACTCTTGGCCATAGAAGGTGGGAGCCCTCTAAGAGAGCAACTACCAAATGAATGGAAGGCACAGCAGCACAATGAGAGGTTTTTTCCCCACTTACGAGGTGCCACACGGAAGATATATGAATTAATTCGCCTCCAAAGGTTGACAACTTCTTTGGACATATTTTTAGGAAAAAGTCTTTGTTCAAACGGAGACAATTTGTAGGTGATCATATGCCGCATTCGTACTAAGTTTCCAAGGTGCACACCCATCTTGAAAAGCTGTTCTGTAGCAGAGAATGAGACAAAGAAAGGCCAATGGTGTAGTTGCACCTTCCTTAGCACAGGTAGCAGTTTTCCGGTGGACCAACTTGCGAAAGTTTCCCTTAGATCACAAAAATACGGAACTGCAGACCAGTTACTCTTAAATGCACTTCAAAAATCATTTTGTTCACATAACCATATCCATTAAACCATAATATGAATCACTTTCTTTAACTCACATGACTAAATAAGATAGGTTACTGTGAGTTCAGTGGCACAGCAGTAGCTAAGCCATATCATGGCTGGAAGTCATTTTACTCTAAGCGTAGGAGAGTTCATCAATGGCTTGCCCCCACCAATTAAACTGAATATTTCAAAGGACAACCTGCCAGAAAAGCTCAGAAATTTGAATAAAGCTTGCAAAGTTTTAATACTGCAGGATTATTTTCAAGAAGTCATGTCACCGGGGTTTGGACAACACAAGCCACACCTGGGCAAGTGATTGGATCCCATCACATACTGTGCTGATTCAGGGTGATGGAATTTGTAATCCTACACATCCATAGGAAGACCTGGGTATACAGCACTGTTTATTGGCAGACTTCCCCACCTTGTGCCTTCTGCAGACCATGGGCTACAACACCATCATGCAAAGCAACCATATCTTTTAAACAATGGCCTGCTACACACCTAGGTACTGGACATACACCAGCAAAATGTAATTTTAACATATGAGTTTATATTATGAATGGGGTTCTGCCCTGTTGCCACTCAGGAACTGGCAAAAAGCAGCAGATGGAAAAGTCATATCAACAGCAGCAGATGTGGCTAAGACCTAGAGAGTGAGCAATTTTCATTATTATTATTATAACATTTCTATGCCGCCCCTTGCCGAAACCTCGGGGCGGCTTACAACACAATAAAATACATTGAAATACAGTAGCACATAATAAATTACCATTAAATACAAAAATACAAAAAATACATTGATTTACAAATATAAGATTAAAATTATCAGTATAAATTAAGTAAATAAAAATATAGGAGGAGAAAGAGAAGGAAGAAGAAGTTGCCCTGGCCAGATCATATATTTTAACAATTAAAATGATGTTTAAATAAAAAGGTCTTTACCTGGCGCCGAAAGACCAGTAACGACGGTGCCAGGCGGACCTCTTTGGGGAGTGAATTCCATAGGTTGGGTGCCACCGCAGAGAAAGCCCTCCTCCGAGTACTTACTCTCCTAATTTCTTTCATGGAGGGTTCCCGGAGAAGGGCCTCTCCCGCAGATCTCAAGGGGCGGTCGGGCATATACGGACATAAGCGCTCGTTCAGGTAGCCAGGACCCAAGCCGTTTAGGGCTTTATAGGTCATAATCAACACCTTGAATTGGGCCCGGGCTTCAATGGGAAGCCAGTGAAGCTGACGGAGGACTGGAGTCATGTGAGCATAACGCCCCGTCCCCGTCAGCAGCCTGGCAGCTCTATTTTGCACCAATTGAAGTGTTTGGACTGTCTTCAGGGGCAGCCCCACGTAAAGCGCATTACAGAAGTCTAGGCAGGAAGTCACCATAAGCTATCAGTGCCTTTAAACATCAAAACAAAAACCATGTTATGTATTCATCTGCACATTTTGTCAGCCTGCCTGGAGATAGGCATGGAAACACCAGCTCCTGCTAGGATTTTTAAAGTACCATTTTTAATGATTCTCTTGCATCCTTAAGTGTAAGTGTTGCAAGCTCCTTTTGATGACTCCAGACCAAAAACAGGATGCATAAACCTAGCAGGTGGAAAGCAAAGCATAAGCATGTACATGATTGCAACATCATTCCTAAGCAGGTATGCCTAGACTTACATCTTCAGATAGACCTGGGGAGGGCCCCAATTTGAGAAAACCTGAAGAGGTGCTGCCCCATTAGCACTGGCAGCTCTAAGCTTCATGGACCAACAGTCCAATCAGTGCAACGCAACTTCCCAGCTTCCTGTGTGCTTTACACTGTACACAGAAGGGCTGGGATCAGTGCGCAGCAGCGCCTCTGCATGCAAAAGGTGCCACCTTCAATGCTTTGCATCATCCACTACGAGCAAGAAGAGACTGCCAGTCAGCCTAGATAAGGCTTCTCCAGCTCGGTATCAAGTGAGACGCTGAGTCGGAGTGATAGGAGTTGTAGTCCTATACATCCAGAGAAAAGATGTGCATACAGCTCTGCTTGTCTACAGCTTTCACCAACCTGCTACCCTCCAGAGAGACTGGTCTACAACTTCAAGCCTCCCCGCAAAAGCATGACTGGCTGGGGATGCTGGGACTTGTAATCCTACACCTCTGAAGGGCGCCAGGTTGGCGTAAACTGAACCAGAGAGTCAAAATATCGGTTGCCTTCCTTCCGAGAGATGCCTGCAAACCGAAAGCGGGCTCCAAGCCCCTCTCCTACAGAAAAATAGAGGAGAGAGGAGGGTCCCCCCCCGCCTCACCCCACAAGCTACCCACCAGTCCAGCTACCCACCAGTCCAGCGTCCTCCGCAAAGGTCACCGCTTCCCTCTCCAGCCCAGTCGCGAAATTCAGACCGTCTGTCTGCGCGATGACGCCACTTCCGGATCGCCCAGCACTAACTGACATCACTGCGCATGCTCGCCCCCGCCGCGTTCGCGGAAAACCCGACCGCCTCTTCATCGAGAGGTTTTATAGGGACGCGCCGCTTCGGGTTGCACACAGTGCGCATGCGTAATTGCTTTGCGCCTCTTTAAAAGCAGAGGCTGCGGGGTGGGGCCTTTTTTCTCGGGCGGTCTTGGCCACAGGTGGGAAGGAACCCGTACTAATAATGGCGGTGCTGTATCGCTGACCTTTAAGCGCGCAGGCGCGGAGCTGGCGTTCGGTGGCTGTCGCGGGGCCTCATGGGAAGATGTCGGCGCTCAGGTCGCTGTGGAGATTGCGGGCACCTTCAGGGTCATGGATACAGGGAATTGCGCTGGGGGCAGCGCCCCGCAGGTAGTGTTCCTTTTCCCACGTCGAGAGGGGAAATATATTTTTTTTCTAATAGAGCGTCTTATTATGGTGTAATAACTCCTGTCTTGCTCCTAGTTAATTGCTAGCTAACTGTCAAGTTCCTAGTCCTCTTGAGGTGCATATTTTGAAGCCCATGCATTGCTTTTCCCCCTGTACATAAGGGTGGGTAGTGGTCTCTTAATAGTGAAGGAAAACGAGCTGTAAATGTGCAGAGGCATGCGTCCACCCTGTTGTATAATACATTCCTTGCTCAGGCCATTGTTTGAAATAGGCTCAGGGAATGAGCTGTGGTTCATATTGCACCTTGCTAGTACCCAGCTATAGCCCTTCTTTTCTCTGTTACACGCTATGTAATGGGGAGTCAGTGAAGCTGACGGAGGACTGGAGTCATGTGAGCACAACACCCAGTCCCCGTCAGCAACCTGGCAGCTCTATTTTGTACCATTTGAAATGCATTGAGACACTTCCCACTGATACAAATAAATGCTTGAAACTGCAGCTTTGGTGTTTTAAATAAAGGCCTTGCCCCATCAGGAATGGTTTTTGCTGCTTAACAGTTCTTATTTGTTCCTTTTTCTGCAGAAATAAGAATCCTTGATAGAGGCACACTCCTCCAGCCTTCCCCAAGTTGGCAGCTGCTGGATGTTTTGTATTTCAGTTCCCATCAGCCCTAGCCAGTATGGGCGACAGCCAGGAATGCTGGGAGTTGCAGTCCAAAGCATCTGGAAGGCACCACCATGGGGAAAGCCTTGACATTTTCTCCCTTTTAGCTCCTTAATAAAAATGTACTTTAACTGGTTGCTACTTCTCAAACTTAAAATCCATGATCTTTATCAGTGACTTCATTGTATGTGTGTTGTGTATTTCATTCTGACAGTTTATAAAATAAATTGTAGTGCATCTCTATGTATATTTAGGCAGAAAAAAAACATTTCCCACTGTGCCCCAGTCAGCCATGCCTGGAGCTGCAAGACTTTCCCCCCATCTAAGTAGGCATAGGATTGTGCCCTGCATACATTTGGGCTTCCTTTCTCTCTGTGTGTCTTCATCTTGCGGCTTTTCCCAAACTGGAGATACAGGGTCAGCCAAGGATCCGTTGCCATATGGCAGGGCCCTAAGTTAGTGATGGAAGAGCTGCTGCATCATGGAATCTCCCACTCTTAATGTTTTCATCCTTTCCTCAGGGGAAAGCAGTGGCAGCCCGACGTGGACTATGTCAAGCAATATGGAGGTGCTGTCATGTACCCCACCAAAGAAACAGAGAAATGGGTTCCTCCTCCATGGAATGGTGAGTTTCTCCTGGGACCCCGGAGAGCCACCCTGCTTCCGTTCGACCACATCAGACTAGCTGGGCCGGTGCTTAACTCGGCGGAAGCCAGCTTCCTGTGCTCCTTCGGCAGAGGGAGTGAGGCACCTCGCTGGGCGTTGTGCCGTTGCTGCTTGGAACCCAAGGCTTTGGGAGCAGCACTGATTAGATTGGAACATCAGGCTAGGAAAACCTACATCTACTCACTGCTCTGCAAAGAAGCTTATGAGCTGGCTTGGAGCCATCTCTTTCTCTGCCTAAGTTTGGGTCGATGTGAGAAGAGAAGAACTGATATTCTGTCCTGAGCAACCTGTAGGGAACATGGGATATGGGATCTAAACAGGGGTAATGATGAGGAGTGGCATTGTAAACAGTGAGAAAGCTCTGGGAGTGGCTTGTATTAGCATCGCTAGCATAAAATGCACTTTTTGAAAGATGTTCAAAACCAGCATGCTTGTTAGTTGGCTTTTAAAGAAAATGCTTGGATAGTGATGTGCTTCTTTGTTGTTCAAGGTGGTTTATTCTGCTGGGAACCAACCACTGTATCAGGGTGGTTCTTAAAGATTAGGAGAAATTCTTTCATCACTTAAACCTGTTGGCCCTGCTGAGGACAAATTTGCCCCGTTCTCTGTGTGGGAACCTTTCCAATGTTTGGGTTTTTCTCTTCCCTTTTCCTTCCTCTTATTTAGGAGGGAGGTGCAGGATTGAATCTGGGAACTTGTGAAGGTAAAACACAATCCTCTGACCGAATAGCTCAGGAGTGGGAAAGCAGAACCCTGCAGATGTTGCCAGACTACATCTCCTATCAGCCTTAACCACTGGCTGCTGGGAGCAGCAATTCAGCCATGTTCGAAGGCTCACCTGTTCCCTAACTTTCGACCAATGTCTCCCCTCCCTCTATATATTGTCACAGGAAAGAAAAATTTTATCACTCTGCTGTAGTTGTGTATTTTATGATTCTCACTGCACCTTTTAGTGACTAATGCTTGGGCATTTTGAAGGTACTCTGGGAGCCTGTGCTGACAAACAGTGTATTGACTCCATACAGCAAAATGTAGTAGCAGGGAAACCTCAAGAACATTTTGCACTCATTCCTGGTATACAAGCATCACCTGTGGCTGCAAATACAAGCATAAGTATCAAAGGCAAGAGTATGTGCTCTCAACTTGGATCCGTCTTCATGTGCATTTTCCCACTTTTTGGAATATGTGCTATCAGTCTGCCCACAAAACCACAGGACCTAAGATTTCTGCACACAAACTCGGTGCTTGATTTGACTCTGGGGGAGCCCCGAGGGAGCTATTCCAGTAGATTGACCTTTATTGCAGCCTGAGAGGTATGGGGGATTTTTGCGTGGTGCTGCAAACCGCCCTCGTCAATACACCTCTCAGCACCCCATCACTGCCCCGGCCTGCACTGGGGCATAATAATGGGCGGGTTTGCTGCATAATATTTTCTCAGCTTAACCTGCAGTGAGGTAGCAGTAATGGTGAGAGTGAGACTGCAGGTTCAGTGTAAACTGTAGAGTGCCTGACTTGCCATATTCTCTGCTAACTACTCTGAGGCTGTTCCAAGTCGCTTTCTCACCGCTTTGAAGTACAGAATGGGAACAGCGAGCTGCAGTTTGTCCTGGTGGCTTGTTTTTCCTGTCCTTCACATTAGATAAAAGCTTACTGCAGGAGCGCCTTCATTTCTTGGGTGCAATTAGTAAGCTTCGGCGAATGGGGCGGCATAAAAATGTTTTAATAAATAAAAAAATTAGTTGTTTGCTGCCAGATGAAAGTGAGAGTGCTATTACATCGTGGCCTTATCATACTGGATTTTCCCACTGATCTCTAAGGAGGGGGCTCACTTCCATCCCTGGAAACATTTACAAATAGTTCTTCCATGTGAACCAGGAAACGATGTATCCGGCCATAATGGGATGGTTCTCACTTCCTGTTTTGAGATCTGTCATCTCCCTCTGCCCAGTGGTACTTGTCCCTCTCCAAAAGGGAAAGAATAAGAGAAAAGGAGGGGAAGAGATGGACCCGCCCAGCTTCCCGTCTCTCCCTTACGAACCACATTGCCTTGCCTGTTCTCTTCTGCCCTGAGCAGATAAGGACCCGTTCATGGAGAAGAAAGTCTCCAACCTGACCATCAACTTTGGGCCCCAGCACCCGGCGGCTCACGGGGTCTTGCGTTTGGTGATGGAGCTGAGCGGGGAGACCGTGAAGAGGTGCGACCCTCACATTGGCTTGCTCCACCGGGCCACGGAGAAGCTGATCGAGTACAAGACCTACCTGCAGGTGACGCTGCGCAGGAACCGTTGTTGTTCGGAGCACGGAACTGTGCACTCGAGGGTTGGCTTGCCTTTGAGCTGCTTGGGTTAATGTGACAGTGTCCCTTGCGTAACAACCGCAGCCCCCAAGCGCCTGACTGTGCCACCCAGAGCATCGTGTCCAGCTGGACTGTGCTACCCAGAGCATCGTGTCCAGCTGGAAGCCAGGGAGGCCAAGGGTCAGAATTACATACCAGCCTTTCCCCACCTGCTCTGTGGCAGCCCCTTAGAAATGGCATGGAGAGTCCCCTCCCTCGGGGGGGGGGGGGCGGTAGGGCTGCCCCAGGGCAGGGGCCATGCAGAGAGGACCAGTGGGCATTGCCTTCTTCAGGCCAGGCAGACGCAGCGTGTCCAGCCACTGGCCAAGCTTCCTCAGAGGCCTTGCTGTATCCAGCTTAGGCTGTTCTCCCTTGACGAAGCCAAGTCCCTTAGGTACCGTATTAGAAATCAGGACACCCGTTTCCAATAGCTAGCGACAGAGGCAGCCCTCAGCATTTCAGGCACGTCTCCATTCGTCTTTGACACTTTGCTTCTGTCTCAGGCTCTGCCCTACTTTGACCGGCTGGACTATGTCTCCATGATGTGCAACGAGCAGGCCTATTCCTTAGCGGTGGAGAAACTGCTCAATATCCGTCCGCCTCTAAGGGCTCAGTGGATCCGAGGTGAGTGAGCAAGCCGAGGGGCTGGGGAAGCTGTGCTTGGAGCCAGCAGATGCTCCAGCACCGATACCTGGCGCTTCTTGGTGCAGGGATGTTAGTGGGAAACCTAGCTCCCAACTGAGGACAGGGTGGGTGGGAGGGGACTGCCCACCCCCCACTCTTTGGGAACCCTGCTTTGATAAACCATGTGAAAGAGCTACATGCTGCCACACGCAGCCCATTCACACACCCCCCCCCCCCCCCCCGGCTTTGTGAGACTGCATAAACAAGTCAGGAAGAACCAAATTGACGTGTCGTCTGAACCCGGGTTTATGATCAAGTGCATCCAAAGAAGCCAGAATTCTTAAGCGAACCGCACAGCCCAGCTTGCCGTTTTGACTTGTTGGGGTGGACTTCATAAGGGCAGGCCCAGGTGCTGTGCGACCCTCTTCTCCGGGCTTGCCTCACCCACTTGGGCAAAGGGGGGATGGATGGGTTGTGTGAACAAAGCTCGGATAAACCAGCAGTGGGCCAAGTCTGCCCCTCCAGGTGGTGTTGGAGCTCCAACAGAAGGCAGCCCTCCTGGTTGCGGCTCGCGGGTGCTGAAACGTCCTCTTGAGGGGGTCAAGGGTAGGTCCCTTTTGGCTGGCCTTCTGCCGGCTGTCTGCAACATTTTTATACAGGCAGGCATGGCTGTGTAAGCTGGTTCGTTGAGGAACTGTTAACGTGGCTTTCACTCTATTGCCTGTTTTTAGCCGTACATTTAATGCAGTTGTTTCATGAGGGTTTTAATTCAGCTCTTATTTTAAAGGCTGGTTGGTCCTCTGGAGCACTATTTATTTTGTTGGTGGAAAGGAGGAGTGTAATTCAAAAATCCCAGCCGTTGCTAGCGAAGCCAATGGTGAGGGAAGGCAGCAGTCGCAGGTCAACATCTGGATCAGTCTCGTCCAGGCCGGGGCTCCCCACAGCTCCCAACATTCTTAGCCACACCGGGCAAGAATTCATACCTGGAGGCTGTTCATCTGGGGAAAGCTGATGTGGAAAGGCCACTCTCTCCGCACTGCAGGCACCAACACCAGTGCTAGTCCCAGGCTTGCGCTGTTGAATTGGCGACTTTTCCCCCCCCCCCCCCCACCGACCTGCATGTTCCTAGTTTTGCATGCTGCCGGCTAACAAGGATCTCTCTGCCTCCCTGCCAGTCCTCTTCAGTGAAATCACGCGGCTCCTGAACCACATCATGGCCATCACCACCCACGCCCTGGACATTGGGGCCATGACGCCCTTCTTCTGGATGTTTGAGGAGCGGGAAAAGGTAAGGGCCTGCTCGCCTCTGCAAGGCCCTGCCCAGCCAGTAAGCAGGACGGGACCCCAGTGCTGGTGTTTGGGGGCTCTGCAGCCATAGGCTGCCCTGGAGGACCCCCCTGAGAACCGCGGCTGATGGGGGGCAGCAAAGAGGCCCTGTGTCTGTGGGCACAGGGGAGCAGGTGACATAATTCTTTTTCTCGGAACAGAATCTGGCTAGCGAAGTGTTGAGAGCCCTTGTGTTGTGTCGTGTGGTGTTGGGCCTCACACTGCCTGCCATGCTGTGCGGCAGACCCGGTGCTTCCAGCAAAGGGCGTCTGTGTGACCAGGCCAGGCCAAGGAGCAAAAAAAGGCGCCTTTTTCTGCCTCCAATTTGTGTGGCTCTGCTAGGAGAAGCCAGTGATGCCAAATTTCTCTCCCGCAACTCCGGTCCTTTCCTTGCAGATGTTTGAATTCTACGAGCGAGTCTCTGGGGCCCGCATGCATGCCGCTTACATCCGTCCAGGGGGCGTCCATCAGGTAAGACGGCATCTTTGGGGACCAGCAGGGTTTGGCTGTGGGTGTGGTACGTGTGCAGTCCGATACCTGCCTTCTGCCCCTTTACAATACAGGTAGAGGCTCATGTGATAAAATTCTCCACCATAGCAAAGCTTATATTAAATCCCTGTGCAGAAGGAAAAAATGCTGCATTTTCTGCCAGGGGACCAGTGGCCACTGGGAGGCTGCCCCATCATGGCAAGGAGGAAGACCACTGGCCCATGAAAGAACCAATTCTCCAGCCTTGGCTTTTCCTCTGCCCTCCTCATCACATTTTCCTTACATGCAGTGTCTATTACTCTGTCTGCAGGCAACGATATTCTGTTAATATCTGTACACTCTCCAGAAAACCACGGGTGCTTTATAAGTGTTACATCAAGAGTAGAGACCCCTCTCTACCCTTGCTTGGTGGTGGACCAACTTCCCGTCATCAGACCATTAGCAGTGCTTTACTGGGACTCAGGCAGGCTAGCCAGACACTGTCTGTGGCTGCTTGCCGACACGCGCTCCCATCGTCTTCCTCTCTCTTGGCACTCAGGACATGCCGCTGGGGCTGATGGATGACATATATGAGTTTGTGAAGAATTTCTCCTGCCGGATAGACGAGGTGGAAGAGGTGAGGCATGAGTGACGTTCCGAGTGACGTTTCCAAGTGACTTTCTGAGAAAGCGAAGCCGGCTTCTGCCCCCTTGTTGCAGGTTTACAAATCAGGCAAACAACAAAATCTTCTCTCATACTTTTCAACCGGCCTGTAACTCAAGTTTTCTGGGTGACGTACAATCCATTAAAAGTATAAAACATAAGCTATAAAGCAAGGATGTAGAGGGAAGGAGGCACAAGCCGAGAGAACCAGCAACACAAAGTAAGAATAGTTAGGGGTGAAGATGGCCCGTTCGGCTGGTAAATTTTCTAGGATATGCCATTCAATTCCTCAATGCCAAGTTTTCCTTTCGGGGGGCCTGGGTTGGAAACAGTTGGTATTCCATGCCTGCAGAGCATTCTGTCATTCTGGGGATGTTTTTCCTGGCAATTTTTCTTCCCAATGAAAGTCTTGTAGTTGCCCCAAGTAGAATTTGTCGGGCCAATCTATCTAGCTGAAATCTCTGTATGTTCACGTTTTACTGGTGTTAGCTTAACAGAAAGCAATTGAAAATCTGACATCTCATGTCTAATTTTAATCAGAAGGGCATATGTGCACAGCCCCCTTGGGGCATTAAATGTGCCGGGCAGCCACGCAAGCAAGCAAGCAGGGCTGCGCTGGTTCTGCCTCCACACTGCACACGGCCTTCTCCTTCTGATGCCCTTAGCATGCAAAACAGAATGGCGGGAAACTGTCAGCAGGACCTAGAAGCCGCTTGTAGAAGAAACCAGCCTGCCTGTCCCTAGTCTGCCAAACAACCATTTTCTAGGCGGGTGGGTGTGTCGTGAGTGGAGCCGGGGGTCAGACTAGATGGCCTGGGAGACCCCTTCTGACTCACTCTGTTTCTATGTTTCACCTGGGTTTCCCATAGAGCTAATTTTGCTTGAGCAGGAATTAATCAAATTCATTTATTTGACTGCTCCGTTAGTCGTAAGGTTCTCTGGGAGGTTCATAACATATGATCCAGCAATTAAAACTTATATAATTCATAGTGTATTGGACAGGTCACAACATAACAGCCAGCAATAAAGATAAATCAAAAGAATAGATATAAGATTGAATGCTCAGTATATTAAACTATTTAAAATCTTACTTGAAGTTCAGAAAGATAAAAATCTGGTGGTAAAAGTGCAATATGGCAGTAAAATAGCAACATGAAGCCATAAAAAGCATCATTAATATGAAATGTGCCAAGCCTCTCAGTGCTGGAACAGGGTTAGGGTGGTTGTTGTTAGTCGTGAAGTCATGTCCGACCCATCGCGACCCCGTGGACAACACTCCTCCAGGCCTTCCTGTCCTCCACCATCCCCCAGAGTCCATCTAAGCTCACGCCGACTGCTTCATTGACCCCATCCAGCCACCTCATCCTCTGCCGTCCCCTCCTTCTTTTGCCATCTACTGTTCCCAGCATCAGGCTCTTCTCCAGGGAGTCCTTCCTTCTCATTAGGTGGCCAAAGTATTTGAGTTTCATCCTCAGTACCTGGCCTTCTAAAGAGCAGTCAGGGTTGATCTCTAGGACTGACCGGTTTGATCACCTTGCTGCCCAAGGGACTTGCAGGAGTCTCCTCCAGCACCACAATTCAAAGGCCTCAATCCTTCGGCGCTCAGCCTTCCTTCTGGCCCAGCTTTCACAGCCATACATTGCAACCGGGAAAACCACAGCCTTGACTATACACACTTTGGTCGGCAGGGTGATGCCTCTGCTTTTTAGTAGGGTACTGTATGGTGTAATGTGGAGAACCTAGTGCAGTTTTTAATGCGTACACACAGGCCATGCAGGGGGGCTATTCAGTCTGTGAGAGGCATTTATAAAACCTCCTTCCCTACAAAAGCTTTTCTGTGGAGTCCCCAGGCAAAGATCCACTTCAATCCCCCAGTATTTAGAGTCCGGTTCTGACCCAGTTGCTGTGTGAAGATTTTGCTGGAATGGAGATTCTGTGCATTGCAGACAAACACACTCTTTGTATGGTATTCCTTTCAGAGCTCATTTCTTTGGTGCTTATTTTATTTGTATTTTGCTGTTGGGTTTTCCTGTCTGGTGACTTTCTGTACAAGATGCTTTAAGGCTACATTTTGCCATGGCGAGCAATGCATAGGCTTATTGGGAGTAAGTGAATGCTTTGAGCATTTGTCCCGCTTTAAAAGAACTTAGCAGGTTCTGGAGCAGTCTCTCCCAGCTTGGTGCCTTCTAGATATTTTGAACTTCAACTCCCAGCAGCCCCAGCTCCAGTTTGGCCCATTTGGTGTCTTAACCCCTGACTCTGTAGCAGGACTAAGTTGCCCTGTCTTATTTTGCTCTTGCAGATGCTCACCAACAACCGAATCTGGAAGAACCGCACAGTTGATATCGGAGTGGTAACAGTGGAGGACGCGCTCAATTACGGTTTTAGGTGACAGACTCTGCCAAGGGGCACTCAGATCTGGTGGGAGGAATCAGAGCAACCCCCTTTCTCATTGTGGAAGTGAAATGCCTGGAATGTCCCCTGGGCCGAGTTCTCCCTTGCAGATAAAAATTTGACCTCACTTGCATGGTAATGCCAACCATGGATGAAACAGCCCAAGTGGGAGAGAGCAGGCGGTGTCCCGTCTTCCTCCCCAAGCGGGTGCATTGTAAGCAAGCAGGCCACACGAACCTGGTTTGGGGGCTGAACAGCCCTGAAGCCTGGAGACCCTTCACACTTGATGCTCAGCTGCTTATAAAGGCATGTCAGATGGGTGGCGAAGTCACGGCAGAAGTGCCAGGCGAACCGCAAGTAGACGTCCGTCTTCCCTGCTTGTTCCCAACAGCCCGTGGGTTGTTTAAGCCGTGGTTTGGTATGGGCAAACTGGCCAGCTGTGTTCAAAGAGCAGGCATGGCTTTTGACAGCCCTGCTTTGGCACGGGGGCAGGGTGGGGTGGGGAATCTTCTTTCAGCTTCAGGACTTACATTCCAGTCCTGGGCATGCTGCAAGCAGAAGAGATGGGGACACAACCACGATCTTTTAAAGTTTTTCTTGCCTGAATCTTAGAAAAAGCATTTCAAACTTTTGGAATGGGGAAACTGCACAAAAGCTGGGAAACTACCAAGAGTTTACAGAGGGGGAAAGAAGATGGGTGAGCAGGAAAAGGTTGACCTGGCCTCCTGGGAGGCCCCAGGGGCCTGAATTTGGGCCCCTGGCCTGAGGTTCTGTTGCCCTGCTCTAGCAGAAACTCGTTGACATCCTCCAGCAGCTTCCATGGGAGACTGATGCAGGCTGAGGGATGTGGGATTGCCGTCCAGCTCACTCGGAGAGCACCCTTCCCGGTGTAAGGTTTAACCAGGACTTGTTTTCCTTAACCCTGGTTAATATCCGAGTGGGACTGAAGGGGCCCAAAGCACACAAGTGTACACAATCCCACTTCCTGGCTTTGAATGACAGTGGTTCACATAAACCGGGTTGACAGAATTCAAGAACAGAAGGTGTTGCATAAGCAACGTGGGAAGGAACTGAGCGAGTGGCTTGGCCCCGTCCTCCTCCTGACCTGTCGCAGGCCCGGGAGTTTGGCACGCTGCGCCTTTTCCAGCCAGGCCGTTTGCAAAGACCCCTGAACACGCAGGGGGGGCAAGACGTGGCCCTTTGGACAGTTGGGTGTCCGAGGCCCATCGCTCCTCATTTTTGGCGATGCTGTCTAGAGCGAGGGGCAGCTGGAGGGCTGCAGGTCGCCCGCCCAACGCGTTCCAAAGCCATCTTGCCTTTAGCTTTGGTCTCTCGTTCCGCTTCTCCGCCTGCATCGTGTGCGTTTTCTCCCTGTTTCACCCACAGTGGAGTGATGCTTCGCGGCTCGGGCATCCAGTGGGATCTCCGCAAGACTCAGCCTTACGACGTCTATGACCAGGTGGAATTCGACGTCCCGATCGGGTCCAGGGGCGACTGCTATGACAGGTGCGGTGCCCGTTTGCAGAGGGGAGGAGAATCGGGTGCACGGCCAGCGCTTGCTGTGGGGACTCGCCTGGCCTTCTCTCCTTCCCCACAGCCAGGGAAGCTCCCAAGGGGCTGCTGGGGAAGCTTGGTTCAGTTCTACAGGTCGTCCCTTCTCTTGCGATCCTGGGGTTGTTATTGATTCGGTTTCTACCCTGCCCCGTTAGCCATACAGCTAATGACTTATTCCAAGTCCCCAGATTCAAGTCACAAAAACAGCCAGACACATTAATTGTGGTCACTGCCCCCTTCCTCACATACGGCCGTTGAGCTGCCTTATATCTGCAGCCTTCCTCCAGCTGCCATCTCCAAAGGGATGCTCAGAGAAAAGTAACCAGGAAACAGAAACAGCGCGAGTCGGAAAGAGCCATCTAGTCTGACCCCCGGCTCCAGCTAGCTCTGCTCATGACAAGAAGACGGCCTTCCCAGTGGTAGCCCCCTAATTGTGGACGGGCCTCACCCCCAAGGCCTGCAAGGGGCAGAGAAAGAAGAAGAAGAATTAAGTGGGCCTTCTGTTGGGCTGGTGGAGAACAGCTCTTGTGCTCAACTTTGAAGGGAGGGAGAGACGTGACCCCCTGGCATTCAGGGCTTGGCCTCAGACCACGAGAGAGAACACCCCGTCAGCCCCTTGCAGCTGGCGCCTGCCATGTTAGAAGATGGCCTCCGATGTCCCCCCCCCCCCCACTACCTTCCCATCTTCCTTGGAATTTGCTTTTTCTCGCACCGTGTCCTAGCAACAGCAGCATCCTTGCTTTCTGCTGGGCAGGTACCTGTGCCGAGTGGAAGAGATGCGCCAGTCCCTCCGCATCATTCTGCAGGCTCTCAACAAGATGCCTGAGGGGGAGATCAAGGTGGATGATGCAAAGATCGCTCCCCCAAAAAGAGCGGAGATGAAGGTGAGATGGCGCTGCTGGCTAGCCAGCACCCTCTTCTGGCCAAGCATGGGACCACCTTGCTCTGGTTGATACGGTGTCTCTTCTTTTTCTGTCCCATGTCCTAGACTTCCATGGAGGCCTTGATCCACCACTTCAAGCTGTACACAGAGGGCTACCAGGTCCCTCCCGGGGCTACATACACAGCCATTGAAGCTCCCAAGGTATTTATTTATTTATTTATTTATTATTTTATTTTATTTATTAAAACATTTTTATGCCGCCCCATTCGCCGAAGCCTCGGGGCGGCTTACAACAATAAATTAAATAACTATAATCATAAATTAAAAATGTAAACATAAGAATAAAATACAATCATACAATATAAAATAAGCCACCCTGGCCAGGTACCAGTGTATCCCAGTATACTATAAACTGGAACAGACTTTCAGGGTCGTCTTAGGTTTTATTAGAGCCCCAAGGTTGGACATATGTGTAAACGTACACAGAAACTTAAGGAATGCGGCACTTGCCAAGCCCGAGAATGTGTGTACAATACCACGCTCTCAGTGCTACCACTCAAACATCCATCCTACTTATTTTATTTATTAATCGATTTAGAATATTTTTATCCTGTCATATACAATCCATTTGTTCCAGGATGGCTTAAATATAAATAGCAATAAATACACAAACAATCAAAAAATTCAATATCAAAACAAAATGTGACTGAGTTTACAATAAAACCAGATTAAAATTATTTAGACCTTAAAATGTTGGGCAAAGAAAAAGGGTTTTTTTCCCCAGACATCTCAATTTCAGCGATCTAATTGTCGTCATGGTTGCCTGGGCTTAAGGAACAGAGAGAAAACAAAGCTTGTCTTTCAGCATTGTTTGCAAATTGGCCTTGTTTCCCTCCCATCTTGCTTGTTACAGTTCACGGTCAGCTTAAGTCTAGGAGATCCATCACTCATAATCAATTGCTCATGATAAAGCTTTTTTTTTTTTTAGAAAACGTCTTTAAGTCCTTTTAAACATACAAAAATATTATCTGCTGCTCTGGGTTAGTTGCAACATCAAGAGTGGGTTCAAACAAGGAGGATGAAGATTTGAACACGGTTAAGGAAGTTGGGCAGCATCGCAGGGTTTCTGGGTCTGGACGCATCTTCTGGGAAGACCCTGTCCCATCCTCCATGCCTCAGATGTGGACTGGGGCGTATGGACATGAAGACTATCCAGACTGCTCTTTAGCTTTGGCATAGCAGGCGCCTTCATTCCTACCCTTGATAGGAAAGACGAGCCCCTGCTTCATTTTAACTGGGACTTTATCTTGTATGAAATCCTAATTTATTTCTGAAAGCGTAAATATTTCCACATGAAATGAGGCCTGGCTTAGGTTGAGTCGTGTCTTCTCCCTCCTAACTCTCCATTACTCGTTTGACGGGCGTCCGATCGCATCACCATGCGAATTCTGGATTTCTCCTCTGGATTCTCTGGGCAGCTCTTGCCCCTTCCCCAAAGCAGCGGTTTTAAATGGCTTGTCAACACCTACCAGGAAGCATCATCTCTACATGGCCTGGTGGGTCACCCCAGCCCATCCCTAATTCTGCATGGATTGTGGAGCAGAGCGCTCAGGTTGGAAGAGTGTGAGCTGGAAGTGTGGAAGGCCAGGAAATGGAAGCGGAGCATACAGGGAAAAAAGGCTTTTGCTCTGGTCCTTTCCATCTTTACTGTGGGCGTGCCCAGGCTCACCCCTTTCCCAGGCCATTCAAGTTCAGCAGGGGCAAAGCTGTTAGCCGTCCAGAGACGTTAGTAATTGGATGGCATACAACTTTTATAAAGAAAAGACAAAAAGACAGAAAGCAGAATGGTCCACGCCTCATACAATGACGGGAGACCTGCCCTATCTTAAGCAAGCTTTTCTGTAGCAGCCGTTTCTCTCTCCGGCTGGAGAGCAAATCCCAGACTCACTTATAAGAGCTGCTGTCAGCATTTAGAAAACCTGCCAAAGGTCAGCTGCGTCTCAGATTCCCAGCGCTGTGAGATTCTCCTTCCCTCCTGCCCTTGGGTGGCCTGGCCCAACGAATCCTAATTGTCCTCTCTGCCTTCTTGTGCTACAGGGAGAGTTCGGTGTGTACCTGGTCTCGGATGGCAGCAGCCGGCCCTACCGCTGTAAGATTAAGGCTCCTGGTTTTGCCCATCTGGTAAGAGAAGCACAGCTATTCTGGGGCTTGGATGGGTGTGGGTGGGAAAGAGGAAGTCTGGCTGTTGGGTAGAGTAGAAATAAATTGCCGAGTTGTTAAAATTGGGCGTCGTTCCTGCTCGGTGCATGGCTTGCGCCCTCAAGAACGGTTGCTTGGGTGCCTCTGGCTCAGTGAAGGGGTGAGGCACCTCGTCCTCAAACTGGGCCCTCGCTTGGCAGGCAGAGGCCTGGCCCTGCTGGCGTCTCTTCCACCCCGCTCTGAACCCTTGACTGCTGCACAGGCTTGGGGTTGGGAGCAGTCCGCCTTTGCCCGGCCTTCAGGGGGGTGCGGCATCCTCTCCCAGGACTCCGGGTGTGCACGGGCCTTCTAGTGTAGGACGACAGGCTGTGGCAGGACGTGTGTCGGGGTTCCTCAGCATGTTTTGCTTGTCATTTGTCCTCCTGAGATTGTTGGCAAATAGAAGAGCACCGAACCTGAACTTCCTTCCTTCCTTCCTTCCTTCCTTCCTTCCTTCCTTCCTCCCTCATGTTTCTCTTCTTGCTCTTGATGTCAGGGAAAATATCATGCTCACAGCACACACACACAGAACAGAAACCTGGGTCTCCCTCCTGCGGTTTGGGGGTATGGATGTGGGAACTGGTGGCTTTCCCACATGTGACAGGCACTCCGAAACCGCCCCGGAGCAAGAAGCTTGAAGTATCTTTGAGACAGAAAAGCTGCTTGCTGTCAGTCTCACCTCTTGTTCATGGAGGCTCGCTTAGAATTTGTTTCCCTCCGATGGTGCAGAGAGGCAGTAATTTCTTAGGTCAGCAAATCTTCCCGCTCCTTGTATCTGTTTACTTCAAGGAAAGTCCTAGTCAGTTTCTCTGATCCCACGCCTCCTCTGCCATTTCGGGCCAGCACAGTCCATAATTTTAATGGCAGAGGAATTTAGTTGCTTCAGAACCAAACCAACCAACCCAAACCCTGTTTTCTTTTCATCCTTGTCTCTGCCCGCAGGCTGGCTTGGACATGATGTCCAGAGGCCACATGCTTGCTGACGTGGTCGCCATCATTGGTAAGTCTGGCTGTGATTGCCTTCTGCCCCCCGTTGGGAGCTGGAGTTTTGTGCGGGGAAGAACTGGGGAAGGGATTAGTTCCCTAGGAAGAACAAGGACAGCCCTGTCGGATCACAGCAAGGGCCCGTCTTGTCGGTATTCCAGTCACACAACTGCCAACAGCTCCGCAGCAGGATCTGAGTGCACCCACAACACACCCCCAGTTGCCTAGCGACTGGTGTATGGCGACATTCTGCCTTTGCAACTGGAGAGGGCCGGTCACCATGAGGACTAGTAGCCCTGGACAGCCTTCTCCTCCATGAATTCGTCCAGTCCCCTTTTAGAGCTGTCCAAACTGGTGGCCCTCCCTGTATCTCATGGGAGTGAGTCCCTGAATTTAACTCTGCCGTGTGAAGAAATCCTTCCTTTTAGCTGTCCCAAATCTCCCCCCATTCAGTGGCATGGGATGGACCAGGGTCCTAGTATTATGGTGGCGCTGGGAGGAAAGCTTGTCTCTCCACTTTCTCCATGTGGTGCTCCATTTTGCACGTCTCTAATATTTTCAGTCTGTCCTTTGGAGCTGTCCCATGGGGTAGCTCAGGCGGAAAGGTGCTGCCAACCCCAAGTCTCGAGTTTGCTGACTTTCCACTTTTGAGTAATACAGTTCTATAACTCTGCCTCTTCTCCTCCTCCTCCTCCTCCTCAGGCACCCAGGACATTGTCTTTGGCGAAGTGGATAGATAAGTATTGCCCCACCCGGGTCGCGTGTCGAACCGAAGCCGAGCCTTGCACCCAGGGCCTCGGGTGCCTGCACACACCACGGGAGTCCACCCTCCATCCTTTTTCACCTGTGTCTCTGCATGCAGTCGTGTGCGGCCCTCCTCGTGCTGCTGGCAGAGCTTCGCGAAAACAATTAAAAATCTCGTGTCATCCTCATTTACTTATTCGCAGACTGATATGCCGCTTTCTCTCGAACAAGATTCCCAAGCAGTAAGAAAGAAAAAAGACACCCAATAGCAGAATTAAAATATTTAAAGCTCAGTTAAATCAATAAAATGGGGGCTGGACAGTCAGTCAAATGTCCTTCAGCCGGCACCTGAAAGAACGCTACAGCGGAGCCCACCTGACACAGTTCAGCACAGGGGAAGGCAACACACTGAAGGCCGTGCTCTGAACAGGGTCTAAACGGACCTCAGGTCCGTGCAGAGCCCCCAGGAGTGCCTCATTGGATTACTGCAGCGACCAGCCCTGCTGGGAAGGGAGAAAGGGGCTCTGATATCCAGGCGGTTTAGGGATTCAGATCCCAAAACCTGGCTTGGGAGCAAGTGGCTAATGCAAGAGTGATGGTGTGAAGAATCTGCCACCGGATCTGGCGGGTTTCTCCTCCCCGCCTCACCCGACCTCCCTTGGCTTCCTCTTTGCATCAGGTGTCACTTCTGGAGTACCTTCCCCTCTCAGCACTGGGCAGCTTTTCAGCTCTTCCTTCCCTCTCATGGTGAATCAGCTGTTGGCAACAGCTTCCCCTCTTGTGGCGGTTTGTTTGTGTGGGTTTTTGGGGAGCACCTCACTTCCTTACCCCTGTTGGGTGCCTAAAAGCTTCAGCACGCCTCTTACCTTAAGCTCGGCCTCCGCTTGCTCGGCACCCTCCAGAGGCCCCAATTCCTGGCATTTTGACTCTGCTGGATGGAGCTGATGGGCCCGGGAGTCCCAAGCATCCAGAGAGGACCAGACTGGAGATGGGTGTTGTAGGCAGTATGTTCTGAAACTGAGCCAGGAAGCCACACAGTCTCCTCAAAGGGCTTTCTCAGCATCTTGCAGTCTCACTGTGTGGAGAGGCCCGGCACATGGAGCATGTGATTGGCAGGCACTGGGTCTCAGGTTTCATCCACGATGCTTGCCAACTCCAGGGCAAATAAATACTGGTCTTTCTATTAGAAGCTTTGGCAAAACCAAAACTGTAAAAAAAAAAAAGAGAGAGAGAGGAAAGAATAGAATATAAAATGGCAATTAACCTTATGCTTCAACCAAGCTGGATCAAATATCCACAGGTATATATATCTGCATTAAAGAGCGGCCTTAATATGCCACGCATTCAAATGCTGAAAGCGTCATTAAACGTCTCAGTCTCTACTGCATTACTGGATGTGAGCGTTTATCCTTCTGCTGTTGTAATACTTATCTTGCGTCTGTCAAAAGTGAGTAGAAAGTCTGTTTGTTGAATGTATCAATTTAAGGAAGTAGATTATTTAAAAGAACATGTGCATCAGAGCTTAAATAGTGCTTCCATGATGAGTTTATTCATATTATAACATGTTTCCAACTGAGACTAAGTTAGGGTGAGTATTGGTTTGGGTGCTTTTACAGTGGCTGGGAATGAGGGGAGCTGCAGTTCATCTCTTGGTGTACAGAGAACACCAAGTTGGGGAATTCTGTTATATTTTAAATTAAGGGGGGGAACCTTCAAAATTTCAATAAATGCATTTTTCTGTGAAATATACAGCTAAAACAACTATGCAAAAATCAACATCTCTGTGTTCTTCATCACCTTAACAGTCAAGTGAATGAGTTTTCAAATTGGCCAGATTTTTAGATGCAGGCTGGGCTGAGCAAGACGGACTTACTGAACATACCTTCTGACTTTAGCTCTTGTCTGCTAGTTTACAGTAGAAACCATCAGCTTGATTTGGGATCACATAAAATTGTGGCTTGTAGTGATTGTAGTTAAAAACCCACACTGTGAAGTGAGCTACCAAGGATGAGTCGGGAAACCACAGCTTAGAGAAGAGGTAGAAAATCTAGGGTCCAAGATCCAGACGATCTTTCCTAGGATTCTGGCCCAACCCACTGGAGTTTCCCCGTGGCTGCATTCTTGTCCCCTTTCCCCTGACTACCAGTTCTTTGGTCATTTCTGGTAAACCATGGTCTGTCAGTTCCGAAGAAAGAGCAAACCACAGTTTGCACAAACCAGCTCTTGCGAACTCTGGTTTGGCAAAGCTGGTATAGATTTTACATGCAATGCCAAAGGTTTCATATGGTCTGGGTGCAGTTGTTGTCTTAGATCAGTTACGACTGGATAGCCGTGCTGGTTTCTTGCCTCTCGCTGCCTAGTTCCTGTCCGGTTCAGGATTTCTTGGATTAATCCCCCTTGCAACCCAAAGTGGGGTGGAATGGGGCAGGGTTAACGTTTTTGTAGCATTTCCTGATATCCTACATGCCAAAGGATAGTGGGGCTTCTTAGCATATAGCGCTTTTGTTTTCAATGCCCTGTTCTGGTTGGCTGAATCTTTGAAGCGCGTTTCTCTATGGGAAGATTTGTGGCTTCTGCGGTCGTCGTTGAACAATCTCTCTGGGTCTTGCTTCAAGACCGGCGGATACACAAGCCAAAAAACAGCCGATAGCTCTGGCTACACCTGGTCTGTTCTTTGCGAGTGCCATGGCTCCTCTGCCATCTGCTGCGGCAGGAAGCCCTTGGCCACGGGTGGCCAAGTGGCGATGTTTCATGCACATTCCTCCATTGCAGGGGAGAGAAAGGGGAAGGAGAAATCGGTCGCAAGAAGAAGGGGAACACAATTGCACAACCGTTTCTCGGGAGGTTTAGCTTTTATAGCAGGGGCATGACCCTCCTTTCAGCCTCCCTCTCACCGTTAGTGCGCTGGGCCAGAAGCCCCCATCAGTTTCAGCTGAAGGACCCTCACGCCGGGAACGATAGCTTTGGGGGTGGCATTGAGACCGGGCAAAAGACAACAGAAAGCCAGGAAGCCTTCGAACCATTGGCATGGAAAGTCCATTCTAAAGAGGTTTTTAAAATCCATTGCATGAATGCTGTTGGAGCAAAGCATGTATTGGAAAACTTCTCAGGACAACCTCAGCATTGTTTGAAGTCCAGCGGGAGTCTTGCAGTGTTCATGAGATGGAGATGTGTTTGAGCAGGTTATGCGAGAGTTTGTCCCAAGCTTTGACTGGTGGGGAAAATGGTTAATGATCGTGTCTGGCCCTTGTAACGCTGATTTACCTACCCATACGCTGCTTTTTGGAATGAGATGTCTCAGTTCTCCATAACTTCAGTTTGATCTCATTTGATCCACAACTTAATCTATTTTTCTGCTGTTTCATTCGTTGGTTCTTACAACACTTGAAAGTTTCCCACCAGTTACTTCAGCCTTCTCATAGGGCACTTTGTGTCTTTCAGTAGCCATGTGGACTAGAATCTTAGCCATTTCTTTTAGCCTAAAAGCTGCCAGCTTCAGCAATAGGATTACAGTCTTGTTGACAAACCACCTCTCCTTTACGAAAACTCTTCTTGCAGGAGGCTAAGTTAAGCTAAAATTTGGGCCTAACTTTGAGTGCTCTGTTTGAGCTCTCAAGTGAAATACATCCACATGACCAGTCTGACCAGTGGAGAAACCTATACCATGTGTTTTATAAAACACATGTATTTGGGAAGCAATGCTCCAAAGGTCGCACGTACTGCCACATCACAAACAAGGCAGAATCTGGTGGCCACAAACGAGAGATGTGAAGATTAGACAGAATCACTTGGTCTGTGCTTTTCGTTTGCACTCCAACGTTTCTGGCAGTTCTCCCCCTAGCTCCGGCCCTATAGCGCTCTTCCCTATCCTGCTTCCTCAAGCAGCTTAGAGAAAGGGGAACTTGATCGCTGAAGGGGCTACCACTAAACAAACAACCAGCGCAGGAAGACACGCGCTCTGCGGTCGTGAGCTGTTCTGCTGAATTAAGCACGGCAGAGCTGAAGCAAAGATTAGAGCTGGACACTGCCTCGGACGGAAGGTGCGGGTAGAAGCGACTTCCCTTGCCACAGCCCTTCCCGGAGGGACATCCGTCGCTCAGACAGTTCCACCCGAGTCTCCAGGATGAAGCAGAGTCTTTGGACAGCCCTCCTGGTACTCCTGACAGCAGTGGAAGCAGGTAAGGGCATGGGGTGGGTGGGAGGAAACGCCGAGTTCGGGATCCACAGGGTTTTGGTGTGTGCCCACCTATGCGCAAGTTCAGTTGGCAGGATTGGAGGGGAGACGTGCACCTTTTGCACCCAGCCCTCCAATTTCCCGAGCCATCATGGCTTTTCACAAGGAGTCTGTCCTCTGTTCAAAATGACGCAAAGTTATTACCGATTCTGAACACCCTCAGAAGAGCTCAGGGTGGTGCCTATGGCCAATTTGTTCTTTCCTCCTCGCATCAACCCTGTGAGGCAGGGGGATAATAGCGGCGAGCCCAAGGTCAGCTAGTCAGATCTGCGGCTGAAGAACCTGAGTCTCCCTCAGTCTCATCCAACATGTAACTCCTTTGCCTGTTTCTATAAAGTTTAACGGGTAGCAAGACGCACAAAGACTTCCGTGCGCTGAAGGGCAGGGCTGTCGTCTTAAAAGGGTCCGTTTGTCCACTCTTCCTGAGGTGGTGCTCCTGTGAAAGCGAGTTTTTGAAAATAGACCTGTTCTACTCACATGTCTTGTGGGTTTGGGTGTGCTTTGCATTACAGCATTTCAGATTCTCCTAAAGGTTGCTGTGTCCTAAGCTTTCGGAATAGGCAAACATATTTGAATGTAGTTATTTAAAATAGATGCCTTGATTCATTGAAGAATTCTAACTGCAGCTTGAGGCCCGGTGTCCACTTATTCCTGGGTGAGCCCTTTTTTATTTTATTTTATTTTATTTTATTTTATTTTATTTTATTTTATTTTATTTAGAAGACTTCTATGCCGCCCCATTCGCCGAAGCCTCGGGGCGGCTCACAACAATAAATAAACATAAAATAATATAAATTAACAGCATAAAATAAGTCGCCCTGGCCAAAGAATAAAATGAATAAATACTATTAACAATGAAAATGACATTTGAATAAAAAGCAATCCCTTGGGATTGCTTCGGAGGAAGCAGGTCTGGAATGGCCCTTTATAGTTCAAGTGAACCTGCATTCCTTGGTTGTTTGTTTAAAGTTTGTATATGCCGTCCAATACCGAAGTCTCGGGACAGCTTACAAAAATAATGAACAACCCACTGCATCCAACCATTAATGATAAAAACAAAGGTAAGACCAATTAAATGTTAAAATGTTGGGAAAATAAGGTTTTTGCCTGACGCCAAAAAGAATAAAACGACGGCACCAGACGAACCTCCCTGGGGGGCATGTTCCAAGTTTTTAAAAGAATTGGGCCTCTTTTAAAACTGTACAGCCCCAATGATTTTAATTCTATGAGGTTAAATTGGCCAATAATGTATTTGTTATTTGTATCTAACGAATACCAACCAAAGATTCTTGTCTTGTAAAGGCTAGCAGGTTGACTGGGGTTTGAGTTCTGGTGATTTAGAGCCAGGTTTCATCTGCAAATTCCTTTAAAAATAATTCTGTTAACCTGTAAGAGACTAAAGGACCCCAACAAACACAGCAGCTTTTCTGGGGTATGTTGGCATTAATTTCTAATGCTTACATCTCACATTTGTAGTGACTTTCCCAAATTGCTTCTTGTGACTCAAAGAGGAAATCATAACATGTTTCTTTAGAATTAATACTCATTACGGAAAAGATTCCTCGGCTTGTCCCTTCTGGTGGGTCTCCATTTATGGTCTGGACCATCTTGAGACACTTTCTCACCAGCTGGGAGACCCTGCAGACTCTTTGTGATCAGTGGTGACAAATAGGATTGCTTAATAGCAGGTAACCCCTCCAGATGTTGGATTCCAGCTCCTGTTAGCCCCAGCCAGCCTGGCCGATGGTCAGGGAGGATGGGAATTGGGAATCCTGTAACCTCTGCAGGGCCGCAAGGTTTTCTTCAGCCCAGCTTTTAATGGAAAAGAAGGATCTCCTAGGCAGAAGTCAAACCCCACTCGGTCATTGCGGGGCGTAGTCTCCTCGTACCAAAACAGCTGAGGGTACGACTTTCATTTCTTAGGTTGTCCGGGACTTCCTGGATCAGGATGGGGGGCCAGTTTTGACTCCAACACAGGGTGGAGTCAAAAACATGGAGGCAGGACTCTCAAGGTTTCCCACACCAGCTACAGCTTCTTCCTCCTTTCTGGTTGTTGGCATCCGTATGCCACCCTCGCACCGAAACCCACACGATCATGGCATGAATGTTGGCTGAGCCAAATTTCCACGCAGCCCATGATCCTGTCCCCGCCAGTGATGCCTCCAGCGAGCCCCACAAAAGTTTCCCCTGGGTTCCCACACTGCCAGCGGCGGAAGGTGCTTGCTTCCATAAGCTGCAACCCTATCGGAGCGGTCAGTGCTAATGGACATGGTTCCCCGCAGCGCTTGCAGGGGCTTGTCATGTTTTGAGCGCTCATTGCTCCTAGCTCTTCCACGCTTTTCTCCAAGGGCTGCCCTGTAGCTGTTTTGGACTGCAACTCCTATCAGCCCCGGTCAGCACCGGCAATAGCTGGGGATGAGGGTCCAACAGATCTCTGAAGGAGCCGTTGAAAAGGGAAGTTGTTGTTGACACTTCCATCTTTAGATGCATGACGCATCTCTGAGTTACAAGGGTGCGTCTACATGGTGGAGGAGGCAAACTCACTTGGATCCAGGTTGGACTGAATTGGATCAGGTTGCCTGCACACAAAGCGAGAACAAAAAAATCCCAGTTGATTTCAGTGGAGCAGCTTTGCCCAGGGCTAACTAACCCACTAAATGGATTTTTCTGGGTTTTGGTTTTCCCTGACCTTACCTTTTGCAATGCCCCCGATTCTCTCTCCCTCTCTCTCTCTCTCTCTTTCCCTCTTTATTTGCACAAACTTAATTGTAAATGATTAAAGATAATGCATGATAATGTCACAGTCATGTATGTATATTAATATCTGGTGGCCCTTTTAAGGACGGCCATGGGCAGGGCTGGGCGCGGCACCCATCTGGCTGGAAGAACCACCCCAGGCCACATATTCCAAGACGCTGCCTGCAAAAATAGCAACGACAATAACAATTGCCCAGCATCCAATGTTAAAATATAAACCCACCACTAAAACAAGTTAATTAAAATACTGGGATAATAGTTATAATATTTTCTCCAGCTTTGCAGGTTAAAGAAAAAAAACTGAGATGATAAGCATTCTCGTTCTGGCTTTGTTCAGCCGTTCTGGAAGTGCCCTGAACTGCTTTATGCGTCCCTGCACAAATGACGTGATATTGATTGATTGATTGCTTTTTTATGCCATCCTATTATACAAAAACCTCAGGACAGCTTACAATATTTAAAAGAACAGTTAAAACAACAATTTCTAACGAATAAATTGAAACAGAACAAAACAATCAATCACAAAATAAACAAGAGTGACTAAAGTTAATTGTTTATTTTAAAATACTGTTTAAATAAAAAGGTTTATTTAAATAAATGAAGATTCATTTATGCTAAATAAATGAACGTTATTGCATGATGGTTTACCTCGGTGAACAAATTGGAAGAAATATTTTAGACTGCTGGCAAAACACCAACTGGACTTCATTGGGAAGCGTTTTAGAAGAGGCCGCTTTGAATTCAGATGTTGCTCAGGAGAGTAGTGTAAATACCCAGTTACAACAGGTAGTAAGAAATCCTTAGCATAGCTTCTCTGCTTATGGTAATCCAGAAGTTCTATTCCTAACCTGAAGCAGAAGAGCCATGCTACCCTGGTGTGTAAAATGTATGTACGTCAGCTCTGGAGAAAGCACCCCTCTTGGACAATGTAGAGTAAGTCATGGAAAGGCACTCTGAATCGCCTTTACTGCCCTGTAGCTACGGCACCGTTTCTTTCACCCCAATACTGCTTTCTGCATTCTTACTATCTTGCATCTGATCCGGGAGGTCAATCTTCTCATAGCTGGGTAACAACGGCTCGTATTTGACGAGCCCTTTTTGTTCTGCCGAGAGCTCCTGGATCTCTCGAAAGGACTAATTTGCTTTTCGTTTGAACCTGTCTGCCAGTCTGCATTGTAGGAATACTGGGGGGGGGGGGGGCTGCAGCCTCAGACCTTCAGGTGTTAATTGCTGCTCGTCTTTCAGAGCTGTGAGCGATCTCCTCCTCCCAGGTAGGGCGAGTCGGGTCAGAAATCACAGGCAGGCGTTGGGGATCCCTTCAGGCAGGACTGACCTATGCAAAGCAAGCCTTTCTCCTCCTCACGCCTTCCAGATGTGTTGGGCCGCAACTCTTGGCTGGGGATTATGGGACCTGGGCACATCTGGAGGACTCCAGGCTGCGATTGTCTCATAACGCATCGATGCCGGCGAACTTCCATGCCTGAAAGCTAACATTCACGGTCCTGGAAATAGGTGGGGAACATGTGGCCTCTGCGGTCTTGTCCGATTCCAACTCCCATTGGCCCCAGCCAATATGGCTAATCCTCGGATCATGGGAGTTGTAGTCCAGCAACATGTGCAGACCGAAGCTTCCCTGCCCCGCATTCTAAACACCCCCAGTGAGTTGGGCCCCAAGCGTAATTTGGACAGTCATAATAAAGCAGGCTGCATTGTCACAGTAGAAGGACTCTAGGCAGCTCTTCTGCAAGTTTCTCTTCACACACACGCTTGGTGGTCACATCGCAGGAGCAAAGAGCCGCTCTCTTCCCCGCGCTTCGCTCAACGTTTATTTTTGCACGTGGGTCCGAGTCCCGGCTTCGGAACGCCTGTGGTTGAACCGAGCGCAAGTTTGCCGATCTGATATGTTTGTGGCGAGAGAGGGAGGCGTTCTAGTGTGCAGGTCTTATCTCGACTTTGAACCGGGAGCAAGCGCCTCAAGATGCGTAGATTTCTCGGGCCGTGATCGGCAGGCCAAAACAAACCCAAAACACAGCCCTGTGTTTCAAGACAAATGCATACAGCGCTTTGTTGTTCAAAGATACTTCCTTACTTTAGACACGGCTTGGGTCACATGATGCCCTCCGACTCTTTTGGATTACAAGTCCCATTAGCCTTCACCCCATTGGCTAGATTACCTAGGTTTCATGTCAAACGTTGCTCACCCCTGCTTTACAAGCCTGTCTATAAAGGAGTCGCACCAAATGCAACTAGAAGTACCAAGAATTTTTCTGTATAGCACGCCTATTTTTTCGTTTTGCCTCCTGAGGGTTGTTCTGCTTACATTTTCAGTTGTGTCCAATCTTATGTCCACTTAGAACAGGTCCATTTACATTAATGGGTGTTAGACATGACGAATGCAAGTCCATTCAGTTCATGGGTCTACTCTAAGCTGGACCACATGGGTAGGACCACCGTTGGTGTCTCACTTCCTCTCTCTCTTTCTCCCTCACCAGGGTCCTTAGAGGTGAGTTTTGTGTGGCATGCGCCTTTGTCTCTACCACAAATATACATAAATATGGTTTGGGTGGAAGGTAGATTGGGATCTTTGGGTGGATTTCTGAGTAATTTGCTGTTCTTTGGGGGGGGGGGTTGACACCCAGTTGCCATCTTCCAAATTCAGCTGTTCCAGTGAAGGCAGAGTTGTGAGGCAGGGGTGGGTTTTTGTGTCCAAGGACAGTTTTAGGAAAGAGGCCCAGACCCCCTGTTAATTCTGCTTGTCCTGCCAAGCCACCTACTCCAGGTGGTAGTTCCTGAGCCTCTAGTAAAAAGCTAGGCTAGATCCAAGCAGGAGAAAAAGCTTCCAGAATCCCCGCCCCGCCCCATGGAAACCATGTTAGATCAGACTGGAGGCCAGGGTGGCTCACCAGATGCTGCTGTGGAAAACACACAACCAGGCGCTCCTTTTCTTAAAACAACACAAGTGCACAAGTCATTATTTGTTTTTCGGCGCCAGGCGAAGACTTTTTTATTTAAACGTCATTTTAATTGTTAATATTATTTGCTTATTTTATCTGGCCAGGGCGACTTATAATACATAAAACAAATTAACAATATAAAATATTTTATGTTGTGAGCCGCCCCGAGGCTTCGGCAAATGGGGCGGCATAGAAATGCTTTAATAAATAATAAAATAAATAAAGAAATGAAGGTAGACATGAGAGGGAAGGACTTTAACCAAGATTACTTGTGACAGTGGCACAGGCCAGGAATCGATGGCTCACCCGCCACTTAAGTTCTTTGTGTTTGGGACACATTAGGGAAGACGCTGTGTTCCACTGCTTATGCTTACTGCTTCTGACACTGCCCATGAGGACTAGTAGCTTTGTCTGTCTTAGGAACCTAAGAAATCCATGTGGTGCAATCAGAGGGTCCCTCTAGTCCCATATTCCATTTGCATGTGGCCTCCTCCAGCTGCCCACAGGGCTGCACAGGCCCACCCATGTTCCCCAGCAGCTGGCCCCTCTTGCCTGGTACCCAAGCATACCTACCTCTGACCCCAGTCCTGAGTGTGCCTTTGCCATCATCAGCGCTTCCCCTGCAGCCATTCCTTCCTTTCCCTGGCAAACCACGAACATGGGAATCTCAACATCTTGTATATTTGGATGCGAGTCATTTAGTCAGCGGAATAAAGGTGTTTTAGCAAGGCAGAAGCTGCAATTGCGCTTGCTTTTTGTGTTCAAACAAGTATGTGCGACCTGGACCCACAGAGGCAGCTGAGCGTGCTTTCTTGCGGGGAATGGTTGCAACTCTCTTGTCTGGCTCTTGGTTCCTCCAAATGCAGTTTCACTGCCAAGCCTTTCCCAAAATCACCAAAAGGTAATTCTTTCCTTTCCAGAGGCCCTGAAAGAACCTCAGCTGTGCTACATCTTGGATGGGATTTTGTTTGTCTATGGTATTATCCTGACATTACTCTACTGCCGACTTAAGGTGAGTCTTTGTGGCTCTCTGACGAGAGAATCCTAATATAGCTATAAATTTGTTTAGAATCTGTCCTCCATGGGCTCGATGCTCTCTGGGTGACCATTGTAATAGGTCATAGAAGGCTGAAACAGAAAAAGAAATACATAAAAAGAGAAATACATAGAAAAAATACATAGGAAAAAAAAAGAAAATACATTAAAAATAAATAGAAAAAATACATAGGAAAAAAAAGAAAATACATTAAAAATAAATAAATACATAAAATTCTGAGGTGAGGGGTGAACAGATTTTTTTAAAGCAGTATTTATTATAAATATTTCTAATGAAGGAAGGGAGAGGCACCTTGTATGGTGCTTCCAAACAAGAGATGTCATGCAACTCTTCAATTTTGAGTGGATTTCTGGTTTGGGGGGAGAAAAGATGTGGTTGGAGGACAGGAAGTTAACGGACAGAAATGGTCTGGATTCCTCGTAAAATTCTGTGCTCAAGATGGGACGATCATGCAATAAAACTCTGGTGTGGAAGCAGGGAAGGATAACTGCAGCATGAGGCTAATTTTCGGTATTAACCCTTTGTGTGTTTTTCCTCCTCCGCTCAGATGCAGTATCGTAAGAAAAGCAAACCTGCCCCTGCCGCCATCTATGAGGTGCGTCCTTCGTTCCTCTCATTCCTGTAATATGTAGGGCTTACCTGGCCTTTGTAGAAAGAGTCCCATCAGGTGGGATTTCCGGGTGTGCCTTGTGGTACCAAGGGACCGTCAGGACAGGTGTGTCGAAGGTCCGGAAGCAAAGTGTGGCGTCGTGGTGAAGAGCCTGGGACCGGGACTCAGGCGATCCGGGTTCGAGTCCCCGCTCGGCCGTGGAGCCAACTGGGTGCCTTTGGGCCAGTCACAGCCCCTCAGCCCAACCTACCTCACAGGGTTGTTGTGGGGATAAGATGGAGGAGGAGAATGATGTCAGCTGCCTTGAGCCCTTTGTAGGAAAAAGGCAGGATATAAATCGCAGTATAAATAAAATAAAGTGGAGTTGGATGCTGCCAGACACGCCCAACTGAAGACTCTTGGGGGGCAACAGCCCTGGGTCGGGTGTGGCCGGCCCTCCCATGTGGCAGAGGGCAGTAGCTGCCCCATGTGGCAGGTACTGGGGGAGCCACACTTTCCCTCGGCTCCCGGCAGCACCGATCCGGAGCCACACCACCTAAACTGTCCTTGGGCAGGGAGGGGTTTCTGCTTTACCTAAACATTTAGCACAAGGGTGTGTTGTTGTGTTGTTTCCTAGCATGCTGCAAAAGGCGAAAAGCACATAGAGCAGGGAAATCGAAACAGACATGTTTCGCTGTTTCACTTTCTGTTCCTCCATGATGTCATTATTTTTGTCTTCTTTTCCAGAAAGTGGATGGACTCTATACCGTAAGTATCTGACTACGTCACTATGTTGGAGAGAGTTGTGCAACGTATTTGCCAGTTTCAGGAAATGTTATTTATTGTGAAACATAGAAACAGAGCGAGTCAGAAGGGGTTTCCCGGGCCATCTAGCCTGCTCCAGCCAGCTCCGCTCACAACATGCCCACCATGTGCATGTCCAGCCACTCTTTGAAGACCGTCACCGATGGGGCCTCAACCTCCTCCCGTGGAAGCCCATTCCACACCCTCGGGGTCCTAACTGTCAGAAAGTACTTCCTGGCATCCAAACTGAACCTTGGCTCCCTGAGCTTTGCTCCGTTGGGGCGCATCCTGCCTTCCTCTGCAGGGCAGAACAGGTCTCTCCCCACCTCCGTGTGACATCCCCTCTCATACCTGTATGTCGCCAACAGATCCCCTCTGAGTCTCCTCTTATTTATTTACGTATATTTCTAGGCCGCCTATAATTGCCGAGGCCTTCCTAGGCGGCTTGCAATGCCAAACATACTAATAAAGTAAAAACACATTAAAAACCAATCAAAACATAATGAATTGAACATCCATAAAACGATTAAAAAGGGCCACAGCATACCAGGCTAAACATTCAAAAAATCCTTAAAAGATATGTCTTTGCCTCGCGCTGGAAAGAAAATAGAGATGGTGCCAGGCGAATTTCCCTAGGGAGGGAGTTCCAGAGTTGGGGAGCCACAGCAGACAAGGCCCTTCTCCTTCTTGCCACCCTTCTCATCTTCCTGAGGTGCTTGTCCAAGGGCCTTCTGAGCTGATCTGAGGGGGCAGGTAGGTATCTATGGCTGTAGTCCTTCAGATAGCCGGGCCCCAAGCCATCTCCGGCTTTATATGTCAACACAAGCACCTTGAATTGGAACTGGGCCACACCTGGTAGCCAGTGAAATTCTTTCAGCCCCGGCGTTCTGTGGGTGGCTCTGGCGATAGCAGTTACCAACCGAGCAGCCCGATTCCGCTCCAGTTGCATTTCCCGGCTGTCTTCAAGGGCAGCCCCACATGGAGCACCTTCCAATAATCTATCTCGGAAGTTACCAGAGCAGGGGTCACGATGTTCTGTCTAGGTAGGGGCGGAGCTGGAAAATCCAGCACAGCTGGAAAAAGGCACTCCTAGGCACGGAGTCCACCTGATATTCCAGGGACAGACCAGCAGTGTGTGGGACATAATTCAGCCAAAGGCCCCCGTCTGTGTTGGAGATGTTCTCCAGGAACACATTCCAGGCTGAGACAGCCTGAAGGCAAAGGGAGGGAGTCTAAAAATGCCGATCTATTTTAATTGAATTATCTTCTACTACTGAACTCCCCTTGCTGCTGCTTTACATGCTGTGAAGTCATCTCTGATTTATGGGGACCTATCATTGAATGCCCTCCAAAACATCCTATTCTCCATAACCCCGGCCCTGATCTGGCAAATTCAAGGCTGGTATTCCCTTTATAGGACCGATCCAGCTCATTCTTGGTCTTCCCCTCCGGTCTTTGGGTTCCCCTAGCGTGGCAGTCTTCTCCAGCAGGTTTTGCCTTCTCGGGATGAATCCAAAGTACAACAGTGTCACTTTTGCTTCCATACTATCCTTAGGAGAAACATTTCAACCTCCTAGAAGAAAAAGAAAACGTTGCAAAATTAGGGCCAGATCTAGCCCAGCTACCTGAAGTCCACAGGTGTGAGATTCATTTTCACGACTGCTATAAGAGACCCTTGAAAGCTGTCTCTCTATTTCCCCAGTGGTGACTCCTTTCTCCACCTTTCTTCCTTGCAGGGCCTTGGCTCCCGTGAGACTGAAGCATATGAAACCCTCCAGCTGCCCAAAGCGCACCCGCGACAGCAACCCCCAGAAGAGGGGCAGTTGGTGGAATAGGTGTGTTTCCTCGTGGGTCTCCTGGACACACCTTCCTGGCACTCCAGCACCTGCAATTGTACAACTGGCTTTGAACTCTGGGAGACTCAGCATCTCCACACCCTGTGCCAGCCTAGGAAGGAAAATCCCACCCCACAAGACACTGCGTTTAATCGTTCTCTTTTTTGGCATATACCAGCCTTCTCTAGCCAGTTGTTCGCTGGACCCCTTGGACGATCGCTCCCACGTTTCCCCAGACTGCATGGCTATTAGCTGTGCTGGCTGAGGATGATGGGGCACTAGATCTGCAGGGGGCCTGGCGTGCCCAGTTTGCATTGCTTGTTCCTGCTTGCTCATTTCAGCCTGTCCCTTCCCGCGAGGGATTGCTGGGGTACGAGCAAAAGTCGGCGGAGTCTGTCTTTGTTTCGCCATTCATTGATTCTGAGATCATACCTCGTTTTGAAATCATGGGAGCCTCAAAGCCTTAGGGGTAGGCCTTTGCTTACACAGCCACGTAACTAAGGATTCCCGTCGGCTTCTTGCACCCTGTTTGCCAAAGCTATGCTACTGCGGGAGGGGAGGAATATTTTATTCCCTGCTCACTCGGCCTTCCTTGGCATGGTGTGTATCAGAGTAGAACGCCCCTCTGGCCGCAGCTCACGGAGTCAATCCTCTGCATGGTGTTGGATATTTCCTAAGGAAACTGAGGTAGGGTGGCTAAGCTCTCCTCGGTTGCTCAGAGAAGCATCCCTGAGTATTGTCATATGCCTTATTTTGACACATTTCTTCCCTACTGTATAGTTTTCTCTTCCAACTTAACCTTAGTTACCCCCAGATCATCTTTCCTGCGTGGGGGTTCCCTTGCATTAAAATTAGAAAGGGTCCAGCGTAGGGCAACAAAGATGGTCCAGGGTTTGAAAACACTGCCCTGTGAGGAGAGACTGAGTGAATTGGGCATGATCGGCCTTGAAAAGAGAAGGCTGTGGGGGGACATGAGATCCCTCTAGAAGTCCCTCAAAGGCTGTCACAAAGAGGAAGGTCGGGATCTCTTCTTGCTGATACCAGAGTGTAGGACACGGAATAATCAATTCAAGTTGCAACAACCCAGATTCAGGCTGGACATCAGGAAGAGCTTCCTCATTGTCAGAGCAACAGGACAGTGGGACCAGCTGCCTGGAGAGGTGGGGGGCTCTCGCACACTGGGGACATTCAAGGCAAAACTGGGCAGCCATCTGAGTGGGACGGTGTAAACTGCTGTCCTGCAGCAGCAGAGGCTTGGACACCCCCCCCCCCGATAGCCTTCATGGCCCCTCCAACTCTGTTCTATGATTCTTCTCTGTCCTTTTCCCCACTCCCCCTCAAGAACAAATCCCTCCAGGAACTTGTTGGATTAGCACCTTGTTCCTTGGTGTCGCTCCACACTCTTGCACAGAATAATGACATACCATTGCACGAGCTCATGTTAATCCTTGTAGTCTCAGATATTTCTGCTGCTTTTCCCCCTCCCAAGCTGAAAGATAAAGGCTGAGCTCCTTTCTACAGGAACTATCACTTTTAGTGTCTCTGAACAATTTTGTTCGACATGATGGGTTCTCACTTGACCCTGAAAGCCTCAGTGAAAAATAAATACAGTGACCCTAAATGTGAAGCAAATCTTTTGTGAAGGCTGAATTTGTGCAGTTGAGAAGGTCTCACCAGAACGATTCAAAGGCAGTGGTTAATATTCAGTGCACAAGAGAGGCAGAGCCCAGGGTAGGAAGAAGCCCTGAGACCACAGTTAGGTGGTTAAACAGAGTTTGTAATGTAGAGAAGGCTCTTGAGAGCACCCACAAGCTTGCAAATCTATTTGCCCCAAATTCACTCCTGGTTTGCCCTCTAAGTGTTAATTTTCCATCTAATTTTAGCTGGTGGGGTTCATTCTTTAGACAATCGGGAGTCAGGCAGCTGTTAAAATGGAGGATGCTTTCGGAAGACTGTGTTCTGGAAAGAAGGGTACACAGGGAGAACCCCAAAGTATGTTGAATTCACAAACATCAGCGCAGGCAATGATCTCTAATACAGGTGTGCGGGTCTGTGTGGGAGAGAATATAGGGATGGGTGAACATGGGCGGTCCGTTGGTTGCGGTTCTCTGAATTCTTCCGTGATGTTGTTCTGTTTGCATTCCCCAGACAAGACTGCCTCCCCACCTCCAACTCAAGATCAAAAATTTCCTCCCATGTGTGGAAATGCAGATTTGGGGATGGACGGTTAATTTGCATATGTAAATTTTTGAAAGGGCGCGCTTGTGTATGTGCATTGTTTTGAACAAGAGCAAAAGGTAAGTACTATGTTGCACTGTCTTCCTGAGAACTGTGTTTGTGTTTGCACCCGGGGCTGCAAATGGGACATGTTTACATGAAACCCCTTATTTATTTATTTAAAAAATTTCTATGCTGCCCCCATCGCAACAAAGCCTCGGGGCGGCTCACAAAAATATATATTTAAATAATTATTAAAAATATTTATATTCCATCCTATATGTGGGGCATCTCAGGATGGCTTAAAAGGAACAAACAATCCATAATCAAAACAATAATTAAAAATGTACATAAAGCCAACAGAAACATACTGCCAATGAGAACAAAGTCAAAATCAAGATCAAAATCAAAACAAAACCAAAATGCGACAGTGGATAATTAAAAACCGGTTAAAATTTCTAGTTCTTAAAATGATGGGCAAATAAAAGGGTTTTCACCTGGTTTTATGTCAGAACATGGACAAAAAGCATGACAAGGAAGGTTTCTTTGAATAAACAAATTTTGGGGAGACGGGAGGAAGTGATGGGGCTTGACTAGCTGCTAAGGGACCCTCTGGAGCATCCTGTGATCTCAGCAATCAGGAGGTTTATGCAAGACCCTCTTCTGAGCTGCATTTCCTGTTCATCACAACCGCTGGTACCTGGGCCAGAGCAAACAGGTTGCTTGGTGAACAGGAGGAGTAAGTCCAGGGGCTTTTGTCACTGGGCCCTAGCTGGGGTGTGGGGTTTTGGCATATGCCTGACCAGGCTGCCCCTTGAGGCCAGCCCTGGATGGAGGGCAGTGCGTACTGGTTTGCAGTCAGAATTAAGCCTTCCTGGAGGCAACCGACTAATTCTGAGAAATAAGGCAAGCAAGATTGCAGTCAGCAACCACCGTTGCCCCGATTAGGAGTGGTAGAAAACTGAAGCCTATGGAAACGTTGCATGCATTTATCTGATAGGAAGTTCTGCACATTATATTCGCACATGATTCACCCCTCACTGTGAAAATGAACATGGACAGGAAGAACGGGGTGGGACGGTTGCAGAGAGACTGATAAAGACAAGGGAATGACTGAACATGACTCACTTCCCTTGGTTTGACAGTTCAAGTTTCGTTTGACCTCAGAATCTCGGATGGTATGAGCCAGGATGCTGCTGGGCATGGCCAAGATTTGGCCGTGCCCTTACCTAGGACACACATCTCCATTTGCTGATTTCTCTCTAAATACTGATTCATAATTAGTGAGAAGTACCAGGTTTTGTTTAAATGTTCCTGGGGGCAACATAATTTTTTCATCTAAGTGGTCTCAAAATATATTCCTCAGTTAATTTGAACACCCGCAACTAAGTTTAATGGCCATGCAGGGGAATACTTTGGGGGAAGTGTGGGGGTGAGGAGTGTTACCTGTGGGAAGGGAGCTTTCCTGCAATTCCCTAGGGTGCAGGAGAAAACTTTCTCTAGCACTAATGAATATTCAGGAATCCAGCCCCTGGGAAATAAATTTGGGGCTGGAGCCAGTGGGGTGCCGTGCTTAGAGCATCAGGAAAACCCAGTTCTAACCCTTGGCCGAGAAACATGGTGGGCACTTAGTGACACTCAACTGGCCTACCTCATCAGGCTGTTGTGAGGATAAGACAGGATGATTATGCTGGCTTGGGTTCCTTGCAGGAAAAAAGATGAGCGTGTGGAAAGGTGTGTGTGTGTGTCATAAAAAGTAATATTTAGCATATGCAGTTTCAAAATGGTTTAGCTTAGACAACTGGAGGTATGAGAAAAGCAAAAGGGGGTTGCTTTTAAAACACATATGGATTTTGTTTTGTTTTGTGTATCTTCATTATGCGGGAAAGACAGGACATACATGTTTTAAATAAATGGCCTATGCAAGGTAGGTATTTTGTGACAAGCAGACCCAAATTAACAGCATGTTGGTTTTCTGCACTGTTTCAAGGTTCTCAAAATCGTAACTTTCTGCAAACAACAAACTGTACTGAGTATAGATGAATATAATGGATCATGATGGTTTCACTCCTGAGCAAGCATATATTGAATTAAACGGGAAAAGGACTTGTAGTACTAAAATAAGTTGAATTTAAAAGTGACCTCTGTGGCTTTATTAAGTTTATTGTATAAAAAAGTATCGCATTCACAACAAGATTAAGCTAACTTATGAAAAACGCCACAACCGTCCAGTCACTAAATAAGGTCACGTCCATCAACAGGGCAGGACGGAGCCGGGCCTAAAGAGGACGGGACGGCGGTCACGTGACTCAGTCGTTCCCTTTGGGCCTTCATTACCCATCAACCCTCGGGAGCGGGCAGGCAGAAAGCGGAAGTTGCGCTCACTTTCCTACTTAGAGATATGAAAGGATAGAACGAGGCAGCTTGGCGTGGAGCAGAAACCCAGTTTACATAGGAGAAGTTGCGACCGACTCTCCCCCTCGCCGGTCCCACAACGCAGCTGGCTTAACACCTTGCATGCTCAGTGCCGGACTAATTAGACCTTTGGTCTGATCCAGCCGCGCTTTTATTACATTAAGTGCGAGCTGGACGTAGGATTCCACGGGGCGTCCCAGGGTTCTTGCGCCGCGGGGACTGGGAGCCCGTCTGGGTGTCCACGCGGGGAAAAAAAATGGAGACGCAAACGCTCTTGCCTCTTTGATCTAAGTTGGCGGGCAGTTCATACGCTTTAAACTCCATTATCCCTAACATGGGAAGCTGGGTGTTGGAATGACGCGGACGGTAGCAATGTGCGGGGTCTCATGCATTGTCGACTTGTAAGCAGCTACGGCGCATTCTTGAAAGTTGCAAGCCACCCATTACAGTTTGCACAGGGAAAAAGACCAAGCAGAAGGGCTCCCCTCCTCGCTTTGAGGCTGGCTTTCGGAGAGAGTGGAGAAGGAGCTGCGGCCCCGCGCACGCTATGCTGACCTCTCTTCACTGCTGCCCTGGAGAAGCATCCGAGGTAAGAGAAGGAAAACACAGTGCACTGAATGGGAAATCGGTCCCCGTGTGTCACTCTAACCTTTTCCTATCTCTGTGGCCTCTCAATTTCTGACGGTACTTCCCTCTCCCGGGAGCGGGGGCGGAAATCCTTGTCCGTTGCTACGACAACGGCCGGAAATTGCGTCCGCGGGGGTGAGAGCCGGAAGTGACGCCGGGGAGGGGAAGTTCCTCGGCCAAGGCGGCGGTAGTGGCGGCGGCGGCGGCCTGAGCCATGTCAGCGGGGAGCGCGGGGCAGCGGGAGCCGGGCGCCTCGGGAGGGTGAGGCGGCGGCCCCGCGGCTGGGCTGCGCTGGGGCCTGCGGGGGCGAGGCGGGAGCGGAGCGGGTCGGCGGGAGCGCGAGGCCGGGCGAGGGAGCCCTTCTGGGACTAGGCCGGGCTCCCCCAAGTGGGAGCCTTCTGGTGGTGTCGGACTACCACTCCCATGATCCTTAGCTGGCGGGGAATTCGCGGGAGTTGTAGTCCGACGCGGCTGGGGAGCTGGCTGGGGATCATGGGAGTTGTGGTTCGATGCAGCTGGAAGGTGCCGGGTCGTGGGCGGTGCCTGAGGATCAAGGATCTTGTTAGAAATGTTGGACCCTAGGTTGGGATTTGTTTGATGACCGTGAGAGTTGTAATCCAGTGTTTCTGGCAGGTGCCAAGTTTTGGAGTTAGCCGAGGATCATGGGAATTGTGGGTTCAGTAAACCTGGAGTAAGCCAGGTTGTGCTGAGGGAGAATTTCATGACTTGGATGGGATGTGGGTGTGGTTAAGGTATAACATGGAGAGGCATCAGCTTTGCTTTTTCCAACTGGAGTCTCCTGAGATTTACTAGCTAGCCCAGGGGTCGGCAACCTTAAACACTCAAACAGCCATTTGGACCCGTTTCCCACAGAAAAGAAAACACCGGGAGCCACAAAACCCTTTTGACATCTAAAATGAAGATAACCCTGCATATATCGGGTTTTTTTTTTACCTTTATGGAATGTATAAAAAAACTATAGTGTGTTGCATTTTCATCCAGATATTTTTCAGTAAAGGCTAAGTTTTTATTCTGGAAATGTCTTGCGACATTTGACTTTTTGTTGTTTGCCCATTTCTCACCACATATTAAGCATACTGATAAGCCAGTCTCGTCAGCAGTGAAAGCAAATGAATCTGCCCACGTACCATTAAACGTTCTGTTTTCTTCTGAAACTTTTCTTTTCTTGGATTTATCCATGGTTGGTCTACCAGGGGTCGAAAAGCTCAGTAAATCGTGTGCCAGCAGATGTCGCACATTGGCAGTTGTGACACATATTTTGAGCAACAGGGAGCCGCAGCAGAGGGATGAAAGAGCCACATGCGGCTCTGGAGCTGTGGGTTGCTGACCCCTGAGCTAGACCCTGGTGCTTTAAAAAAAAAAAAAAAAACTTGAAATTAGGGAATCCTGAGCCCAGGAGTTGATTTGGGTTACAGGAACTGGTTGGTGTTCACAGTCCTATATAGAAATCCAGTCCTGGTTATCGTAAACTGGGATGGACAGACAGATAGATTGGAATCTTTGGAATAGATCTTTGGGTGACTTGTTTTAAATTACTAAATGTTGCTAGTGATTGAACCTTAGTGACAATCAAAAGCTGTTTTTCTAATAAATTGAGCTGCTGAAACTAAAAAAGGTTGCAAGTAGGGTGAACCAGTGTTGAAGTATGTGCATAGTCCAGTTCTGGTACTGAAAATAAATTCCTGGGCTGTATATGTGCTTGTGGTCATTCTCGTATTCCTAGGCTGCTCACTCTAGATAGTGGAACTCAAAGTTCCAGTAAAGAACAAAGGCAATCCCACAAGCCTGAAGATGGGCTTTCTTCACTTCAGCAGTAAAATTTAAGGCAGGACGAAAGAGACATGCTGAGGTTCCCATTCCTGTTCTTAAGCAGTTGTTTATTATACTTAGTATTTATTAATTAGAATAGGAAACTTTATTCACCTGTTTCGGGTCACCTAAAGATCTGCTAGTTGAGGCAGACGTACTATCTGCCCATCCCAGCAATTTATAAGGCTCTCTTCCCTCCCCACTTATAAAAAATTGACCAACTTCTTATTTATTATTACAATTATATTCCTCTCCTTTGGCATAAAAGCTAACAGACAAACTATAGTTAGGCTGTCTGGGGGCATGCTGGGAATTGTAGATCATTTTTCTGTCTAAACAGACACCAGATTTCACGTTCCAAAGTTGGGCAGAATAAGACATGTTCCTGCTTCACAACTGCTGCTGCTGATCAATGAAGACTGACTGGGTTAGATTAGGGACGGAGAACCCCCGACCGGAGCTTCTCAGGCGGCCCTTTTCCATGGCCCCACTACTGTGTGGTTTCCTGGCTTTTATGCAGTTTTTCCCTCCATCTCAAAGACTGCAGTGTGTTTCCCAAGGCGGAGTTTCTGGCAGAAGGAGCTGCAAATTATGGCATGCCAGTAGTGTCCATGTTTGTGACCTCACCCCTTTGGGATCAGATGGCTTCACACACTGAGGTGGGGATGAGGACTGCTAGAGGCTGCTGCCCCCATGCAACTCTGCCCCACCCCATGCTCTTAAGTAGGATTCAGAAGCATGGTTAAGACCAGGCAGCTCAGTTCAGTCTCCTTTTGGGGTCACATTCAAGTTGATGAAATCCTGTTTCGTTTTGTGCTTTGCCTTAAGCCCTTTGGATGGGGCAGACTGTCAGTCTAGCTGAATGAATCCACTCTGGCTTAACATGCAAGGATTTCTGTGACCCTTAACTAGTCAGGCTGTCAGAGGTAGGTCTTATGAGTGCTAGGTCCTTACTGCTGGGTGGGACAGCTTGCAGCTCCAAAGCAGACCTAAATATTTTTCCCCCCAAATTTTCTAGGCGCCGCAGTAAATGGGACCAGCCCGGGCCATCTCCAGCTCTTTTCCTCCTTCCTGCAACCACCCCCGTGGCCAGCCGTCCTGTTCAGGGCAGCGGAGACAGCGTGTCGGGGATGTCAGGATCCGAGGGTTCAGCAGCTCCTCTGGGCGCACTCGATGCGGCTGCTGCCGTGGCAGCCAAAATCAATGCCATGTTAATGGCCAAAGGGAAGCTGAAACCGACGACCAATTCAGCAGACAAGGTTAGTGGCTGCTAGGGGTGAAAATGAGGCTACAGAACTGGTGCTGTCAAAACGAGAGGACAAGAAACCCGCTCTTTTAAGAGGGTGGAAGTACATTTCAAATTGGGGATTTTGTGCTTCCCTGTTGGGTTATTTACCCAGTTGCTCATTGCTTGATACCCAGTCAAGTGCGCAGATTGATACCATTAAAAATTAATGTGTCTGAGCTGCCATATAATGGTAAGGAGGGTCTTATCTGTGATGGGTTGTTGTCTTGCTTCTCCTTTTTATAATTTTATAATTTATTTCTAGAATCAGAGAACAGTTGGAGGGGGCCAAGAGGGCCATCGGGTCCAACCCCCTGCTGTTGCAGGACACCAAGTTACACCATCCCACTTAAGTTACTGTCCAGTTAGGGTTATATCTGCTATTTGCCATATTCAGAACCATTAACGTTAATGAGACAAAGCAGAAATAGGAAGACAGATCCGCAACACTATTTATTAGATTTATAGCCTGCTTGTTTTCTTACAAAGAACTCAAAGTGGCTTATATTTTGCTCTTCTTCCTGCTCTCAATCTTATCCCCACAACAACCCTGTGAGGTAGGTTGGGCTGAGAGCCTGTAATTGGCCCAAAGTCACCCAGTTGGCTCCATGGCTGAGCGGGGGCTCGAACCCAAGTCACCTGCGTCCCAGGTTACACTCTTAACCACTATACCACATTGACTGTCCCTGTGTCACAAGCTGTTGCTTGCAATGTAGAATCACATCAAAATGAACTTGTACCATCCAAGTTCAGCACTATTAAAATAAACATTTTTAGAAAGATTGATCCCAAATTAATTACCTGGTAATTTAATCTAAAATTTCAGTATCTTAATATATAGAACAATGAAATAGAATTCATAATAATGTAGGATTAGTGCAAAATTGGGAAAACAGTTTAAAATGCCAAACCATAAGAATGTGGCATTATGTGTAATAAGCAGCAAAGTAACAGCTGCTCAGCAGATAAGAACTAAGTGGAAATATATCAAGAGAGATTAAAAAGGCACTGAAATAGAAAACTATTACACATTCCTAAGCTAGCACTCACTCAGAGATACCAAGACCCATCAGCTGGAACCACTCAGGGTGTGCAGGGGCCTACATGCCCTGGGAAGATCCATCCTGAAGCCTGCCACAGCCCCACTGCATTTTTTTAAAGCAGAAATAATTAGCTTTTAAAACATTTTCTCCGGACATGGTGGCTGCTGCCATCTAGGCTTTGTCTCGCGAGGCCCCGGGAGTGGAGTCATTTCAGAGCGGTGGGAGACTGGGGGACGGCTCTCACTGCCCTCTCTTTCCCCGCATCTCCTGCCTTACATGCCGAGGCGACTCCATTTCCAAGCCGCTGGCTGAACTCTTGCAAGTCGCTTTGTGCCAGAATGCACCGGGGGGGGGGGGGAGGAAAAAGCCTTACACGATTCAAGGGGGTAGAAGAGGTGTCAGTGGGGAGACGGCTCTTCGTGATCGATCCCTCCCCATGCCCCTTCTGAAGGCACAGTAGCCCCAGCCTGGCACCAGCATCTGAGCTGCCCTATAAAATCGCAGCTCCCTTCACCCACGCGAAAGGAAACCCACTTTGTTCCCCTCGTGCTTGCCAGAGAACTTCTGAGCAGCCTGCATTGGGAGGGGAGAGCACCGAAGCAGGAAAGGGGCTGAGCCGTGCCAGTGGCTTTCTCCCTATTCCGGGGGTGCCGGAAAGATGGCCAGCCCACGACATCTGTTGCTGTCTGCTGTGAGCAGCCCAAAGGTTGCCCACCAGCCTGTCTCTGTGCCAAAGTTTCTGTGACGACGCTGTTCTCCCCTTCTTTTCCCAACATGCGACAGCTTCAGTCTCCTGGAAAAGGCCCAGCTGCAAGCAAAAGCAAAGACGACCTTGTCGTGGCAGAAGTGGAGATCAACGACGTGCCCCTGACCTGCAGAAACCTCCTCACAAGGGGACAGACGCAGGATGAGGTCTGGGCCACGCAGGGTTGTTCCCCCTGGGCAGGCCTTTTGTAGGCCAGGGTAGGGATCCTCAGGCTCAGGAGGCCAAAGTCGACTGCCCAGGGTTCCCCAGGCGATCGTGAACTTTCCTGGCCCTTAATCAGCCAGTGGCCCCCTTCCTGCCTGCCTGACGGCTTCGCAGGAAGATTTGCAAGCTGCAATATGCCGTTCCGCTTTATGATGGTTTTTGCCCCTGCTCCTGTGTCCTCAGCCCCTGCTGTTACGGGAGCACATCTCCCGAGAGCGGCTCTGAAATCGATGGCAGCTCAGCTTTAGCTTAGTGCTGTTTCTGCTACAAGTTAAAACTTCAGCCTTTTGCAACGAAGGGGGAAACGGCAAAATGCAGGGAATGAGTCAACAAGGTGGGGGGAAGTGGGGGGGGCGCATGGCTGTCTGTGGAACCCTGGAGGCTACACTGGGGTCCCAGACGGGCAGGATTCGGCCTGGGGCCAAGCGCCTTTGTGCTGTGGGCCATCGCAGTTCAATAAGCCCTCATGGTGCACTGAGCTGTGGTCGCTGGGCCAGAGGATAAGGGGATGGTCACTGCGAGCCTCACGGACGCATCTGAGTGGCTCTGGGGGGAGGAAGAAGAAGAAAAGAAACCGGGGCTATTCAACATTTAGCTCTGTCCAGCAAGGATTTTGAAAAACTGTCTAATCGGAGCCATTCCACCCCGGCCCCCGTGTCTGCAGATAAGTAAGCTGAGCGGTGCCGCGGTCTCAACTCGCGGGAGGTACATGACTGCAGAAGAGAAAGCAAAAGTCGGGCCCGGGTGCGTATCCCATTTTCGTTCTCCTCTCTCCCTTCCCGGTAATGGCTGGGTGGTTTCTTTCTTTCAGAAGGTGCTGCCCTGTCTGAAGGAGCTACCTGATACTTACCTGCACCAGTCTTGGCGGGATCCTGGTGGTGGGTCCCTATTTTCATGGGCAGAGCTTGCCCCCAGCCATTCCCCCTGCAACCGTTTGAGTGGTGATGACTTTGTGTGAGCATGGGGCGTTGAGTGGGCAGCCTGAGGCCGAGCTCCACCGCTCCAGTGAAGGGATGGCTGGATGCCGGTGGGAGCAAAGGCAGAGACCAGTTCTGCTTTAAAATGCTCGATAACTGTAGGCCGCAACAACCTGGTAGATTTTGCCAACTCGGTCTGGGCAAGGAAGGAGCTTTTTAGATCCCAAACAGCCCCAGTTTATGTTTATTTTGTTTAGAGATTTCTGTTCTGCCCTTCTGGCATCTATGAATTTCCTCGGGGTGCTTTGCAAATTGTGATATCAGTGCAGTAAAATTCAGCAAAGACAGAGACCAAAGTTAACTTTTACAACGTTTGCATAAAGGTTTTACCTGGGCAGGTGGCGGCTAAGAACAGGGTCTTTTCTGTTGTGGCACCAGATTGTGAAGTGAGCTTCCCATACGGGCTCACCTGGCCACCTACACTGTACTCTTTTCTGTGCCGAGGGAAAACCTGCTGATTTTCCCAGACAATTTAGTCTTTCGGATTCCATTATTTTAAATCTGTTACTGTGTTTGGACTCTGCATTGTAGCTAGATTTCATTTTGAGTTTGTGTGTGTGTGTGTGTGTGTGGTTTTCAACGTTTATTTTGGATTGTGTGTTATATTGCTTTAATTGTTATGAACAGCCCACAGAGCTTTGGTTATAATATGGAACAAGTTCAAAGCTGGTTAAGATACATCCAGTGAAGTGCACAGCTTCAGCTGAATCCTGCAGCTAGTAAATAAATAAATATGTCTGTGTGTTTTTCAGAGATCGTCCGCTGTACCTGCACGTTCAGGGGCAGACGCGAGAACTGGTGGACAGTAAGTAAAAAGACTTGTCCCCCCAAATTGAGATATTGCTCAAAACGGGCACAAACCTGAGAGGTGCGTTTAGGCAGAGAGTCAGTGACCTGCCCAAAGTCACCCAGTGAGCTTCAGAACGAGGTTATTCCAGCCCATTTATTCTAACCAGCTCACCATGCTCTGTTATTAAACGTACAACTGTGTATTTTCGCTCTTGATGCTGTTACTGGTTTTTACTCTGCCTTTTTCTGCCTTAGTAGACTTTTAAGGGTTTCATATTTTGTCATGCACTAAGTTTGGATTTTAGTTTTTCTGAACCTCAAAGACAATTTGAGCTTATTGGCAACATAAAAGTTTAGCAAATAAGCCCTCAGCAGGAATAGGTAGATGGTAGATCTTGGGAGATTCTGGTTCCCATTGATTAGGAGCCGGTATATAAAAAGGGGTTGGGCGTGCAAGAGCCGACCCAGAAGTGGGCTTCTAGGTGAGCTCAGTGTGGTCCTGGCCTCAAACAAAATCTTGGGCACAGAGCATGCTCAGAGGCTGTTCTGGTGGTATTTTTACATGGTATTTGCCAGCTCTCTGCTGTCTATAGACAGGTCTATACTTTGGAGTCTTTAAAAAAAGACTCCAAAGCTTGTCTGCCAGGCCTGAAGTCTGCTCTCCCCGAGACGGAGTAGCTGCTCCTCCTCAGCATGCGCAGACTTAAACCTTCCGCGAGGCACCCTGTGTAAGTGCCGTTTGCGGCATCCCTCCCAAGGGGCCCCTTTCACGCCCACCGCTTGCCCGCAGGAGCCGTAAACCGGATCAAGGAAATAATCACGAATGGCGTCGTCAAAGCTGCCACCGGCTCCAGTCCCACGTTCAACGGCGCCACCGTGACAGTCTACCACCAGCCCGCTTCCATCACGCAGCTGCCGCCTGCTGTGGGCCAGAAGCCTCCGTTCCAGTCCGGGGGGGTACGTATTTGTACGGAGAAGCAGCCGCTCCGTTCTCCTGGGGCGCTGAACGGTAGCCGGCGCTTCCTCCGGCATCCTCGCGTCACGACCTTCCGCTGCAGTGTTCCTAGCCTGCTGCTCGCTGCCCGTTTGGGTCCCACCTTCCGTGCCGGGCCAGTTGGGGCTGGGTGCCTAGAGGATTAAGAAGGCAGGGCCTGCTGAGTGAGGCCCTGCCGATACCATCCTCTTAGAGAAATGTGATGAGGAGAGGGGTCCAGCTTGCAGAAGAGCGGAGACCTCACTGTGCCATCCGACAGCCGCTCTGGGGCGAGCGTCGCCTGGTGCTGGGCAAGCAAACCTTTTGGCCGGTTTGGAGCAGATGGCCACGGGCTTCTGGCTGTGCCCCTGGGGAAGGCTGGGCTCGGGCTTCCCCACTCCCCTTCTCCACGCTCCGAGGGGCCACTGAGCACTCACCGCCTCCTCCCTCCGCGCGTGTGTGTGTGCAGATGCACTACGTCCAGGACAAGCTCTTTGTCGGTTTGGAGCACGCGGTCCCCACCTTCAACGTCAAGGAGAAGGTCGAAGGCCCAGCCTGTTCCTACCTGCAGCACATCCAGATCGAGACGGGCGCCAAAGTCTTCCTGCGGGGAAAGGGTTCCGGTTGCATTGAGCCTGCCTCCGGCCGGGAAGCCTTCGAGCCCATGTACATTTACGTCAGGTAAGGGGCTGCGTGAGGGTGAGCAGCGGGCGGGCGGCTCTTCCCAGGAGGGAAATGGGCTCTGCGTTGCCCTCCTTGCAAGGTTGCAGCACGAAGCCGATGGGATGCCTTAGGTTAGCCTGAAGGCTTCTGAGCAACTTGATATGCACCAAGCAGTGCCCACCTGACACTGCTCAGATGTGCTGGACTACAACGCCCAGCACCCACAGTTGGCATGTCACTGGCCATACCGGCTGCTGAGGACGAAGCTTGCGATCCCAGCTTGTGATCTGAAAAGCAGAACCATTGTAAATGTTTGTTGTTGTTGTTGCTGAGGGCCACAGTTCCTGGTGAGCAGACCAGGAAGGGGGGGGGGCAGCCTTGCTTCCTTCCCCATCTCCATCATCCCCTTTCTCGGTGGCACCCGCTTTCTTTTTCCCCTCTTGCTGCTTCTCCCTGCCACTCCCAGCTTCCCCTTTGTCCCCAGCTGTTCTACCCACATCTTTTGCCCTCATCTCTGCTCCGTGGAGGGAGGGGCTCAGTTGCTCTTGCAGAGGCCTGGATCCATCCCTTACAGAGCGCTTTTGCATGAAACTCTGCACAGGGCTGCTAGGCCCCCAGCCGCAGAGCACAGCTGTTCTCCACACGGTTTGACTGTGTGTGTGTCTTTCCAGCCATCCAAAACCAGAAGGCCTTGCAGCAGCCAAAAAACTCTGTGAGAACTTACTACAGACTGTAAGTAGCTTTTCTATATTTTGCACTTCCTTCCATAAATCATTTTTTGTTTCGTTTTGTCCCCCCACACACACTTAGAACATTTCTACATCTCCCAACAAGGTGTTCAGTTGTGCTCTGTGTCTGTGAAAGGGAGGGTGTGGTTTTGGGATAAGCAGGGCACAAGCACTTTTGGCATGTTGGACTTGGTTCCGGAGGCAGCCCAGAGATGAGAGGTGCCGAACCTTGGGCCAAATTGCACCCCCCCAGCTCCCCCACACTTTCTTTTAACAGTGTGGAATGTCCCTCCGTAGGGAAAGGCCTGGTTTGCTTGGGACACCAACCCAGAGGTTCTTTTAAACTGTGGTTTGTTGCCTTACCCAAGGTTTGGGAGGCGATCAAACAACCCATAGTTGTTTCTCTCAGGCACTGGCTTGTTTGTTTCCCTCCTGCTTTGCCTGCTCCCTTCCTGTGCCCCAGAAGTGTTGGGGGCCCTGTATTTTGGCTGTGGAATGGCTGGGGGTTTTTTTTACTGCTTTTCCCAGGGGCTTTTGTAGCCTGGCAAAACAATCCATGAGTCTGGTTTGTACATACTGGCAACCTCTGTTTTAAACCATCCAACAACAAACCATGGATCAGTTGTTCATGCTTAGCAACAGCTGCACTTGATTTGTCTGTGTATGATGGTTGTCTGGACCCTGGACCGCCCTCAAGAGATGCAAGATGTTTTGCAAAAGTCTGATGTACCTTTGGACTGGATGCATGTATGCTTCTTCTGCCTCTTGTATTGACTTGGACACGTTCAGAATACAAAAAATGCATTTGTAACATGAAGGATAGAACAGACCCCAAGTTCACACCCTTTTGCATCAAGAACAGCAAAGCAGGGATTACTGCCTCCTGTTAGAGCGAGGGTCAAGTTGGAGTCTCTGAGGCTGTTTTATCTCTTCCAAGGTTCACGCTGAATATTCGCGATTTGTAAACCAGATAACTACAGCAGTGCCCATAACAGGTGAGTCTTAGCAGAAATTTCTGTGTAGATTTCAGTGTAATTTGGGAGTAAGGGAAGGGTGGCAGAAGTAAACCCAGAGGTCTGGTGGGAAAGGGGTGGGTTTGGAGAAGGATTTTGAACGGAGGGAGTGGCAGGGAATACTGGGAGGGGAAATGAATTTTAAATAAGAATACTTCTGTTTTAATATTCAAGAAATAGAAATTCGGGGCTGAAAGCAACCCGCAGGGATCTGAGCAGTAAGTGTGGGAAGAATTGTGTGGTATGTGCCACTGTTGAGGCCAAAATAGGGAGATCCTAGAGAAAATATTTTAGGGCTTTTTGTTATTTATTTATTTAAAACGTTTGTATGCCGCCCAGTTGTGTCACAGCACCTCTGGGCAGCTCACAACCATGAGATAAAAACGCTATAAAAACCATAACACATTAAAAGCAACAGTAAAATAGAGCAAGACATACAAAACAACAGTCTGTGGCCATTAGTTATTCAAATGTTTTTTTTTTTAAAAGGAGGCTCTTCGGTTGCTGTCAGAAAGAAAGTAAAGAAGGTGCCAGGCGCATCGCCTTGAGCAGAGCATTCCAAATACAGGGAGCCCTGGAGCAGCCACGCCTCTCGCGTCCTGAAGGGATGGCTCACACAGGAGGGCTTCCTGCAAAAATGGAGTCTCTCTTCTTTAGGATGGAAGACGTGCAGCAGAATGAGAGGGAACGAGGCAGAAAGAGGGCCTGTTAACCACTTCAGGCTGCGAATGGTGGATTGCAGTTTGGAATGTTCCCCTACTTCAGACAGGCAGTCTCCCTGCAAGCAGAAAGCTAGCCTGTCAGGAAGAGAGCCTGGAACCCTGTGTGCCCATCCCAGGGCCTTTTGGGCGGGGATCCTTACCCTGCCAACTTTTTGGGGAAGCACTGACTTTGTCTGCTTTAATTATGGCCACAGACAAGCCAGTAACCAAGTGTAAAAATAGCTAGCAATTGCAAATCCTATTTAAAATTCAGGATATGCCTAAATAAACCCCCATCAGCCAAATTATCTTCAGTAACAATTTATTAATATCAGCTAATTCTGACTAAATCATGATAAAGCTTGGCCATCTATTTCCTACCATGTGAAGCGGACAAATCGGGTGGTAATTAGAAGGATCAATTTTGTCCCCCTTTTATATATTGGAGTAAGGCTAGAAAGGACTCCCGTCACCGGGGATCAATACATGTGGAAAGGGCGGTGGGCCTTGCGGTGGAATTCAGCTGGCCCAGGGCCTGCCCTTGCTTTCACTGAACTAGCAGCTTTTTAAACATTTCTGCTGTTGAAGCCGGTTGCCAAAGGCTGTTTGCACCTAAGGAGGAAACATTATGTGACTGGCTGATTGTTCCAGCTTTCATGCCGTCACTTGATCCACTGGAAAACGTCCGGGTGAATCCTGCGTCTTCCACCAGTGGAGTTTAAAGGACAGGAGGCCCCTGTGATAGTGTTAGGGGTAGGTGGGAGATCTTTTCGGGGTGCTGAGCCCCCAGCGCTGGTACAGCAGAAGGAAGTCCTTCAGAGTAGTCCAGGCTTTAAGCACTAAAGCCAAGCTCGAGCTCCTCTTTCTCATTCCATTCTGCTGCACGTGAGGGCCAAGCTGAAGTCCCGAAGCAGGAGGAACGAGCAGGCTGGCTCAGCTCACGGATAAACGCTTTTCTCCTCTCTGTGTCCGGCAAGCCTTTTCTCAGCTTTCTTCCCTGACAGCAAGGATCCTGAAATACTCCGCTTCTCTGTCTCCACCTCGCTCTTCCTCTTTTCTCTCGTGAAAAAGCCAGACCTTTGCAAATAGGGGTTGCTCATGCAGGGGGAAAGCCAGCCCCCACAGTAAGCATCCCGTCACAAGCCAGACTTTCCCTCCTTGCCCCCGGCAGGATTCGCTCAGCCCGCGGCGATCGTGACCGTCCCGCCTCAGCCGCCGTATTACCCGCCCAACGGCTTCCAGGCCGGCTACCCCGTGGTGCCACCGCCTCCGCAGCCGGTGCAGCCCCCCTACGGAGTGCCGGGCATCGTGCCTCCCGCCGTCCCGCTGGCTCCAGGAGTGCTGGCGCTGCCCACCGGCGTCCCGCCAGTTCCCACCCAGTACCCCATCACGCAGGTGCAGCCGCCTGCCAGCACTGGCCAGGTAAGACTGGGGCAGTGACTCTCCCTTTGGGGCTGGGAGCCTGTGGGGTGGCAGTTGTGCTGCTGCTGCTGAGCTTGCTTTCTCCCGTCCCTTAAAGAAGGGAGGGCCGCCTCTCTGCCTGAAGGAGAACATGGGGCTAGTGGCCACTGCCTGCCCCTCTGCATGGCCAAAAGGTGTGTGGGGGGCTTGCGGGAAGGGGCCAGGTGCTCCGGAGGGGCCCACCTGGCAGCTGGCCTGCTGGGTTTGGGCCCAGGCGTGATGGCCAGGACGCGCCACCTTGCTTGACACCCCTGAGGGGGAGAGAGACGCTGCCTGCTCCTCAAAGACAGGCCTCCTGCCCCGAGTCCCTTCTGTTGGCTCGCTCGCTCGTTCTCACCCGTCTTCAGAGGTCTCCAAATGCTCTCCCTCTCTGTCCTTTGACCCTGCACTTTCCAGACACCGCTGAGCACCCCTTTCCTGCCCGCCGCACCCGTAAAGACAACTTTGCCCGCCACCGCACAGCCCCCAGTGCAGCCTCAACCTCAACCGCAGCCGCAGCCGGGCCAGAAGAGGCGGTTCACGGAAGAGTTGCCGGACGAGCGCGAGTCTGGGCTGCTGGGATACCAGGTGGAGTGCGACACAGCCATTTTCTTGCCTGCTCTCTGATCTGCCTCCCGTTCCTCTTGAGCCAATCCCATGCCTTTCGTTCTGGCTCAGAGGCCATCAAGTGTGTGGTACCCTTGGGATCCCCTTAACCGTTCGCTTGAATTATCTCAGTCTGGAAGCATGGGGCTGAAGGGCTGTGGCTCTTCTGGTAGTTTGGCTTACAGCCCCCATCTTCCCAAGCCAGCATTGCCAGTGCTGAGGGGTCATGAGAGCTGTGGGTCAAAACATCTGGGGGCTGCAGGTTGCCCATCCCTGTCGCCTTAGCTGAAGTTCTCTCGGAAGCCTGCCCACCCTGGTGTACTGGTTGCCCTGACGAGTACCCACTGTCCATGGATGACTGCCAGCGGTGGGTTGCTCTTCATGCGTCCCACGAGGTGGGCCTTGGCTCCTCAAAGCTGCTGCCACAATCCATCCCTGAGCCTTGAAGAAGCCAAGAACTCCAGGTCGCTTTTGCTGCAACAAGCAACTCACACAGGTCGCCCCTCTGGAATTTGCCTTCCAGGGTGAATAGCGATTGCCTTCCTATACTGCTCCAAAGGTCTCTGGGAGGTTAGAGGTCAATTCCACAATGCTGTGTTCCAGGCATTAGGGATGGAGTTAGGACCAGACGAACAATTTCTGAGCTTAATTTTAAAAGTGTATTTGCAATTTGCTTCTTTGGAAGGATGAGCGCGGAGGGGGGGCAGTGTTGCAAGATTACGTTCCAGGTTGTTTTGACAAACTCATGGACTTCTCACCCAGCTCAGAAATACTCTTCATGGGGAATGGGAAAATCCATTGTGTGATGGTGGTTTCTGAATCTACCTTTAAATGATCTGGAGTTTCACATCTTTGCTTAGAGCTAAGCCTGATTTCAAAGGTCTGAGGTTTTATTTCCTCCTCAGTGTGACCACAGTGGAAACCAAGCTGCACGAAAACAGGAATAGAGCAGCCACTGAACTTCTTATGTTTGATTTTATATAACCCGTTTGAGAGGACAAAAATGATGCATTTGGGGGTTTTCTTTGGGGAGCAAGATCTGTAGCAGTAACCGTTGAAAGAATCCAAACAAGTTGCTAGGCAGAGTACTTTGTACCAGGCTGCATGAGTAATTAGACCTGGAGTAAGGTAGCGTCCTGTGTAGTAAGTTATGACATGGGCGTCCGGAAAGGAGGATAGTGGGAGTAGTGGAGGGAGGTTCCAGCTATGATTTACTAAACTGCCTGGTCTCTTGGCATCGATTCTCATTCGCCACAGGTGACCAGACCGCCAAGAGCGCCACTTACAGTGCTGTTGAAAAGCTATTAAATGCGCATGAGAACGCTGCATATACAAAAAACGTGTTAACACGTGGACAGACCACCACTCAGAAAGTGACAGAAGAGTGGGGTGATACCCGTGGACATTGGGCTGTACTCTGCCTTCACAAGACGCAGTTCCTTTACCCTCAGCCTTTCTGTCTGCAGAGTAGGGGCAATAGGGCTGGCCCAGCTGCTGGGGCTTTTAAAAAGACTGCTGTATCAAGCTAGGCCTTCCGTTAGTTTCCCCCAGGGCTTACCTAGCAATGCCGTGCTTACCTGGCAGGTTTTCTGGTCCTCGTGTGAATGACCGATAATGAGGGCTCCCAGAAAAGGAGGAGCACAGCTGTGTGGCGCCCACAAAGCACGCTTTGTGAGGAAAGGTTGGGCCGCCGGCAGATGTTCGTTAAGGAGCTGATAGGTGCTGTCCTAGTTTTAGATTTGCTAATGCCGCTGTGTTTTTCTGCTCATAGCATGGACCCATTCATATGACTAATTTAGGTACAGGCTTCTCCAGTCAGACTGAGATGGACGGGGCAGGTTCGAAGCCAGCAAGTTCCTCAGGAAAGGAGAGAGAGAGGGACAGGTAAGTCAGAGCTGCGGCCCCTCGTGGTTTCTGGCAATGAAATGGCAGGTGGGTGAGCCGGGGTGGGGGTGCTTCCTCGCCTGTGCCCCCACCTAGAACTTGGGGGTCCCCCAATTAAAATGGCTGGCCAGTCAGTTTCAGGAGAGGCAAATCACCCACCCCAATCTCATGCAGCATGGAATACATTCCTTCGTTCAAAGCTTGTATAGACTGTCCCTTTACTAACGTCTCAGCACAGTTGACAACAAGCACAGGTTAAAAAAGGCACAGCATCCAGCAATTCACAATAAAATCACCATTAAAACCAATTAAACATTAAAATAATGGGAGAATAAAAAAGGTTTTCGCCTAGCGCCGAAAAGAAAAGCGTTGGCACCCTCTCGGAGCGAATTCCACAATCGGGGCACCACCGCAGAGAAGGCCCTCCTCTGGGTAGCCATCCTCCTGATCTCCTTCAGGGAGGGCTCCCGAAGAAGGGCCTCTGCCTCAGATCTCTCTGCAAGAGAGCAATCTATTCCGGGTGCTTCCTGGGTGTGAAAATGCTCGTGTTTACTTCAGATACATCCTGCTTAGCATAGCGAAACTGTGAGCAAACAGTTTACAAATTTCCGGTCAGTTAAAAAGGCATACATAATGTAGCACTTTCCTTTTCAACAGCAAACATTAAGATCACAAGCAATAATGCAGAGAGTGAAGTGAATCGGTTTCAGGATAATTAGTTAAGCTAGCGAAGGTTTGCATAAACAGATGCTTTCAAGAAGCATGAAACGCCGTGCTTCTTGGATGAGGTGGCGTGTTCCAGAGGTTGAGGGCCACTTCTGAGAAGCCCCCGCTGTAGAGGTCACAGCATCAAGCTTCCCTTGCCTGATTCGCTCCGAATGCCAGTCGCAAGAGAGCAGATAGCTGGGTTTGGGCTTGTTGTCGTTTCCTTTGGGCTTCCTAGAAAGATGGGGCTGATCCCTTTTGGGAAGCAGGTCCTGGCTTGGTCGACTCCTTCGACCTGATCTGGCGCAGCCGCTCTTGCTCCTTGGTTCTCAGCAGTATTCTGTGCTCTGAACTGCAGGGCGGCTGCGACCCTTGACCCTGGGCAGAAAGCTGCCTTCAGGCTTCCTGTTACATTTCAGGATTATGCTGCCGTGGGGGATTTCACTGCAGCCAGACGGGACCAGGAAGCCAGGTCTTCCACTGAACTTGCTTCTCCGTGAACAGACCTGGCCTCTGGGCAACAGGCCAACCCCAGCCTAACTCTGTGTCACAGATGATTATATTCTGATGGGTGTTGTTGGCCACTTCCAGAGACTGAGCACTGGACCTACTGGTGTAAACACCTCTGAATTTGGCCTTCAGGTCTTCTTCTGTTTTCGCGATTCCCTTTGCGTGGGGTTGGGCATTACAGCGCTTGTCAAAGCTCATAAATCTATAGGCTTTCAGTCCCGGCCCTTGCTGTCTCCTCCCGTCCTCTCTCTCTTCGTATGCCACAAATTTGTGCCCAGAGCAGCTCAGCAGGAGAACGAAAGGATGATTTACAAGGTACAATGCAAGATCAATGTCACAATATCCACAAAAGGAAATGGAAAGAATTGGAAATTATTGCATTACATTATATCCTCCCAAGAGAAACAGATCTCTGTTCACCACCGGTTCTGCCAGCACTGGTTGGCAGCCCCCGCTCTTCATCTCGATGGCTGCCGGTGCTTGCAGGTGTTGCTTGACATGCTTCCTTATGCAGCATCCCTTTTATATTTTTATCTTTGTCTCCGAACAGGCAGCTGATGCCTCCACCCGCTTTACCAGTGACCGGAATTAAGTCAGAGGCTGAAGACAGAAATGGGTCCTTACTGGGCGGCCACGGTGAGCGTGGGCAGCTGGCGGCAGGCGTGGCTGGGGCGTGTGTTCCACCCACACTGGCTCTGCTGAGTGCAGTGTGGGCAGCTCGTTGTGTGGCCTGCTCTCCCCCGTGCCCCCTCCTGGCGCAGAGCAGAAAGCCGTGCTCTGCTTCTTTCAGGTCTCACGTGCATGATTTCGGTTGTCCATCCTCTTGAGGTCCAAATTCACGTCAGGGGCTAGAGGCTTCCTCTTCCTGAGGCGAAGGGTATTGTTTGTCTCCCAGCCTTTTGGGAAACCCGAAGCTGAGCTGCTAATGTTTGGTCTCTTTGGATAAGCGGCCCGTCGTACACACTCCCATTGTGTCCAGCTTTGCAGAAAGAAGCCAGTTTCTTAGCTGACCGACTTCCGGCTTCCTAGCTTGCATCACTCGTGCCTTCCTTTGCTAAGGTCTTTCACAGTGCGCTCATTTACCTTTCCTAGTGGGAGTGCTATTTTGGCCCTTTTTTCTTTGAAGCCACTTAGAGGCGACATTTGAAGCAAGGGCGGTGTGAAACCACCAGTCTGCAGAACGAATCCAGGCCTCCAGGACTTGCCTAGGATGACCACTCCCCCTTTCCTAGGTCCACCTCCTTTCCCCCAGCCACTGACGGATTCCCTCACTTCCACCCTTTCCCCCTGCATTCTCAAAGCTTGAAATGGCTCTCTAAGGATTAGTTACCGGCAGCAAGTTCAGACCAGACAGACCAGCCTTTTTGCCGCTGTCGCCCTGCCCTTCTGTCCCACCCGCAGCTTGAATGCAGCCCCCACAAAGCTTATCTCGGGCAGAAGGAGGCTCAGCCCCCGATTTATGGCATGGCAGCTCATTCTGTGCAAGTAACAAGGCTTGTCTGACCTTAGGGGGAAGCGTGGAGCCGTCGCGCATGTCCTGGGCCCGGAGCGAGTGAGGGTGCCCCAAGCCAGCCGTCCCCCAGGCCAGCAGAAACTCGATCCCACTGCGCTTTGCTCGGCGGCCCTTGGGGCTCCTGCTCCTCCTGCCAAAAGCCCAACTTCTCCTCCCATTCAGAGCTCGCCCTGGTGTTTTGGTTTGGCTCAAGGGCAGTGCCCCGAACCCTTGTCATTGCTGCGATTCCTTTTTTCCTTTCTCCACCCCAAGCATGGGATCCATTTCCCCCACTTCAAGGCCCCAAAAGTAGGATGTTGCATCTCGACTGGGAAACACACATCATGCTTCCTGGAATGCACGCATGCGTACTGGCATGAGTTCCAGTCCCGGGTTGGGTGCCAAGCTCAGCTTCTCTCCTGGCAGACTTCAGCCTGAGTTGGCATTGCTGAACCGCCTTGAGATTCCTTTTTTAAAAGCTGTAGTTGGACTTTCCCCTTTTACAAGTGTTCTTTAACAGTGAATCGGCTCAAGCATCCTTTTGCTAACTTCACTTTTCTTCTTTTTTGTGTTTTTCTTTTTTCTCTTCTCTGTTCTCTTACATGGTTCTGGTGGATCATTTGGTGCCGTTGCTGGCGGATGCCGTGTCACGTGACCTCCTTCCCGGGGTGACCGCTGGCTGTGACCTCAAAATGGTGTTCAACTAACAATATTTTAATAATGCCTCTAATTTTAATTAACATGTTTGGGGGGGATTTTAAAAAATCTTTCTCTTCCATTTTTTATTTTCTCTTTGGTGGGTGGCGGTTGTCTTTTTGTCTTCTCCTCCTCTAGATCATCCAGCAAAGAAGATGAAAACAGGAGAAAAGGTATTTGGGCTGGTGGCTTATGCCGGTGACTCCTCAGATGAAGAAGAAGACCATGGTGGCCATAAAAGCGCAAGTAGCTACTCACAGACATGGAATTTAGGATACCAGTATCCTTCATCACAACAACGGGCTAAGCAACAGATGCCATTCTGGATGGCGCCGTAGCTGCCTGCAGCCAAAACCTACATCTGTCGTTTCTCACAAGCAATAACGCATGTATATTATCAAACTATCTCTGCAAAATGTCCATCATCCCCAACCTGGCCTCTTTGCACAAGCTTTTGAGATGCAGTATGCCCCTTCAGTGGCTGGAGCTCTTTTCTTCTTCTTTAAAGAGAAAAAAAATACAGAATTCGCTATTTCTGTGGTGGACTCGGCTGTCACAGGCAACTTTGAAATCACAGGCTTCTCGGAACACAATCGCAGATCTCTGTGTTGGCATCACACTTGCAGTGAAAGTTTGTCTCCTCCCTTCCCCCATTCCCAGGCTTATCATGCACCTAGTCTTGGCTTTGGAAGAGGAGGCAACCAAGCAAGCTAACGTAACCTGCTGTTTGTATTTCTGGGTTTGTTTTTTTTACTGGATTTTATTTTTGTGTGTGATGTTTAGGCTTCTGATACAGATGAGGTGGGGGTGGGGGGGCAGAGCCTTGGCCAGAAAACCTCTCAAGAATCACTTTTTAAAAGAAACTGTTTCTGTTAGTCATCTTGGGCTCCCCTTTTTAAAACTTGAATTTGCAGCTTCCATGGCTGCAAGCACAGTTGACCCTGTTCGGAATTACTTTGGCTGGCAGGTATATTTCTGACTCGCTTCCTCCCGCACTTGCCTTCGCCAATTCCTATTCTTCAGGCAACAGTGTTTGGCACTCCTCCTGATCCACATGCTGTGTTTTCTCCTGTCATCCTTGGATCTCCGACTGGCCCGCGTGGAGTTCCTTTCCGCAGCAATGGCATCATTACAATCCTCATTTTGTTCCAAATCCCAGCTCCAACCAAACTTTGTTTCGTGGCTGTTTGACCGGAAGAGATGCATCGACGTGCTTAAGCTTGTCATAACTGAAGAGATCAAACTCTTGGGATCGTTTTGTAGTGAATCAAAACTGTGGCGGGCTTTTTTCCAAGCCTGTTAAACGACGACCAAGCGAACAATTTCTGCACAGTGAAGTGTGCATTGGCTGGGGGTGGGGTGGGGTGGGGGTCCATAGATCCTGAATTTTTTGCTATCTCTGTTCAAATGACAAGTCGAGTTTGAAGTATTGGAAAAAAAGTGTTGGATATTTTTCCCCACAGAAAGTATCTATTTGGCAGACCTTGCTTACTCGTTAAACAGTGATACCAACAACCCAGTTCTCCAATTTTCTACATGTTGTAAATAAATTAAACCATAATTTCATGACGAATGGATGGAGATTCTACTTCCTTCTCCTGTTTTTGTTTTTAAGTCCGCCTTCAGCGTATGCTCCAAAGAACTGAAGCCGCTGGCAGTACTGGCTCCATTCTGTAATGGGATGCGTGAGGCAGAATTTGCTTTTGTAATGCTTGGCTGCTAGTACCCCCCTGGGAGATGAGATGCTTTGCAGAGCAAAACCCCTTCAGTCATCTTTACTGGGCTGATTTGAAGTAACGAAATCAGGCATTTTGCTGGCTGTTGTCAAAACAGTTTCCCTGCGTATGAATTGAGACCTTGAGTGTAGTGGTTGGAAGCCTTTTTCAGCCTTAAAAGAGGAAGATCTGGAGGGCTGCATTCTAGTGGCAGGATGGATCCGAGATGGGGGTGCAAACTACAAAACCAGTTATCAAAACTTTCGGTAAATTTTAGCTTAATGTGCTTATTGCTGGTATCTAAGTCGTCGGAGAGGGATTTTAGCTTCTTGAAATGTTGAAAATGCTACACACAGGCTGGGAAAGCATTCAGTAACTGGCGGATGGAAGGAAGGGACCATGTGGATGGACCAGAGGGCTGGATGTGGACGGAAGTTTCCAACCCCTGCTTTAAACTCCTCTGGATGGAATTGACTTGAGAAAACCTGACCTTCCTTGTGAGAAGGCTTTCTGTCTTCGACTTTGATGATTCTCTTCTCCAGAAAGCTTCATTCTCACATACACCCCCTCTACCTGTCTGAATACGGGCCACGTGCTCAGTTACTTTATTGGGATTACTTACTGTCATATTTTATTATACATGGGGCCCACTGTAGCCAAGATTCATACTGGTCTGGAGTAACTTCTCTCCTTAGTTCTCTACTGGGGTTTGAGTACAGGGGGTTGGCTTCACGGTGTTTTAGCCAACAACTTTCACCCACGTTGTGGAGCTGATGGGAGTTTTTGGCCAAAATATCAGGAAAGCCACAAGTGGACCATGTGTGCTTTAATGGAGCACCTTGTGCTGGCCTTCCCCATCGACTCTTGGCCTAGAATTCCCATCATCCCTAATTAGTGGTCATGTTACGTGCTGTCGGGCTATTTTTGCCATTATTGTGATCCTGTGAATTGCCCTCTACAATTCCGGCCCTTGAAAGGCCCTGTTCAAGCGCTTGTCCATTCAAGGCCGTGGCTTCCTCTGTGGAAGAGATTCCTCTCATAGTTGGTCATCTTTTTCTGACTTCGGCTGTCATGATTGTCTTCTCCAGCAAGCTTTGCTTTCTCGTGATGTGTCCGAAGTATGACAGCTTCAGTTTTGTCGTTTTGGCTTCCAGGGAAAGTTCTGGCTTGATTTAAGAATCGTAATGTTCCTTTTTTTCCAGTCCAGAGCATTTCCAGAGGTCCCCTGGAGCACCATGCTCCAATTGAATCAATTTTCTTCCTGTCTGCTTTCTTTGCTGTCTAGCTTTCGCACCCCATGATCAGGAATACAATAGTGTGAACTGATTTTGGCCTTTGATCTGCAGCAAACAAGATTCATAATGGATCATTTCCAATTCCTTTATTGCCACCCTTCTAAGTCTGTCTTATGAATTTTGGCTGCACTTCTCTTTGAAAATGATGCTAAATCTCTTACAATTCCCAGTGGCCATAGTGGCTGGGGATGATGGGATTTGCAGTTCAACACATCTGGAGGATACAAGATGGGGAAAGTTGCATTTAATGTGTTGCCTGCCCCATTTCCTTCCTAACAGGCTAACAGACTTGACTTTGTATATAAAATAAAAACTTCTGCAACAGTGGAATGTCTACAAATGACAAAGATAGATTTTTAAAAAGTAGCAGTTGCAACAAATCATATCAAGATGCAGATGCACCTCAGATGATATTAAAGTACTTTTGCGACATTGAAATGGGTACTAATTCGCCTTCAAATGCACATTTGGCTATTCTAAAGTCCCTTAGCTTTGCTTCCTTCCAAATCTGGGATTTCAAACGACTTCTAGTATTTTGCATGCCTGAACTTAGCAGCTGTTACACTTTGTACAGTCATGTCTTGTATATATGACTTGTTTGAATCTTGGGTTGCTAACTATGAACAGCCAACAGAACCCATAGTTGATTTGTCGGGTTATGAACTCTGGGTTGTTCCTGATTAATAACCCATAGTTTAAATCATCGTGCAGAGTTAGTTCATAACTCTGATTCTATAACAACCTGTATACACACCTTACTCTCGGTTGGTTTTAGATACAAACCAGGAAAACTGAAAGAAAAACCAATGCTAACTAAAGTTCACTAGTATGACATAGAAGCACAGAAACCTCGCGAGTAAGAAAGGGTCCCCGGGTCCATCTAGTCTGACCCCTGGCTCTGCTCATGACATGCCTACCATGACAAGACTCCTGTACCCAGCAGTGCTCTAGCACTGCCTGAAAAACTCTGTTAAAGGGCTTTCCAGCCCTCCTGAGCAGATTCTGAGTGGTTGCGTGGCTGCCTCCCCTTCTCCAGTTGCCGGGCTCCCCACTGCCCCTCCGCCTGGGAACCCGAAGTGCTGCCCTGGCCTCGGCGGGCCCCACTTTACGACCACCTCTTTGGGTGACTGCGTCGCCGCCGGGAATGGAGGGATTCGGAGGAAGGGGCGGGGCCGCCGTGTCCCCGCCCATTTCGTCCCAGGTGGGCGGGGTCGGGGCGGGGGGAGCGGCGGCTCCTCCCCCTCCTCGGAGCGGCGGTTGGCGCTGGGCCGCGCCGGCGCCATTTTGTGCGAGGTGGGCGGGAAGATGAGGAAGCCGAAGCAGGAGCGACAGCGGCGGAGGCGGCGGCGCCGAGAAGGGGCGCGAGGGCCGCCGGCGCCGCAGTAGCCGTTTTCGCCGCGCTCCCGAGGAGGCCGCGTGCGGAGAGAGCCGCCGGGGCCGCTGCACGGGACGGGCTCTGCGCCATGGACTCGCGGGGGCCGCCCGCCGGGGTCGCGGCCGTGCCGCCGCCCGCGCACCCGCCGCCTCAGCCGCGGGAGTACAAGCTGGTCATGCTGGGCGCCGGCGGCGTCGGCAAAAGCGGTAGGTCGGGCCGGGGGGCGGCCGGGGGGGGGCGCTCGTGGCCGGGCGGGCTCTGCTTTCGTGTAGGCGAGGAGGAGACCGCGACCCGCATTTACAGCGAAGCCGCCCGCAGAGGCTGCTGTCATGCCTCTCGGCCCCAGGCTGTCGTGTCCCGTGTGTGCCGTCGGTCGGACACGCACGCGAGGCTTGACAGCACCCTCTCCTCCTCTGACCTGTGCCAGTTTGTTTCATTTTTGCACCGCCAAAGCGCGCACCCTCCGTCTCTCTGCGCGTTATGCACCTGCGAGTGAATGTGTGTAAAGACCAGGCGTCAATTATTTCGTGTTTCTCATCTTGTGTGCATGCGGGATAACTCATTCGAGCCCCGTTTATTTCAGTGGCGTTGCTGAGAGGGGCTAATCTTGGAGGCCACCGTTTCAGTTCGTGTTTATGAGCCTGTAGTGTTTGTGCAGAATATCCTCAGAAGCAGGGAATACGTTACGGCAACCTGATAATGGTCCCATACATCTGCGTGTACTCATATGCTTACCTGCACACGTGTGCACATATGACGTTCAATGTACGTGCACAATACCTTAGAAGCTAATGAATGGTTTGGTGTATTAGTTGCAATAATAATGCGCATATGTCCAAGTACGGTGTGTGGCCTGTAATGTATGTTTGGAGACTAATGGGTTCCAGAGGGACAGCTCTATCAAGTGATAGCTTTGATCAAGTTGTGTTGGCTGAGCTGGGGGAAATCAAAGTCCATAACACTTGATTGTCTCCAGCTTGAGAGGCAGCTGTTTTAGCCTGAAGCAGTTGCAGTGGGCTGATCTAACAGAGTGGCTAAGAATGCGCTTTATTCACGTTTACTCAGAAGTAAGTCCTGTTGAGTGCACAGGGACTTTCCTTGGGTGTATATAGGAATGCAACCTCAGCTAAGCATCAGACCAGCCCTGGTTTATATCTTGCCTCTGTTACAAGCTCAGTCAATGACGTGAGGTAAGCCGTTCTCTCTTTAGCTCCCCCTGTGCAATGCAAGTGATTAATCATGCAGGGTATTTTGTCCTGGTTTTTTTTTTTTTTAAGTATTTAAATGTTTTTAGACATTTATGGCTTGAGTAATGGATGCATGTGAAGTGCTTTGAACACTTGGGCTGTCATCTTGGGAGTAAGCCTTATTGATTTCAGTGTGGGTTGCTTGAGTAAATATGGCCTTGCACTGTTAATGCTTTACAAATACTAAGTACTTTTGTGGCGCCATAAAGAAAACAGATTTATTGTGGTATTTGTTTTTTGTATTAGAATTTTGTAATTGGATATGATAAGCCACTCAGCATGCTTAGCATGTTTTGGGACATGGCTGGCTGGGGCATTATGGGAGTCATGTATCTGGTGAAGTGGGCACTTGTTAATGAAAGTTACTTGTTAATGCCAGCCTTCCCCAACCTTTGACCATTCAGTTAAATTAATTCAGGTTGGTGAAGACTGTGCTAGTCCTTACAGTGTTACAAGACTGTTTGGGATGGTTCTAATTTGAATTCCCTGCCACCAGTGCAGTGAATGATGACTGCTCTGCTTTTTCACCATGCATTTTCAATGCTGCTACTTAAAGAGTATCTTGTGAGCAAGAATATCAAGGATCGTTTTATTTTTGTGGTGTACTTTAACTTTTGAAAGCAGCTTTGAGTTCTCGTAATTGGAAAGATGGGAAATCTTGCCCAGTCCTGTGCTCTGTCTAACTAACGGTGGGTCTCCAAGGAAGGAAGTTTATTAAAATGTATTAACAAGATTTGTATACTGCTTTTCACCATAATGGCTCTCAAATATCACTTAAGAATAACAAAAAAGCAAGTAACCTAATGTTATATTTAGCAAAAGGGGTGGGGGTGGGGAATACAGGAAGTTGATTAAATTTAAATTAGAAACATCACCACCCCTACAATTGTGCAGTGATTTTAAAAAGCACTAGGAAAATACATGGAGAAGGAGTGGGTCTGTCTCAGTCGGATATGAAGTTAGCTCAGCTTAGCTAAATGGTGCCGCCTCCTTCAAAGGGGGGTCTAGCTCAGACTACAAAAAACTGGGACAACAGTAGAGGAGAGCTTTTGCCTCTGTGCTCACTGCTTCCTGGAAGCATCTGGCCAGACACTCTGGGAAACAGGATGCTGGATTAACTGGGTGAAACCTTTACTCTGATCTGGCCAGTAGTGATAAAAAAGTACCTTTGTGGTAAACTGAGCTAATAGAAGGGACTAGTAGGCAAACAGTATTTGGCGATCATCTTTGTGCTGTACGTGTGGGTTTCCCAGAGGATTGTCTAGTTGTTGTTGGAAATAATAGTATGCTGGATTTCTAGTCTGATCCAAGAGGACTTGTCTTGCATGCAGCAAATGATCCCATACAAATGACTCACTTTGCCACCCATCTGGAGCTAATGTAGAGGGAAAATATCCCTTCAAACTTGGCAGGATGATCCAGACAGCCAAGCTGCTTTGGCTGGAAAGACCTCTCCCTGGGAGAACTTGGCTATTAGAATAGAAGGGGTGGGGCTTAATGGAATACAGAAATAGGATTATGGAAATGAAGGGGGAGGTTTTCTTTCAGGTAAATATTTGGAGCATTGGTAAGAATATGGGAATAACAGCAGGGGGATGGTACAGAGAGGAGGAGGAGGAAGGAATCATTTCAGAATGGCAGAAAATTGACCAGGTGGCGGCCTCAAGGAGATCACCATCCCATGTAAAGAGTGAGATGCACACTTTGAGGGTGGATTTGGAAAAGAAAACCCCAGATTTCTAGGGAGCCAGCGACAATACTTTAGGCACGCAGGTGACTTTCTGTAGCCCTGAAAGCAGGGAGGAGAATTATGAGAACTAAGTTCTTCATGGATGAAATGAGGAAAATTCTGCTGTGGTAATTGAGGCGGAGGCCCCTGGAGTACACGGCCGTGTCAGGAAAAGTGCCTTTCTCGGGTGCAGTCTTGTGAATGCCCTGCCTTTCAGAGAGTTGTTCTTAGTCTTGCACTTCGGATTGTTGTCATGTTTATGCAAGGGGAGGGGCACTGGGTTGCCCTTGTGGGACACTGTCTCCTGTCCTGCTTCAGTGTTCCTCTGTTTGAGTGGTTGCTAATGGAGGGCTTCCCTCTGTGGCCGTGACCTGTCCCTTCCCCTCCCATGGGGAGATGCGTTGTTCTGCTTCTGTGTTTTATCTCTCAATTTGTTTTTGCTTGCCCTGGTTGTGAGTCATTTAGTGCTTTAAAGATAAATATCAGTGTTTTCAGCTATGCTTGGAAATGGAGTGCAAACCAGGAGGGCATTATAAAATTTAAAAAGCTGGTGAAGTGCATTCTATACCAGGCACCCAGTCTGATCACACTTGCAAAATATCCTTTCTCAAAGGGTACTCCCAGTAGCATATGCAACGTCCCATGACGGCAGGCAACCCTGACCTTTCTATTTGGTGCAGCGCTAATATGCCTCTATCTTCCTTTTAGCCATGACCATGCAGTTCATCAGTCATCGTTTCCCAGAAGATCATGACCCCACTATTGGTGAGTGCGCCTGTTGCTTCCTCTTTCTTCCAGTGATATGTAGGCTGCACATGATTGTGGAGTTTGGTAGGACCCCCAAATTTGGAAGTCTCAGTAATCTTGAGGCGGAGAAGACTTTTCATGTCCTATCTGCTTTGCTTCACTGCGTATTTTAAGCTAATGTGAGTGGCTTACCAACAATAGCTAGTTTCAGTTGGAAGAATTGTCACCTTGTTTGATTGGTTGGGGTTTTTTTATGTGAATTGCTGCTCATCCCATCCCTGAGGAATACTGCCACCCCTGCTCCTCCAAAAGTATGTGAACGGGACCTCGGCAGTTTTTCAGTGATTCAGACAGACGTCTTGCCTCGCTCCACTCTTTCCTAGCTGTGGTCTTTTAAAATGGAAATGCAGAGTATTGGACCAAGGCCCCTGTACATGTGCTTTCTGACTGAGCAGTAGCTTGTGCCTGATGTGAAATGCAGCCAGCCCGCATTGTTTTCACATTATGTCACTTTCCTGAGTTGTAATGAGTAATCTGTTGGCATATGCTTCCTGTCAGGGAAAACAGCTATCCCTGGATTTTTTATTAGGCCACCAAAATCATATTTCTGTGTGCTCGTGCCTTAAGATGTGCCCGCAGCAGCCTTCCTTGAGCTGATGTTCCCCAGAGGAGCGGGACCGCCACTCAGACCGTGCTAGCTGGGGTGATGAGAATTGTGGCCCAAGCACTGGAGAGCAGGAGACTAGGGAAGGCTGATCTGTTGTGTTTCTTTCATGGTACTGGTGACTCCCCTGGTTGCCTGGGCAAATCAACATATTCCCCCTTTGTACCTTGGATAGACTCCTTTTCTCCCACCTTGCAACTTCCATGTGTTCTGGACAACCGCTCCCAGAATTCCTGGCCATTAACTGTGCCGGCTAGGAGTTGAAGTCCAGAATATCAGGAGGATAGCTTGTTGGGGCGGGTTGTTCTAGGTCTTGTGTCTGTCTTCCCTGTTCCTTTTTCCTTCCCACCCCAAAGGCTCCTGCTTCTCCACTTTCATTTCCTGTCCTTGGTGTGACCTCTCGCTTTTGAGTTCACCCTTCCAATGGCTGTGTGAGCCTGTGCTGCCACAAATCTCGTTCACTACCATGATGTGCTGTGAGGGTGGGATATGGTGCTTCATTTGTGCTCTGGCAAAGTGGTTCACGAGGAAGCAAAACCAGCTTTCTCTTTCAGTGCTGAAGGTTGCTTTGGAAGCAGGGCTTGTGGTCGGTCCCCTTCTGTTGAAAGGACCTGCTCAAGCTGCTCACACCATGGTCCAAGACTAAATGCAGCGGAATAAAAACAAAGACTCCATGGAAGCACTAATACCTGGCAAGTAGGAATATTAGTGCCTGCCCCTTCCCCAGAAGCAGCCGTGAAACAGAAGGCTGTTTCCAGGACTAAAGGCAGCAAAGACTAATGGGACACTTCAGCCTTCTGAATGCATAATTGAAAATGAAATAAACATGTTTTTAATTATGAACTTGCAACTTTCGTAGTGTGCCATTTGTTCTGTTCAGGAACGACTTGTGAGCGGTAGATGCTATCCTCAGTTATTTACATCAGTGTTAATATGAACTGACGAAAATTTACCTTCCTGTGTTAGGAAAGTATCATTTCTATAAAACCACAAGTCCATCTCTGATTTATGCAGTAATTGTGTATATCTTTGTTGTGACGTTATTTGAAGGGTTATCCTTTACATGTCGATGCATCAGTGGACTGGGCTCTATTAAGCCTCTGTGTTTTTGTCTCTCTCTCTCTCTAGAGGATGCTTACAAAATGCGAATAAGGATTGATGATGAACCTGCTAATCTGGATATCTTGGACACGGCAGGCCAGGTACGCAGCAGCATTTCCTTTCGTGCTCTTTTGTTTTCTGTAGCGAGCGCTGCACTTGCATTATCTCGGTGTGATCCTTGAAGTGCTGCTCGTTAACCTGCTGCCCTCTGACTGCTTTGGACGGCAACTCCTGCTCCTTGGCCCGGCTGGCTGGGGCTTAATGAGAGCCAAAGTTCAGCATGTCTGGAGGATCCCAGGTTGGGCAAGTCTGCATTCAGACGATCCTGGGGGCACGTCAGCGTCGTCCTAGTACTGCAGGTGGCGTGGAGGAGAGTTTCCTGCCCCTCCTAATGAATGCGTGGCGGGGCTGAGGTTCAAAGCTCTGACTTGCTGATTCATAGCTCTGCCTCTCTGGCACTAGCTGGCTCTGTAAACAGCGAACAGCCTTTTGCAGTGGCGTTGGCTATTACACACTGTGGTTAGTTTGCCCTGTTTGTATAGTTATATCGTTTGATGTGTTGTTTTCATACTTGGTTGTAAACCAGACTTTGGCTATAGGCAGCATAAAAATGAAACGAGGAGGACAACAACATACTGCCTGGTGACTAGAAGCATGCTGATAGCACTACAAGGTAGCTGGCTGTTTGCTGCAGGGACAGACACGTGCTCTGCTTACCCAGGAACTGAGATCCTTCATTTCCCCCCTTTCTAGGCCGAATTTACTGCCATGAGGGACCAGTACATGAGGGCAGGTGAAGGATTCATCATCTGTTACTCAATCACGGACCGCCGAAGCTTCCATGAAGTGCGTGAGTTCAAGCAGCTTATTTACCGTGTTCGGCGGACGGATGAGACTCCAGTTGTCCTCGTGGGGAACAAGTCTGATCTAGCCCAGCTTAGACAGGTAAGGGATGCCTAAAATGTCCTTCCCGAAAGATGCTGCTGTCTGTTTGCAGAAGAGGCCTGATCGGGTATTCAGGTGCTCACGCTGACAGGGAAGCACATCACTCCTCGTGAAGAGATGGCTGCCTTCTCCCAGGCATGTTTTCAGGTGTGCTGCTGGGTCTTTTCCCTGTCCACACTTCTGAATGAGATGAATGATAGGAAGCTACTCGAACACTGCGGTCAGCCGCTGAGGGCCTCTTCCCAGTGTCTCCTCCCAGGGAAGCTTGGACGGAGGCAGCAAGGGAGAGGGCTGTCTCTCATTCCCGATTGTGAAATGTTCTTCCCCTTGGGGTAAACTTGGCCTCAACCTAGTTACCTTTTCAATAGCAGGTTCAATTCTTCCTTCTCCTTCCAGGCATTTGAAGTCACCCAATGCAGCTTTTAATATCAGTTGTCTAAATCAAGCCTGCTATTTTATTGTCCCTGTTTTCACCTGCTTTAAATTGCTTTTACATTTTCTGGGTTAAAGATCGTGATGTTATATTTTATTCGCCTTGCATTTTGTGAACTGCTCAATGAGCAAGAGTGGTGGAGAGGAGGAGAACTGCAGGGAGGCAAGCTTGAAGGAAAGCTGTTAGGGAAAAAGTGCCCCTAACTGGATTGGATTGGGAGGAATCATGTTGAGTAGCAGTGAGATTAGAGAGAGGCATCAAGATACCAGATGTATAGGCAAGAAAACAAGGCAGAAGATCGGTGTGCTGGGGCAGGGTGAGAATGAAAGTCAAATCCTGGGAGGAGAGACGGAAAAAGGCATGTTGCACAACAGATGAGGAAGGTAGCATGCACAGGACAAGCAGAGAGGAGCCAAGTGTGTGTAATACTATGGCATGTGACTCATTGCATCAGGAAGGTGCCAGACAAAGAGCAAATAAGGCCTCCCTTCCTGGTAATCTTAGTTCCTGGAGATGGACATTCGCACACGTTGAAGGGCTTAGACGTCGAGGAGCTGCGGATGTGAGCATCAGGAAGAACAGTGCTTGTATCAAGACTGGTAGAGGGAGAAGGAGTAACTGGTACCGCTTTAAGTTCTCAAGCATTTTTCTTAGCCATGACGCACCAAAGCAGAGTGCTCTCTCAGATGCACAGTTTCTACCACAAAAAGAAGGCAGAAATATGCCAGCATTTTCTTTCATGCATCTGAAAGGTCTGGAGAGACTCAGCCTAAAGCAGAAATGGTCAGGTAGAACCATTGCACAAAACAACCAAGTGGAAGATTAATTTTTGAGAATGAGGTCAGAGAGCGAAGTGTGAAGAGAGGAATTCTGAGGCAGCCTGAAGGAGCACGTAAAATCAAAGGTAATGTTGATGAAAGGAATGGCCCGCATTGTCCTGACCAGCATGTGCTTTATTGTTATAAGGTCTCGAAAGAAGAAGGCTCTGCCCTGGCACAAGAATTTGGCTGCCCTTTCTTTGAAACTTCAGCTGCTTTTCGCTACTACATTGATGATGTGTTTCACACACTTGTCCGTGAAATCCGGAGGAAGGAGAAGGAAGCCGTCATGGCTTTGGGGAAGAAATCTAGGCCCCGAGCGAGTGTGTGGAAAAGGCTGAAATCTCCGTTCCGGAAGAAAAAGAATTCTGTGACATGAATAGAAAACTTCCTTCAGCCAAAGAACTGCACGGAGCACGAGAGAACCAAGGCAGCCCTCGAGCCTTGTGCTTGTTTCTGCTGACTGTATTAATTGAAATGCTGTGGTGTGTTTAAAAATTTGGAGTAAGATTCCTCAGTGAAGCAGTTTTACCCTGGCCTTGAGACTTGTCGCACTGCAGCGTGTCCTTCAAATTTCCATTAATACGTCTCTTGCTGAAGAAGACTTGGCAAAAGGTGCTGTTCCAGAGGGCCATGCAAATAAGTACAAAACGTGTAACCAGCTTGCTTGCCCACCCACCCATATTTCATGCCTCTCAGGGTGGGTCAAGAGTTGATCGGACATTTGTTGTTGCCAGTCCCCTTGAATTTGCGTGTCCTTGTATTCAGAAGGTTAGAAACTGAGTTCAAATTGTGGGAGTGTGCTATAAAACAGTAAAATGGTCAGATCTTTTTATCATGTTTTTCTGCTCAGTTGTTAGGTTCCTCTTGGGTTGGGAGCAGGCAGCAGAATATTGCAAGCGAACCATTGAAACAGAGTGCACCTTTGACGATTAATCTTGCCTAGTCGTGTGGCCTATTAGACCAGCTTCTAAGAGTGTGCAGTTCCTGCTGTCACTGTACTTATACACTCCATAGGTGTAAGCGATTCTGTTTCACAACTTTCTAATACTGTTTTACTTTTTACAGAAAAATGTTACTGGTTTTCCCTCCCATGTGTGCGTAGTGGCGGGAGGGAAGTAGATTGTGAAGGATTAACTGCATGTAATTTGCACCACTTTCCTGAGGCTGTGATCCTGATACCGTATATAGAAAACTGCAGGACGAGCCATCTTTTGGGAAGTTCCCATGTCTCCTTTTGTGGAATGAGGTTTATAGGGAGGCAGTTGAACTGGGAATAATGGTGGAATGTGGAAGTTGGAGACTGGTTGGGTCAAGTGGCACTTCTTGCAATGTGGTCAGTGAGAAATCATGGCTGGAAATGGATTTTCTGATGCTCGGCGAGCCGTTCGGTGGCAGCGCGTGTATTTTGCATGGGGCAGGCCCAGGACTCACTGCTGGAATCCCCACCTTGCGGAAGGTTTCCGGCAGCCGGGCTGGGAATGCCCCCCGTGGCTGGAGGGCCGTTGGTACTCAAAGAGGACGATGCTGGGCCAGGTAGATAAATGAAGGGTCTCATTCAGAACTGAGCTGCACATACTTGCAGAACAGTCCTTGGGTTTAGTTTAAGGTGTGTGGGTCACGCTTTGAGCACGTGCGATGAGCAGTGCACAGTTGCATTGGTGCCAGTAGTCAGGGAATGGTTTTTGTAATGTGACATTTTGCGGTGCAGAGGAACACTTACAAGGGAGGGTAAGAGGAGGTGCTCTTCAGGACTCAATCCTATACTTGAAATGTAGCAAATGAGACAGGGAAGCCCATGCCATTTCTGGCAACTTTCCTGCACTTTCCTCATGCAAGAGGAGTGCTTTGGGAAGTTACAATGTCTGAATTTGACACCTAGGTGCCATTCCAAAATCTCCAAGCCAGTCTTTAAAAAATAGTATTTTGGTGTCAAGAATATGCAATTCTTCGTTTTAGAAAGCCAAGTGCCTCTGGCTTAAGCATAATAACTCTTGGCAGGTTTCAGCCCTGGCTCCATTCTTTTTTGGGTGTTGGCCATGATACTAGTGTGTGGTAGTTTTTGGGAAGTAAAGTTGGATGGTTTAAAGAGGGAAAAGGTTAGGACAAAAACCAGTCAGCTGGATACATCAAGAATTTAGATTTCCTGCCAAGTTTTTCTGCTTGCTGTCTCATCTAAAGAGAAATAATTAAACTTGTTACTTCATAGAAAATTAAACAAGCAATAATAAAATATTGGCATTTATTAAGTTCTTCTGGCTTAATATTTTAATGCCAAATAGTATCAATTATAGCATTTTTAAATATATATATCTTAGCAGCATTACAGACTCTTCTGAGCATCAGCTGGTGATGGGAGAATCACATTCCATTTAGCAAGAAAGATTTTGAATGTATTCTATTGACTGTAGCAATATATGGTGTATTTATATTAGTGAATTAACTTAATGAACAGGGCTGGCTTACATTCCCTACCTACTAATCTAGGAGCAGATTAAAAGTATAATTTAATGTGTTTTGATTAGTGTTGGATTAAATACTGTTGGAATCTGGTGGATAAATAACAAATATATGAATATTTTAGTTCAGCCTTCCCCTGCAGATGTTTTCCTGTCAGACCCAAACAACTGTCAGGAGTGCGCAGAAGTGTAGGTGAGAACATTGGAAGCCCCCAGGTCCGGGAAGGCTGGGGTAGTTCAGGGGACGGTTGGGCAAGAAAAGAGAAATAATTTGCTTTAATGTTCAAGCTCTCTCATCTTCAAGTCAAGATTACTTGAAACAAAAGGGTAATGATTGCAATTGATTCCGAACCTGCAGCTTAACTGGGTGAAGCTAGACACCTGCCATTTTGGGAAAGGGCAAACGGTTGTGCCTTAAATTCATGCTTCTGCAGAATTCAGTGTTGTGTGGTGCTATGTGTGAGCCCCTCTCATCCCAATGACATCTGAATAGTAAGCACTTTCCTGTGGTCACAATTCTGTTTCACTTATACATTTGAACACAACAAATGCAGATTGTATTCAATATAATAAATAATTAGTTTTTAAAGGCCTCTGCTTTTCCTTAATACCTAAAATTGTGATCCATTTACATTGATCCTTGAGCAGAAATGGCACGGGGGGAGTGGAATATGTGCTGTTAAATTAAGGGCTGAAAGTGGGAGTTGCGTTTTTTAAAATAGCGATGGTTAAAGTCCACCAAGCACAACGTTGTGAAATATTTGGGAATCTTAACCTTTGTCATCCTTGTGTTCACAATATAATGAAGTTTCATTTGCAGTGGCTTGCTCTTCTACCCACACATACACACCTCCGAGTCGGAGTCCATTTGCCTTTGTTTTCATCTTACCTGTCCACACTGTGCATTATTCTGCCAGCTTATTGATAATTCATTTTCATCTTTTAACTGGGTGTCTCACATGGATGGCAATTCAGGGAGAGAAGCAAAAGATTTGCATTATATCAATAGACCTTCTATTCCACTAATACAGCCTTCCCTAAACAGGTATCCAACAGATGTGGTCAGCCATTAAATGTTAGCTGGGGGTGATGATGTGCTAGTCTAAAGCATCTGGGGAACACAAGGTGAGAAAGCTGCACTAGCAGAATATCGAGTTTTCTCATCTTATCTCTGAATTAACACACCCTTTATTTCTCTTAAGCCACACTGCTTGGTAGCACCTGAACAGGCAGGCTTGCTTGATCGATCTTCAAAACTCCAGCCACCAATGGTGCTTCTGTGTTTGACCTTACCTTCACAGTTCAGCACTGGGAGTACTCTGGTTTTGATGACACACGTGCGAGTTTGTTTACATTCTAGATGGTGCCCTTGGCAGGGAAATATAAAGGACATAAACAGCCTAAACTAGTATTGGCTAGATATCACAGGGATAATGGTTTTGTCTGTAACAGGCCCTGGTACATTTCTTAAAGTTTATTCCCCAGTATCAGTTGACTGCAAAGGAATTTGAATTGAAACACACAAACACATTTACTGGAATTTCAATTAAAAACACAGGTTAAAAACACCAAGGTAAGAGAAGTTGGATCTCTATAGACAAATAGATTTTATTTTTCCATTTAACACATTTAGATCGTATCCAATATCAAGGGTCTCAAGACAGGACCCTTCTATGTCTAAGGTTTCATGAACTGCAGTTCATGTATCAGATAAAGTATTCTGAATTGCAGGCGGGGTGTTTATATGTACTTGACTTTGGATGTGTGTGAGGGAGTAAACTGGTCAGAGAGAAATAAAATACAAAAAAACAGGGATTAGCAATCACATTATTAATAGTGGCCGTTAACAAACCAGTTCTTGCTGATAAAGGCAAGTATCCTGGCATTGGGTAGACCAATTAACACAAGACTCGTGGTTTTCATTTTAATTCATTTGCTGTCACAGAATAGTACAGCAAAGCACTTTGGATCCTGTATTCTCCCTCCGGCAGCTCTTGAAAACCTTTACAATTTCTCTCCAGAGTTGAAAACAGTTTTATGTCCCTCCCTCCAGAGAAGAAAAACGGGGATTCGTCTGCCACCAAGAGTTTGGTGCCTGTTGTCACAGCAGGCAAATGGAACAGGAAAGAGGGTGAGGTAATGCCTTCCAAGTGAGCCTGCGCAACCCGTGTACATACATGACACAGGAGAGAGCTCTGGGTGTGAGGCAGCTGCCGCTAGGTGGCTTCCCCTTCCACTGAATAGCAAAGAATTCCCCAGCTTGAAATCTTGCAAAATTTTGCGTGGCCGTAGGGGTGAATAGCAGGAGAGGTGCAGAGATCTCCAGCAGGCCTTGCGATAGAAAGGTGAGTGCGAGAGGACGTTTGCCCTCGCACTCTCCCCGTTCTGCCCGGAAAAGGGCTGCTCCTTTGCTGTGTTTGCGGTGGGGGAAGAACATAGAAGCCGCGTGTGTTCACACTGAAGGCCTCTCCAGTCCGGCGTTCCGTCCTCACAGTGGCCCAACAAATGCTCCACTAGGAAGACCGGAAGCAGACTGAGCCCGGCAGCTCCCTCCTCCCACTCATGTTTCCCAGCAACTGGCTTTGAAAGGCATCTGCCTCCGATCACCATTGTGACTCATAACCATTGATAGCCATCTGTCTGAATTTGTTCTCCCTCAGACCTGCCCCGGTTGGCAATAATCGCGACATCTCGGCTTCTGGAATTGCACCGTGCATAGTGGAAAAACACCTCTTGTCTTTCCCAAATCTCCTGTCATGGAGTGTCACTGAGAAAGGGGAACGTGCATTTTGTTTTCCTGTGTTGTATCTCCCCATTACACCATTTTTCCCAAGCTGAAGGGGCCCAAACTGTCTTTCCTTATATTGAAATTGCTCCAGCCCCTTGATCACTTTGGTTGCCCTTCCTGCCTCTGCAATGCCATTTTGGATGTCATTGCAGAGGCAGGACTTTGCAGAGCTTTGCACACTATTGTAAGCACGTGTGCTTGTACCAAAAGTTGCATAAAGGAAGTTTTCTTTTTTTATTCCCTTTTGAATGATAACCAGCCCTGCACTTGCTTTTTCACACCAGCTGCACAGTGGGGTGACATTTTCATTGTGAGACCCCCTGCAGCGCCAAGATGGCTTTCCCAGTCAGCTAGAGGTCAACATGAAACTAAGGAGGGGTTTTGTGTCCTGGCAGCCTTTTCTTTTCGATTGCTTGCTTGAAGCCTCATTTGCCATTTTAATGGTTGGAGAGATCCTCTCCTCTCCTCTCCTCTCCTCTCCTCTTTCTGGTTTAAACCACCCTTTTGGGATTGTGTCTCCATTCTTAATGGAGTTTCTCTAGGCACTGCAATTTATTTATTTATTTATTTATTAAAACATTTTTATGCCGCCCCATTCGCCGAAGCCTCGGGGCGGCTTACAACAATAAATAAAACCAATAAGTTAAAATATACATATAAAATAATCATAATAATTTAAAACACACATTATAAAATAAGCCGCCCTGGCCAGATAAAATTCAGTGGTATTAACATTTAAAATGTTGCTTAAATAAAAAGGTCTTTGCCTGGCGCCGAAAAACAAATAACGACGGCGCCAGGCAGACCTCTCTGGGGAGCGCATTAAATGAGTCAGTGTGGTGTAGTGGTTAAAATCGTGGCACTGAGACTCAGGCAATCTGGGTACTAGTCCCCACTTCGCCATGGAGCTAACTGGGCAGCTTTGGACCAGTTACAGGCCCTTAGCCCAACCTACCTTACAGGGAGGTTGTTGTGAGGATAAAATTGAGAGGAGGAGGAGGAGAATTAGCTAACGGGGTACGATGGACTGTCCCACTTTCTAGTCCATTGTTGACTCCTCTGAGTTGCAGTGCCCGAGTTGTGCTGAGGGCTACTCCATCTCCTGGCCCCTGCCTGACCCTTCTAGCAAGATGCTCGGGTCTGGACTGGGGCTCCTCAGCTGTGCCTTGGTGATTACTGTAGCACACACCCGCGTACTCTTGGGAAATGCAACGCACTTCAACAGCAAAGCGTCTTGCATTGTGTGAAGCACTCGGGCATTGCTGGAACACTTCCGTTCTCCTTGGGGGGCTCTCTGCCTCTGGCCTCTCCCCACGGAAATAGAGGTGAGTGTCCAGGGCACCCTCATTCTCCCCAGATACTGTCCCTGGTACTTCCTGTGGCGTCTCTAGTGCACTTTCGAGAGCAATGTTGCGGGTAACGGCTTTTCCCAAGTTCCTCTTGAAACTCTTAGTTGGGTGCCTGACCTTGTGTCTCATGGTCCCACATCCCTGCTGCTGAAAGCTTTACAGTGGCTTAGCAGCACATCAGTTTCCACGGAGTTTTCCAGCTGTCGGAGGGAAGCCCTGCTCTGGCCTGGGCCTTGCCCTGCGTTTTGTACATAACTACCCTCCAGGTGCACCTTCCCTTTCTTCCATCTTGCTCTCCATCATTCTTTCACCTTCAACAATTTCCTTCGTAAGGTATGCAGGGCATGAAGAGAGCACAGATCTCAGGATCCTTGGAGGATAAAACTGCACATCTGTTTCTTGCAAGATCAAAACCAACTCTGTGTTGGGTAACTAAATTTAAAGTGACTCCATCTTTATTTGAACGCTCAATGTGCGTTAAAACAATCTTGACATTACAGATAGCATTACATATTTGTTAGGGTAGCATTACAGCGTTATGCAGTTGTACACAGTTCGAGTTAATCTTGTTTTCTTACACTTTTTTGTTTTGACACAAAGTTGTAACTTGCCCAAGTTGTTTTTTGTTTTTGTTTAGTTTTTTTATTATTTTACAATAGACACAAGGTGAAAAGAAAAGGAAACAAACTCAACCAAAAAATTATCCATATTTGGGAGAGTTCACGGTGAGGCAGCTGTCACGAATGATCAGTTTTACAAACACACACACATATATATTTTTAAAAAAGTTATCTGACCCTCTTTATTTTCCCATTATTCCGAGGAGTAATGGTACTGTTCTCATATGCCCAACAAGCCTTGGGTGGAGAACCAGTGGCCCTCCAGGTGTTGTCAGATTACAACTCCCATCATTCCTGGCCATGCCAACTGGGACTAAGGGGAATTGAAATCCCAATAATATCTGGAAAGCCACAGGTCGCCCTCCCCTGCAATAAGCCGAAGTCTATTTAACCCTGAGCAAGTTTCCTTGACAACAACTTCATATATATTTTTTTCCTCTTTGTGGTGGGAGGAAGGAGAAATTATTTGAGCCATTGGAAATGTATTGCGTTTGCACTGAAAGGAAAAAGGGGGAATTTCATGAGCTTTTGATCTGATAGATGCTGAACCCTAATCATCTGGAGAGACGAGGGCAAGACGGGGCTCCTCAGATTCCCGAGCACGGAAGCTCACTGGAGTAGCAGTTGAATCCTACTTTGATGATGCTAGTGGGACGTCTCCAGAGGGCAGCAGGCTCAGCCTGGGGAGACGCGACACAGCTCTCCTCCACATCCCTGCCACCCCTCCCTGACATCTCTGCTGCATGACAACCCTTAGCACCATCTGCCTGAGGAAGCTGCCTCACTCGGGAGGGCTGGTCCTGTAGAGAACTGGATAGCTCAGATGACAAGGGAGGCTTCCCCAGTCAGTTGTCTTGGGCTCCCGGCACCCATCAGCCTCAGCAAGAGGGCCGATGGTCCGAGAAGCTGGGAGTGATAGTCCAACGGTGCTTTGGAAGGCTCCCATTTGGGGAAGGCTGACTTGAGGGCATGGGGTGCCAGGCCCATGGCCGGAATGCCGGCTTTTGCACAGGCTTGGCTTGGCTTGGCTTGGCTTGGCAAGGAAGGGGCCGTGATTCTCCCATTCAGAAGCGAAGGCAGGACCACGTGGCCAGCACGACGTTCTGCATGCCATCAAGGCTTCACAGAGCCCCTCGGTGGCTGGATCTCTTGAGACGGGCAAAAGATGGGAGTGCTGGCCACGTAGCCCCTGAGCTTGCAGAGACTCCACAGCGAGCGGTGGTGGAGCCCCACAGAAGCGCTGGCTTCTCCTGCAGCTTGGGAGGTGACAAGCGCCTCCCCTGCCGTCTCCTCTCTAAGGCAGCATGGGGAGTCCGTGGCCTTCCAGCATCAGTTGGAGTACAGCTCCTGTCATCCTTGAATCCTGGCTGTGGCTGATGGGAACCCTTGGGTATCACCACTTCACCAGCCCTGTGAGAAAAGGGTTGCAATCCCGGATCTCTTTGGCCCACAACTTGTGGCACATGGTCGTGGTGCACCATTAAGAGGGTGAGGGGGGGTGTTTGGAAAGCAAAGTCCGGGGTTCAGGGAAGGACCCCTGTTGAGCCCCAGGTCTACCATCTGCCCACCCCTCCTTAAGAGGTCTCACCTATGTCAGAAGCAGGGTGCTTCTGCCTTGTTCTCTACCATGCTGGCAAGCGTCTGGTGCCGTCTGGTCACGACCCACTTCAAACTTGATGCCTACCCAATGGGTTGCGTTAACCGAGGCTGCTTGCCCTCTCTGAGGGCTTGCTGGCTTTCACTTTTCTTCCCGTATGCTGAACAACCCAGGAACGCTTCATTTCTGCATCACTGGCATGACGTACAAGCCTGAGTCCTTGGGTTGTCATGGGAAAAATAAGCTAGACTTTTAACCCAACAGTGAGGCATCAGTTAAAGCGCTAGGTTGTGTCTCCCTTGCCAACCCAGGGTGCCAGGTTCAGACATCACTGCGAACGGTCCGGAAATGGATTTCTGGCTTGTTGAGCCACATGGAAGTGGGTGAGTCACAATGCTACCCATTGTCAACCCGACTGAACCAGGCCAACATGTTCACTTTTAGGGTGTGTACAGGACACTGGGTTGGATACCCCATCACCAATTTTGGGGGGGTGCTTCTGTCACGAAATAAGAATGTGAACCTCAGTGAAAACTTGCCCTGGCAAGCGACACCAGGCATTTGGGATGGTGATACGAGAAGCTCCTCTGAATAGTGTAAAGGCAAGCAATGCAACGGCAATCTTCTGAGGATTTTGTGTGTGTGGAGGGGCAGCGTGCCATGAAGGCGGGTTGCGAGAGGGATCCCCGGTTGTGAAGGAGGGTGCACCCTTCCTTGGCCCCTCCGTCCTCCCTAGCCAGCAGGGCTTTTGCCGGTTTGGGAAGCATTGCCAAGAAACCTGCGATGCCTGCAGACCAGGTGCAAAAGTGGAGCGAGCCGTCGCATCCTGAGAAAAGGGAGCCCATCTTCCAGAAGTGTGGAACCTTTGGCTCTCTACGTGCGGCTGGCCCCCATCTCCCATCAGCCCCAGCCAGCATGGGCAATAGTTGGGGGTGATAGGAGTTGCATTCCAACCTCATGAGCAGAGCTACAGGTCCCCATCTCTGCTATAGTTTTTTTTCCTGACCTCTCTAAAAAAGAGCAAGCATGGAAGGAAACATTTCAATTGGTATCTCTGGGGCAGGTGAGAGCAGGCTGAGCTTCCAGTGCTCTAATCCTCCCCAAGAAAGGAAACAGCAAACCTTTCCCCCAACTCCGTTTGTTCGTTGGGAAGAAGTCTAAAGCCACACTTGTCCATCATTCCTGCAAGCAAAAGTGTCTTCTCCCTACTAAAATTATTTCCCCTAACATTTGTCAGTCAGTCAGTCTTTATTGTTTTAACATATGATACAGTATTTACAGGATGTCGGGCACAGGGTGAAAATCTGATGCATAGGGGTGTGACATAGTGAATACTGAAACACCCATAGGCCTCTTGCGTGCCTCTCCCCTAAACTCACGTCTGCATCGTTCCACAGACAGCTGCCCACTTGCAAAAGAGGCCAGGCAATGGCTTTCTTCTGGCCCGTTTTCCATTAGTGTGAAAGGTGCAGGCTTCTACACTCCACAGAACGCTTCAGCAGGCAGGCCTGTTGTTCTGCCCGGTGATAGCGTCCGTGTTACCTTGGAAGCTTGCACACTCCATTCCAATCAGACTTGTCCAGTGAGCCATCCCAGGCTCAGGACATGCTGTAAGTTGAGGATATTTATGCCCAAACTCCTGTCTGGACATAGATCTCCGGTGCATAATTGTATAGACTTGATAGGCCTAGCTGTGAAGCTAGAGTGACAAGCTGCCCAGGTTGCAATTAGGAAACAAGAATTCTAATAAGCAATGCCCTTGGGAGTGGGGGCTTTGTGTAATATTTGTGCCTGGCACACACCATCCTCTTTAAGCAGCCTGTTCACAGGGCTGGCTCCAGGCCACACAACTCAAGTGGGGCTTCCCAGCTCATGAAGCGCAGCTGAGAGCAGCCTTACTGAGTTCACCACGGAAGCCGGATAAAGGCCAGTTCCCGAGGAGGAGGTGCTGCCTTGCCTAGCCCTCTCCCCCCCGACCCACTTTGAATGAGTGCTATTATTTATCATTAGTATTATCATTTCATTTCTAAGCCTCCCATAGCCAAGTTCTCTGGGCAGTGATCTCACGAGATGTGTGCAAAGTTAGGGAAAATGAAAGTACCCCAGGAACCTTCTTCACGGGAAATTGCGTTCAGGAGCAGCGGCTGTCCTACTGAGCCATCTCCTCCTCTCCTCCCTCCCCGACCTATCCCTTTGCCCCCGGACAGATGCCTGAACCATTGCACTTATACCAACAGAGTTAGCTCACCCAAATTACAAAAACGGCAAAGAATTAACAGGGTGGTGGGGAGACGGAAAAAGCACCAGCATTCCAATACCATTTTTTTAAAGAAGAAAAGGGGGGAAAATCGGGAGAGAAGCTGAATAGGCCCAATTGTGGTAAATACCAACAAAGAGACTTCAGCACAAAACACCACTTCCATAGTGACAGGTAAATCGTATTAAAAACTGTACCTTGATATTGGTAAGTTATACTAATTTTTTTTGGTTTTTTTTTTAAACTTTTGTATTCGGCATGCAATGAGTACAGTGTGGCTACACCGTTCGTTAAAATTATCCTATATATGTTTTTGTGATATTAATAAAATCAATGCTCTTTTTTCTCGTGTTTTGTGTTTTTGTTTTTTTGTAGCTTTTTTTTTTTTAGAACTTTAGTGTACGTGTATGTGCCCTGCAAAAGTTTAATGTCGCTAGAGAAAGAGAGCTGAGTAGCTGCTTCTTTACAGAAATGTTTAGTTCTATGACTAAAACGGGAGGGAGGGAGGGCGGGTGGGGAGAAGGTTAAAAGTCTGTTTGTACGTGGTGGGGGGGGGACGTCCCAGTGCTCAGCGCCCTCTGCTTACCCGGCTAATATTCGCTCAAGCTGTGCCACTTGGTGATCTGCTTCCGGGGGCTCTCACACACCTCCCGCCAGTGTTCCACGCCGCTCGCCGTGACGCTGTGCGCCCCCAGGATCAGCCGCCCCACCACCTCGTTTTTCGTGGTGCGGTCAAAGTCGATGGCCAGGAACTCGATGCTGATGTCGGGGAGTAGGTCCACGGGGATGTCGTAGATGAAGGACTCGTTGAACATGGGGTTCAAAGTGCACTTCTTGACGTGGGTTTTCTTCTTGGCGATGCGCTTCCTGCCGTAGTACACGTTCACCTTGACGTAGGGATCTGCCGGAGAGGACGAGAGGAGCCGGCCAATAAAGCAGCTCAAGAGCAAGGCAGGGAGGGCCTTCCCATGAGCCCACCCCACGTCGAGTGCAACGCCTTCCCCAGAGAGACCTGAAGAGCTCCTGAACGGGGCAAGGCACATGATGATTCTAGTCCTCCATGAGTTTCTCTAAACAGGACATGTTTTTTGGTTAAGGGCTGCATTTACTCTGAGTTCATCTTTCATGGGCTGGACCCAGCTGCCTCTTTCTCTCCCCCAATTTCTGCCGTCTTTTCCTCTCATTCTCTGCCTGCCACCCCTTTCTTGTTCTTTCTCCCTCCACCATCACATTCTCTGTTTTTCTTTCTGCCACCCCCTCATCTGTAAAGGAGTTTTGCTTGCATCTCGCTGATTCAGCCCAGCAGCAGCAGCAGCCCTAGTGATTTAGCTCTGCTCCCTTGCGTGTGACATATCCTTAGGCTGGCGTGTTTATCGTGTTTGCACCCTGCTATTCCTCCAAAGAGCTCAGCACTGGCGTACCAACATCTCTCCTCCCTCAAGCTTTGCCTTAACAACAACCCTGTGAGGTGGGTTCTGCTGAGAAAGAATGAATGAGCACAGATCGCCAGTGAGTTTCATGGCTGGGTCTCTCCCTGAAATTGTTTAAGAACAAGCTGGCTAAAAAGAAATTAAATGGTCGGACCAGCAATGCACAAAAAGCCTTCCTACGGAATGCAAGGAGACAGAGCTGTGAGCTGGAGTAAATAGCTTCTACCTGAGAGACCGGTGATGTCCATCTTGGGCAGGTGTCTCGCCTTCAGCACGACCACGGTCATCCGCTGGGCGACGGGCTGGTACGACAAGGACACCTGCAGCTCCCCTCTGCTGATGCATTTCTGGAAAAGAGGCAAGTCCTCACATCCTCAGAATCCTCCAAAGCAGCCTCAGTGCCCAGTCCTGCCTCAGCCTCTCCAGACAGGATGTTCTCAGGAGGCTTTTGGAAGAAGAAACCACTGGCATGTTTTGGAAAGCTAGCTATGGGGCATTCGTGGCAGGCAGATGTGGCGGAAGGATGTACCATCTCAGGCACGAGGGAAGCTTGGCCGGATCGGGCCAGAGTGTTCCTCAGTCTCTTGTTCTGTTCCCACGTCGGTTAACCAGATGCCCCCCTGGGAAGCCCTCAAGCCAGACCGCTTCTTATGGTCACCTCTTACCCTCCACCCCCCAGCCTCATAAATCTGTCCCTTGAATGTCTTAAACTCCCCTGGTTGCAAACTAAGTTGTACGTACGCTTTTGGAAAGATGACCCTGGAGTCTGAAGATGTTAGTGCAGGCTTCAATCCCAAGGAGACCTTCACATTAATTCAAGGGAACGCTTTTTAAAAATAAACTCGCCTCAAGGTGCACACCCCTAGGGTCCTTTCAATCTGTGTGCCATGTTTCAGCTGTTTAATCTCTTCCTTTTGGAGTTAGGATTAGCAGTAAAAGACCCATCTCCTTTTTATTCTTATGCATTTACTTTTGTTGCTGCTTGTCCCTATCTAGGAAGGCCTCAGCAGTTATCAGGTGGCCTATAAATACTTGTAGAAGTGAGTGAGTGAGTGACTGAATAGATAAAGTTGTTAATCGCTTTGTAAAATCTCTCCTGAGCCTTCATTTCGGCCTTGAAGGGAACCCTGAAAATGAGCAATTTCCCCTGTTAAGTGGCAGAAAGAGGGGCGCTGAAAATTCCAGCTGCGCATCCCCAGAAAACTCAGCATTGGGGAAGCACCGGTGTTTTATTTTAATAGCACAGTTCTGTGAAACCAGCCTCGCGTTTTGTAGTTTACATCTTCATGCTTTTGCACCGTGCTCGAATGCTTCAGTAGCATTACTGAATGCAGCAGCAGACTCGTCCGTCCGTCCGTCCGCAGCATTTAGAAGAGGGAGAAGGGGGGGCGAGGGGGGGGGAGACCTGCCTTTGTCGAAAGGGAGTTAATATGGTGGAAATGAAGCAGAGTCTTGCCAAGTGTTACAAAGCCACTGTTGAGCCTATGAATAGCCGGCTGGGTTGCTATGGCCATCGTGTCCTAGATTCCGTGCTTCGGGGTCACCCTGGCCTGGGGAAACTTGTCCCCGTGAGCGCTGTTACCCAGCTGTACCACCAGCCGCAAGTGGTCCCACTCCGTTCCAGAGCTAGCCCCCAAAGCAGCTGCGACTCTCCCCGCTCCTTCTCAGACATGTTTTCAAGCTATTTGAAATGAGATATCCTGCTGTTAAACATGGCAACGCTCTTTCAGCTTCTGCTCGCATTACAAGCTGAGCTCCCCCATTCCTTCCCCCCCCCCCATGTCCGTGGACTACTCTGAGGAGATCAGCCGGGCAGCCCTACTCATGCCTAAATCTGGTGGGTCCGTGAAGCTTGCTCCCATGCAAGGGACGCCTTACGGCAGAGGGACTCCTCTGGGGATCTCGCGGATCTTTTCTCCCACCAGTCTCCCACCGTAATTCCACAGAGGAAGTCCGTTCGCTGTGTCAGGGCCTTCCCTGGCACGCCTGCCCTTTGTGGAGGGTTTGCCCCGTGCGGGTCCGTCTCCTGTGATGCAGCTCCTCCTCTCCGGAGCACCTTCCCAGTGCCCACCTGGCCCTTTTCCAGCAATCGCACCTCAGCCTGCGGCATCTGCCGGCCCCGTGCCTGGCTCTTAATCCCCGCCCTCTCATGCTCCGTCTGCTTTGTGTTATTTGCCCACAGTCCCCTGAGCCTGCCATTTCGCCATCGCCACTGGCAGCATTCTCCCAACAGTGAGAGGAGGGGTGCCCTTCCGCTGGGTTGGACTCCAGCCCCCGTCCCCCTTGGTCCATGCTGGCTGGGGATGATGTGAGAAGGGGCATGTGCAGACATCTGTAGACACGCTTCTGAATGTGGGGGTGATGCTCTTGCTACAGCTGGGGTGGGATCCAAGGAACAAGAACCTGGTCGGATGTTGGCAACTGCAGGATTTTTTTCTGTGTAAGCATGCATCGGATCGCACTCTCAGTCCAGTCTGGGCAGCAGGGGCTTGTTTAGACATGTGCTATTTTAATAGGGGCAGGCCTCCCAAAAGAAAAATACATATGTGGCAGGCATCTTTTCAAATAAATATCCCCCCCCCCCCCCAGCTCATCTCTCGGTCCTTCTGCTACAAACATTTAAGGAGAGCCTACAGGAAATTTGCTTCCCTTGCTTCAGAAGCGTTTGCTCCCTGCCAGGCGATTTTATGTCGATCTGATGGTCGATTGTCGGTGAATCAACCAACCAGATAATCCCATGCCCACTTCTCTGGGAGTCAGCCTGACCCAGCGCTGTGGGTCTCCCTGCGAAATGGTGGAGTCGTGCAGTTCCAGCATTAAGATTGGCTTGACTCAGGTGGCAGTCGCCACCCGTTCTTGCTTTCAACGTGTGGGCAGGGCCGACTGATTTTTACAGACTCGACTAAAGCGTGGGGAAGAGGCCAGAGGCCGAGGAAAGCATTCAGAGTCTGGTCTGGGGCGAACAGATTCCAGGCTTGCACGGTCTGTTTTAATTTTACTACCCTCTCAAGCAACAGCTGAAGCAGGCAATTCAGTTCCAGAATGGAGCAGCACTCACAATTCCTTCCAGGCGGAAGAGGAGGCCCATTTCCTGGGTGCCCCCAGCCAGCTCCCTGTTCATCCGTCTGACTGGGTTGCCAGTGTGGTCAAACGGTTCCCACTCGGAGATCTTTGCCAGCCTGCTGCCTGCCCCAGGAGATCCAGCGCTCACTCCTGCCCACCCGTAGTACAGGGAGGAGGTCTTGGGGGAAGGCACGGAGTCACTGTGGCGCCGCCACCGAGCAAACCACATGCCCCTAGGAGACGTGCAGCCTCTTGTGAATATCCTATTAGCAAAGCCGTGTTTATAGGGAGGAAGGTGAGCGGGTGCCGCTCTCAGGCTCCGGTGGATGCAAACCAGGGATTCTGGTACCTTTCCCCTCTATCCCCGTGGGATGGCGTGAGCTAAGGGTTGTCATGCTAGTGAGCAGAACCACAGTGGGGGCTGAGAGCAGCACCAGTCAGACCAGAAGGGTGTGGGCTCTGGCTCTCATCGTGAGAGACCCTGCAGCCCCCGGGGAGAAGAGCAAAGCTGCAGGAGGTTCTGTTGGTCCACGGCCACAAACCGCCACAGTTCTAGCAGCTTTCAGCTCCGCTCCACCCATTGCGCAGTGAGTGGGTCGCAGTTGCCTGTTCCGGCCCCAAATACCTCGTTCCATTACAGGGAACAATGGATTACGGCCGAGAACCTCCATTCCCCATCCCTCAGCTATCATGAGGATTTCGGTCCTGAGAGGCAGTGTGGTGTAGTGGTTAGGAGTGCAGGTCTGGGACTCCGGCGACCTGGATTCTAGTCCCCGCTCAGCCATGGAGCCAACTGGGTGACTCTGGGCCCGTCACAGACGCTTTGTTCCTTTCAGCTCTCTGCACGGCCCAGATTCTGACCCACAACCTCTCTGGATTCCATGTCCCATCCTCTCCTAGTTGGTAGAAGCCCTGCCTGCCTGCTCGGTGGCCCTGGGTCCTCCTTTACGGAGGACAGTCCTCTGTTCGAGGACCGCCTAGTTGAAGGTGCGCTCTGTCTGGCCAAGCCTGGTTTAAAGGTGAATAACCTGAAGAGGAGGGGGCAGCAGCTGTCTCCCCCACAGGTAACCAAGAATGACTTTCTCTGCGGACTAGGGCTTCCACACGCCACCTGCCGGATCCCGGCGCGCCCAGCTCAGCGGTGTTGCATTCTGCCCCAGCGTGCATCGTTGCGCTGGCTCAGACCAAGGGTCCATCTGGTCCATCATTTTGACCCACAGCGGCCAGCCAGAGGCCCCCACAGGAGGGCCACCTGCTGCCCCGCAATGTCCTCCAGCTCACGTTCCTGGGAACTTGGGGTGGGGCAGGGGCAGTAGCTCAGCAGCGGGTGCAGAAGGCCCCGACTCCAGCCCTCCGCATATCCGCAGGGCAGGGAAAACTCGAGAAACCCTGGGCAGCTGCTCCCAGTCAGTGTCGGTAACACTGGGCCACGTTGACCAATGGATGTATCCGCTGACTAAGCATGAGGCAGCTTCCTGCGTTCCGAATCCTGCATTTCATTTTGTGGCATCAAATTCCCTCCAATTCAGATTCACACACCCAAGTATGTGCTGTGTGAAGATGTTTCTTTTCTCTGTCCTGAATCTCCCACCCATCAACTCCGCTAGGTTGACCCCGAGTAGCATACATACTTGAACATATAAAGTAGCATATGCATTTTTGCGCAGATCTCTGCTCTCCGTTGCCCTATTCTTTAGGCAGTGCATTTCCTGTGGACCACCACAACGCGGGAACATGCCCTTTAGCTCTCATCCTGCCTGGTCCAGACCACTGGGCAGCCCCTTCCACTTCCTGGTGGACTGTGTGGAACATCAACCAGGCTTTGCTTGTGGCTGGACACCCTTAACGAAATATCTGGATACTGATTTTCCTACCTGTATGTTCCTTTTAATGATTTCCCTGGTTAAGTGGACCTTTCCAGTGCTGGGGTCCACCCCTGCGAGCGGCACCATCACCTCTCCGATGACATCATCTCTGGAAAAGCGGTCAAAACTCAGTACCAGGAAATGAAGCACCAAGTCCTGGAGCTGGCTGTAGGGGATCCCATAAAAGGTGAAGGTCTCATCGAAGACCGGGTCCAGGGTCTTCCGAAGGACACGCGTCTTCACTCGGTGCCTCTTGTCTGGCAGGATTGTCATCTTGATGTAGGGGTCAGAGCCCTGGTTGTGTTCATCCATGACTGGCAACCCATGAGCTTCTTGGATGGTCACGACCAGTGCCTTCTTTGGGAAGTTATAGTCCACAGAGAAAGTCAGCGTCCCTAGCATGACCTCGTCTTCCGGGGAAGACCGAGAGGATGTTTTGCTGCCCGTCGGAGTCAAGCTTTGATCCGGACTCAGTTCTTCTCCGTAATCCACTTTGATGGGGAGCTGGTTGACGCAAGGGACTGGGCTCAGCCCACCGGAGTTTTTATCGGACCCCACCAACCCAGCTTCCGCCGCATCAACCAGCAGGTTGCCACTTCCGTCCTTTGTGGTGGGACTCGTCTTGTCTCGCCGGATCCGTATTATTTTCTTCTTGTTGCTCAGCGTCTCCGGATAGATGCTGATGCCCTTCAGCATGTGAATGAACTTGTACGGTTGGGTCTTGTGCTTCTTCTCCGCTTGCTGGTGGCAGCACGTCCACACAAACACGGTCATGGAGACGGACACCACCAACACGGTGGCCCCGATGAGGCCTGCCACAACTGGAGAGACATCTGTGAAGGGGAAGAGAGCGGGAGGATCAGAAAAGATGAAGCCATCCCGCGTGCCTTCTGCAAAGCAGGATAATCTTACGTGCATCCACCCCGTCGGTTCATAAGCAGCCTCCCACTTTAGGAGGCAGGCTGTAGCGCAATGGTGAAGCGTGTGGTCTGTAGGTGGAAACCGTGGGTTTGATCCTCAATCGCTCCAGGCAGGATTGGGATAAATCTGTCTCTCACTCGAGGGAGATGTTGCCAGTCAGTGGAAATGACACTGAGCTAAATGAACCACCCTAACTCAGTAGAAAGTGCCTTTTTTTAAAACAACCCTTTCTTGAGAACCATGAGGTCTGGCACCTTATTTTTCCATTGGGGAAGAGCCATAGCTAAGTGGTAGAGCACATGCTGGGCGTGCAGCTGGTCCAAGGTGCAGTCCCGAGGCAGGCCCTCGGTCCATCCAGCCCTGCACTGTTCCACTGACCACCAGCAGCTCTCCGAGGTTTCAGGCAGGAGTGGGTTCGGGGTGTTGTTTAGCCCTGTTTGGCAATGCCACTTATCAGTCCAGGTCCTCGTCATCTGGACTGCAACCCTCCCATATGGTGAGGATCATGTGCCCACCGGAAGGCCCGTGGGCAGCACGGCAGAACAGCCTGCGAGGGGGCTAGGAGCGCTTCCACACAAAGCAGCCGAACACCCGCTCGGCTGAGCCTTTTGCCGGGAATTTTCCTGCCTGGGGTGTAATCAGGGAGCCCTAGAATCCCAGACGGGAAGGTGTCTTAGGGGTCCTCCGTATGGCCCACCCCGCATTATGATACCGCCCCCGGTCTCGGCAGACAGCGCTGGTCACTTAGGCATGCAGCAGGTTCCCATCGTCCTGCAGCCTGATGAGTACAGAATGTAGAATTTATCTGGTGTGCCCTGCATTGCTTCTTAGAACTACTCGCCCGCAAAGCAGCCAGAGCAGCGTTCGCAGACGTGCCGGCCGAGCGGGGAAGTGCGGGTGGACACTGCTCTGAGGCTTTCGTTGGGCGTCTCCTGCCAGTGGAAAAGGCTATGAACAACCTGGGAAACGGCCATCCATGGTTTGGTTAGCATTACATCTGAACTGGGAATCCTGGCTGGTTTTCTCCTGGCAGGGTAACCTCGTAAGCAACATTTTTGTTCTTGGCTTATGACTCCAGCTTGTCTTGAGCTCAGCCACCCAGGGGATTTCAGTTCAGATGTGTTGCTAAACACAACACCGGCTGAAGTTTCCTAGATTGTTTAGCCACTCCCTCTGGAGGTGGAGCCGAATGAGAGCAGTTCAGCCACATCCATCAGCAAGCTTGCTCGTTCTCTATAATTACCTCCAAGTAATTATGTCTGGCTCCTCGTGCTGGAACTAGTCCACAGAGTCCACTGAGAAACTGTTCTAGAGTACCATGCTAATGACCATTTCTGCTAAAGGTAGGATTAAAATGGAAGCTTTACAAAGCGTGCCCGAATGCATGGACAAGAGAGGACAGTTAGCCAATCAAAAGGAGCAAAGCGCCACAGATTTGGGGGCCACCACCTACAAGACCACTGTGGCCATCAGCCTCACCAATCTTCGTCTCAGGCATTTGAGAAGGACCCTTGAGGTGGTTCTTAATATATGGGCAGGGCTCTGTGGGGGCTTCGAAGAACACCATCCATTCGGGGATTTAAAGGTTAAGACCAATACTTTAAATTAGGCCCAGATAATAATTGATCAGCTGGCAGCTAGCGCCCATCCACACGCATACATGTGCTGGTGGGGACAGTAGATCGTGTGCCATGTGGCTCTCGCTGCCTCTGGGACGCTTCCTGCCGGAGGAAAATGGTGGAATTTAATGCCCAAGTCCTCAGCCTAAAGGGATGATCCCCGCTGTGCTAACGACATCGGCTTGATCAGCTCTGTGCCTCTTGCTTGTTCGAGGGAATAAAAAGGCCCGGCTGCTACAAGGCAGAGCAAAACAGGGAGGAGAGAGACAAAGCAGGCAAGAACCTGGGAAGGCCACTTCGATAAAGGTGCACATCTCATTTACGCTGGGGCTTCTGAGGGGCCTAATCTGCTCTGGCGAGGTTTCCCCCCTCCACGTGTGGCCCGAGCCAGCTCCCTCTGCCAGGCCGGAGCTCGGAGCAAGGATTTCCCTGCATGTCGTTCCCTCTCCACAGCGGTACTCCGGGCCTGGGTAGGCCACGGTTTGGGATCACGGGCACATCTGGCCATTCGAGAAGCTGTCTTGGGTGCCACCACAAAGTGGCTGCCAGAGGGCCGGTCACCTGGCCGAAGGACTGAGTACCAGGCAGAATCGGGGTCTAAGCCCCAACACACCAAACAACTCTTTTAACCCCACACTGTTTGGGGCCAACAGAAATCTTTTCCAAAGCAGACCCTGCTGTTGGTTAAAACATGTGCCGCAAGTTTTTAAAAAATGTGTTAAGTAACAAGAACATGTTTCCCAGGAAAGCTGCACATGGGAGCCCACAGGTACCACAATGCCCACCGCATCACTCCCTAACCCCAACCCTAGGGAGCAGGCACCGCAGCCCCACACAATTTATGACCTACCGACTTGGAAGCAGCCCGGCAAGCCAGCGGGGGGGGGGGGGTCCACCAGAGTTCGCTAAAGCACCAGCTGCTGCAGCCTTGGTTCGACCTCAGCAATGCGTCCGTGTGCGACAAATGCAAGCCACCCCCATTTCCCCCAGCCAACTGGGGATGATGTGCGGTGTGGTCCCACACCTCCGGGTCCCCACTGCAAGCTAAGGAGGAAGACGGAGCCTACAGGGAGAAAGCCCCAGTGTCCTGAGGAGGAGCATGTTCCTCGCAGCAGGCCCCCGGACCTTGATGCGACAATCGATGTGCCACGAGCATGGCTCCCTGTTTCTCATCCACAAGGCCTTGAGGATCATGGCACCTCAGAGATGCTCAGGGGTCCTCTCGTCACACTCACCTGCTCTCCTGACAAAAGGATCCCTGACAAATGCCAGTCAGGCAGAGGTGGTGTTGGGGAGGTGCCCCACCACAGCTGCAGCCCCTTCCAACTCTTTGGGAGACCCCGCTGTCCATGGGCGCTTGCTGAAATCATGCTGCAGGCGCTCTGATGATCTCTGTTAATCCTGAACCCCCCGAACTAGCAAGCTTTGAGCCCACATGTTCTCCCCCTTGAACCCTTTTCCCTTAGGTTTGTTTGTTTTTTGTTTTTTTGTCTGGAATCAAAAATTTGCCCTCCTCTCCCTAGCCCATACATCCCCTTGCAAATATTGGTTCCTTAGGACACGGAGCCCTTTAAAGAGATCCACACCCAAACTTTAAAGAATGCAACAGCCGGCCGAGAAATTAGCACACTTTAATTCTGTTCTGTCCCATCCCTTTCCAGTACCTAGCACCATCCCTGCTGTTCGGCTTGTGATCAAGTCCCTCGCGCTAAAGAGAACCCTTCAGTTCCTTCCAAGCAGCTTCCCCTGCAACGTTACGCCTGTGACAACCCCAGGAGGTAAGTTGGGCTGAGAAACAGGGACTTACCAAGGGTCACTCAGCAAATTCTCCTGACTGGGTCAGCATTCAGACCAAGGGCTTCCAGATTCTTGTCTATTATGTCTTGGGAAAACACCCTAGTCTTTTGCTGTCAGATCCACTGCCTGTTCCTCTTAACTGGAAAAGCCGGAACTCCACCAGGGCCCTTTCAAGCTGCATCCCCTCCCCTCCAAAGTTCTGTGTCTTGGGCTTCAGTGGGATAGCTTCCTCCTGAATCGAATGCTCTGAGTGGGAGGGATCCCACATATTCAGTTATTACATTTCTATACTGCTCAACAGCTGAAGTTCTCTGGGTTGTTCCGGGTCCTCTAAAAACATAAAATAGAATTTAGAATATAAAGTGGCAAGTTGGCTCACTTGACTTCCAAAAGGAAGACAGTGGTGTGTAGGAAGGGTTAAATTCAGCAGGAGGTGAGAGTGGGGAAGCTGTTGGACCACAGTTCTCATCGTCCCTGGCCAGGCTCACAGAAGACCCAGCAGCCTAACATCTGGAGGGACACATTCTGGTGCGCCAGCTGTTTGGTGTGGAATCCACATCGAAACGGGAGCAAGATGACATGGCCAGTTTGCCTCAGCATTGCAGCTTTTCAGCAATCAAGCTTCCAGTCCCCAGGATGTGAGGATATGCAAGGACAACGCCTGACAGAATCTCAGAGGAAATGCACCAGTAGGGTTGCAAAGACCAGGGAACCAAGAGCTTGGGGGTACTAGCAAGCCCTTGACCCTTCCCACGACGAAGAGAAGCAGCATTGCTGCGTCGAGGACAAAAAGCCAACGTTTTCGTATGGCCTATTTGGTACCAGTTTCCAGGATTAGAAAACTTAAATTTATATCTGTTTGGCACGGCTCTTGAATATTTCTCGCTGTTCCCAGCGTTTCTTTTTCTTCTTGCCTGCCCTGACGGGCAGCCCTCCATGCAGACGACCTCACTTCTACAACCAGCATTTATTTTAATTGTAAAACTGCTCCTAGCATTGCCCCAGTCCTGCTGCCCATCCCACTTCTGAGGTGCTCCCTCCCAGCGGACACCACTTCGCTCCCCTTCAAAGGGCTCTGCTCCTTCAGGCCCGATGCCCCTGATGCCTGCACCTGCCTCCCGGAACGCCTGCCACATGCTATTTCTCTGCCTCTCCCTCACCACATCTTCCGCAACCCTATTTCTTCTGGATCCAACCTCTTAGTCCTCCTTGCAAATCAAGGCCAAGGTACTAGCGACCATATTCCCGCCCATTTGCCCCTCTTTTACTCTGGCCTTTGCAATATGACCCTGCTCTTTGTTTCTTGGACCCCTTTCCTCTCTTCCCACAATGGTCTCCTGGCACAACTTGGTTTCATCTGTAAGCTCCTCAGGGCAGAGACCTGATCTTTTGAACGCAGTATTCTGAATGGCACCATGTGCATTAGTAGCGGCGCATAAACTCTGGTGGTTGGTACAATGGTGAACAAAGGGGACCTGGAAGAAACGTTGCAGAATGGAGAGTTGCTGGTCAACATATGCCACCCCTTCCCCTCTTTTCCTGTCCCCCGCAGCAAGCAGCATTGAGCAGACTCTGCTCTGATTGGGCTGTTCCTCCGCAGTTCCCTCTTTCCGTCCTTAGGTATTTTCCCAAATATTTTCTGCTGTTCTGCAAACACCTTTCCCTTGAGCATGGACACTATTGCTGTGGCTATATAAGCAATGACGACTCCCCGTCGGAGATAGAGAGGATACTGATAAAGATGGTAGTTTCAGGGCACGGCGGCACCCACAAAAATCAGAACAATTTCCTTCCTAATGTCTTAACGGGGTCATTCATACTTCCCCAACCTGGTGCCTTCCATGTGATTTGGATTTCAGTGCCCGTCAGCCCCAGCTGGCATGGTCAAGCATGCAAGGAGATTTACTGCACAACCTCTGGAGGGCTCCAGGATGAGGAAGGTTGGACCGCATCGTTGCCATGCTGGCTGGCAATGACGGGGGTTGAATGCCATGACGGGGGGGCACTGTCGCTCAGGGGCAGCGAACCCACTTTGAATTCGGAAGGTTTCCGGTTCAATCCCAGCATCTCCAGGTAGAGCAAGGAGAACATTCTGCCTGAAACTGGAGAGGTGCTGCTGCCAGTCAGTGCCAGCAATTCTGGACTGGCTTGGCCAGGTGTCCGACTCCGTATAAAGGCAGCTTCTCATGTTCATGTTTCAGCCAGCCTTTTATGCAGAACCATGATGACTAAGCTCCTCATTATTTTTAGGAAAAAAGGCTTTATCCTAGTGGTAGAACATTTGCTTTACATGCAGAAGGGCCAGTTTGCAGCACTGCCAGCTAGTTCTTGAAAAACTCCGGCCTGAAACCCTGGAGAGCAGCTGCTGCCAGCCAGTGTCAACAGCACTGAGCTAAAGGAGCTTCCGATGCTCCTTTCCTGTAGCGCTTCATGGATGACAACAGGGGAACCCTTGTTGCTCCAAGCATGGTCGCTGCCTGACACTCATCCTCCCGGCTCCCTCCCCATTACATCTTTCTGGAGTCTCTTCTCTACACAATGGGTGTAGCTGTACATCTCACAGCACAGCTGCAATGCACGCCCTGGATAGGTGATCACAGGAGAAGGGGCTGCCCTTCTGCTTCTGCACCCACACGCTGGCATCGAAATCCAGCTGCCCCTCAGATGACTCAGTCAGGGATGCCTGCCTGGAAATCCAGCGTTCCCCAAAAGGCAAAACCAGGGACAGCAAGTTGAAGAGGGGACACACCCCAGAAAAGAGGGTGAATAGGAAGAGCTGGAATATGCGGTCCCTACTCAGGGTTGCAGGGAAACTCCCGAAATCTGAGCAAGCTGTGGGACCTCTCCCCAGGTTGGGTTTTGGAGGCTCAGTAGCAGGTTGGTTCATCCACATTCGTTAATGCTTTCTACATACTTAATCAAGCTTGAATTGGTATTTTAATAAGAAAATTATCAACAGTGATGCTATAACATTTTCTGGAGTTTGTCTTGGCTTTTGGTTCTCCTACAGTGTAAAACCTCTCACCCTCCCGAAATGCACACACAATTATACTTGGCAGTTTCTGGTCCTCATGTGTATTGGGCAGACATCCAAGATGTGGCGCATGGAGCAGCTAGATTTCCACGAGGCTGCCAGGGTGGCTTTCTATGAACAGGCAGCCGGATCTTATCTCTTGCTGGAGTGTGGTAGATGGAGGGGGGTTGGCTGTTTGCGGCTGTTTCTGCAAGCTGTCCAAATGTGGTGGGGCAAACATGACAGGGGCGTGCGATTCCTGTTGTTCCTTGCTACTCCAGATTGAAATTAAAAGCGGCAGAAAGCAAGGGCAACACAGAAAAATGGGAAACAGAGCACTGGAGCAGGCCTTGATGCTTCGGCCGAGTTTCAGTCCTGTGGCTCTAGACATCCCGCTGAATTATAGATCCCGTAATAACCCTCCCCATTCTTAATCGCGTAGTAGTTTCCCATGCAGTCGGATTGGGGCAGCGGTGAGGGGTGGGCATGGACCGAGATCCCTCTCATCCAGGTCGCGTTGTTTCCAGTTCACACGAACTGTGGCTCCCATGCCCAACAGCATGTGTGCTCACAGACGCAGCGGACGGTTACCGGGATCAGCCTTACACCGAAGCAGATACTCGGGTCCTTTCAGTCCCCCCCTGCTTGCTCTGAGCAGCGGTAGCAGCACGCCACAGCTCCAGGCAGCAAGGTTCCCATCCCTGCCGGGAGAAGCTGGGCACCCAGCATGAGACTTCCTCCATGCAGAGCCCCCACTGAACTCAGTGCAGGGCCTGTTGGTGGCATCCCCTGCGGGCACAGTAAAATCCAAAACTACTTTGGCACTGTTTTTGCTCACAGGATTAACTGGGCAGAGAAGTGGCTGTCACGTTTCCATGCAACGACAGCTCCAGAGGGCTATAAAAAAATGGCACTTTGGCGATTTAAAGAAACCAGAACAGACCAGACCAGACCAGACCCAACCAGACCAGAAGCACCTAATTAACATAAAAACATCCCACACCTGTCTATGGATATAGGCTTGATCTTTTTTTCACAGTTGCCATTGTGTGGCAGGTAATTTGCATTGCGTTCTGTTTTTGTACAGCAGAATTAAAACATGAAATAAACAGATTTCTAGCTGAATGCTGCAGATTTAAAGACCAGGCAGGGGAAATCAAAGGCCTACAAATACACATGAGATTCCCACTCTCTTTATAGTTCAATGTGTCTCAAGGTGTGTGTGGGAGGATTAAGAGTTTTATTGTTTTCCTTCAAGCTTTTACATTCACTCCCCTGCCAGAAACTTTACTGCAACCTGGCAAAACAGGAATGCCACAGTGATAGATACCGTAGGCCGCTATTATGCAGGTGCTGATTGGCGTGGGCGGGCAGGTGGGTGGCGGGCAGTAAGGAGAAGGTTTAAAGCCACTTCTGAGTCAGAAGGCATCACACCAGCCTCGTCTAGAGGCCTCAAACTTTTCCCAGAGATGAGACCCCAGGGAATGTCAACAGCGGTGGGGCAGGGGCAATTTCTGGGCTTCGGAAGTTACTTCCTGTCTCCCGGTAGACACTGAAGGGAAGCCGATACGCGATGGCGTGCTGGGGCCAGGGCAGGGGGCATCTGGCGAGGATGTGCTGTGTTACACCTCTCCCACAGTTGGGGGAGGGGGACATGGGGGCTGAAGGCAAGGACTTCCTCCTCCACCTCCGCAAGCACAGGGGCCTGGATGGCCTCCTTCCCCACACCCCAGGCCCTTCTTGCCCTACATTCCCTGCAAAAAGTGGGGCATCAAACAAAGGCAGAATCCCCTCCAACATAGCGAGGGGCCAGGGCTCCGCCTGGCCCAGAATAGACATCACGTCATCCCGCCCTCCTCCCAGCCACCCGTCCGCACCTGCTCCCTCCTCCCCCAGACCCCCACACCGAGGGGGAGGGGGAGATCAGGACGAAGGGCAATGCCTCGCCTCGCCCCCTCCCAGCATCTCTGCCCCTGGCACTGACCCAGCCGGATCCCAAGGCAGGGCACGCCCGTGCACAAGGAGGGGTGGGGCGAGGAGATGTGACAAGAGAAGGGAGAACACGGAACAGCGTGCTGAGCACGGATGATCCTGGCAGGGGATCGGCGAGGGGAGGAAGCATGGCCCACGATGCCTGGGCTGGGGAGGTGGTTGACACCGAAATTCCACTCTGCCCAAGGCCTGGTTATTATCACTGTTATTTCTGATAGTATTTTTCGAGCGATGGGGAACGTTGACTGGTGCTGAGCATGGCTGGCACTGTGTGCGTGTGTCGAGGGGGAGGATAATGCTGCCAAAGGCCTGGAAGACGAGGCGAGATTGCGTTGTTGTTGTTGTTGAACGTTAGCTTGCCGAACATTAATGATCACTGAAGGAGTGCAGGAAGAAAGGCAGGGATCTTTCAAACAGTGTTTGAGGCTGCAATCCCGTACCTGCTTCTGTGGGAGTAAGTCCCGATGAACCCAGTTGTGTTTGTTGATGAACAGACATTTATAGAATTTCAGCTCCTCAGCATATATGTTTTTCCTGGCGGTGTTTTCAAAGCCGGTGGGTGGGTGGGTGGGTGGGCGGGTGGAGGGGAAGAGCTCTTCCGCTTCACTCCTGTCTGGTTCTGCAGCCATGAACCTGATCCAAGTATTGCAGGGAGCAGGGGAGAGAGGAGTCTGAATTCTCCTCTGGATCAGTGCTGGTAATGGCCTGCTAGGCTTGTGGCCTGGTATGCTGGCGTGTGATCGAGGGGCATGCGTGGCTGTTGTGTTTTGTGTGTGTGTGTGCGTGTGTGTGCGCGCACTGGCAAAGCCCGGAGAGGGGAGGGCAGATGGTTCTCTGATCACGACAGGTCGCAAGGCCTGGCTCTGGCAGGGACAGATGTGGGTGGTGTCATGATGAGCGATGCCAGTGGGAGGCCGGAGCGGGCTTTGTGGAGGGCTCAGGATGCTGACCGCGGCACTTAGGATAAGTCTGGTGTGGGCTATTTGGGGCGGGCGCGCCGAAGATGTGTTTGCGGGGGGGGGAGGGGGAGGGAGGGGAGGCAGAGAGGAAGGGTGGCATTGCGCAGCAGCGGCGGCGGCGGTGGCCGCCGTCTCCCCAGGCCACACTCACCGAAGCTGGGGCGGACGCTGGCGATCTCTGCCATGGCGGCGGCGGTGGCCCGATGCGCGCAGGAGGCCCCCTCGGCTCGGCGGATGCGGCGGCGCTGCTTCTGCTGGCGCCGAGGATGCTGCGAGGGCAACAGAGATGCAGGCGCTGGCGACTGGTCCTGATGCAGCGCCGGCTCCGCCCACTTCGAACGATCGCCGGGCCAGGCCCCGCCTCCCCCGATCGGGGAGGCCACGCCCCTCTGCCTTCCGAGCTCGCCCGACGGTGACTCGGCAGGACGGCGCGGGGGGCTGTCTGCCTCCGGAGGATGCGCGGGCGGGTCGTGGGCGGTGGGCGCGCGTCGCCTCCCCCGCTTTGCTGGAGGAGCCGGGCTGGGCGATGCCTGCAGCTGCTGGTGATTCCCAGCTCATGGCACGGATTACATAGCTTTGCAAATCAGGCTTACCAGACAATGCCTTTTCTAGAGCGATAAATACTGCGGGCGACACGGTTTTCTTCTTACATGCAAAGGTTGTGAGCTGCTTTTGAGAAGAGCAGTTGACTTGTTTAATGCACTGCATATTACGTTTTATTTCAAGCTCCTGTGAGCAATATCAGTGCTATTCTTTCCCTGAGTGAGACTCTGAATATATAGCACTGATTCTGGCTCTGGGTCATTGGCTGTCCGAATGTTTTCAAGCCTGATTCAAGGTACTGGCTTGGCCTGGGAAGGAATGACCCTGCAGAGTTTCATTCTCAGTGTGAATCTGTCTGCACACTGTGCTGCGACTTGAAGTTCCTTCTCTAGGGGCTCCAGAGGGAGGCCCCCACAACGGTCGAACAAGCTCCCCAGTGGGGCCTGCCTGCTGTCAACACTAGGCTAAGACCCTCCTCTGTTTTCAGGCAATTGGCAGCATATGAAAATGGCTCAGCCTGGTTGTGGGAGGTTCAGATACATGCATGAGCACCCTGTTCGTTGCTTGCATACCTCATTTTAAAGTTTTCTCTTCTTTAAAAGAGAACCAGAGGTTGGACATCATCATGACTAGACTATTGTTAGGTGTGTGTTTAGCCAGGGTGATTATATTCCGAAAGCACAAGGTGGTGGCTTCCTGTTGCCCTTTCACGTCACCACGCGACAGGCAGGGCCGTTATGGTGGCAACCATTTTGCCCACAGTTTTCCATAGCGACAGCCCATCAGCATCCCCTGCATCTGTACTGGCATAGCTTCCTCCTAAGGACAGGTGGGATGTGGAACTGATGTAACTCCCCAGGCCTTCCAGTCAGTCTCCTCTACCTGGGGCCCTTGGCTTGCCCAGGGGTTCAGTTTTTTGCTGCTGCCCAATACTTTGGCATCAATAAGGTACACGATAATGCAATTCACCAATGCCAGCCACAGACCACCCCCAGCGTAGGCAGTTTCCAGTCTTGGTAAACTGCCGAGGAGCGTTGCCTATTGGGCAGTATAGACATGTAATAAATTAAATTAAAAATGGAAAAGAGCTGGCCTAGCACTCTGGAAATAAAGAATATTTGCACATTCCTTCATATAACCCCCTAAAACCCACTGTCTCTGCATGCCTTTTTGGCTTAACCTCCAATAAGCTTCTCCTAGTTATATTTACTCAGAACTAAATCTCATTGCATTTATCAGGGTTTTCTTACAGGTGTGGGAACACAGTCTTACAGCACTATCCTATACTGTTGCATTAAAGAGGATATATTACTTGACATTGTCACATCACATATTGGTATCAGTCTGCCTAACCAACTGCCCTTGCTAAGCCTCAGAACACATTCACATGTTGAATTACTCCACACCAAAAATAATTATATACAAGATACACTCATAATTGTTGATTTTATTTATTGATTTTAACAACCTTGGCCAGGATGTCTCCAATTTTATATTATTGTATTGGTGGTATTTATTTATGTTTGTAAGCCGCCCTGAGGCTTATGTGAAGGGGGCAGCATATAAGTTTGCTAAATAAATAAATAAAATATGTAATTATTTTTATCATTGTTTTCTGTAGGTGGCAGCCTTGACTGTTGTTCTTATTACCTTCTTGTTTACAGTGCAGGAATGTTATGAAAACTAAAATAGGTGCTTTTTCATTATCATGTGTTTTAAGTCAAGTGTGGAAAGACTAAATGTTTTTGGGATCTATTTAATTTAATTTAAGTGCAAGGTTCATTAACCAGAGCCTGATGCAAGAAGCGTACATTTTGAAGAATTTGAATCTCCGTGTATTTTGAGTGCTAGAACTGAATTGAATGCATAGTCCCTTCCCATAAACCAGTCCTAGTTACTCAAACCTTTCAGCAGTTCAGGGCTGTTTTTATTGTGGGATCCAGAAATTCTAACCGAGCTATTGCAAACCACCCAAAGATATATCAGTAGATCCAGCTCTAGCCTCTCCCCATCTATTTTAACTAACATGTCAACCTACATGTGGAAATTAAATGGACTTTTAAATACAATGCTCCCCTTCCATTTTGCCTGGATCTAGCTCAGGCAGAGAAACATATTCATGTTATTAAGTTACGTTTTCACGACATTATTTCCTGTGTTCATTATTATTGCACTTCAGTTGCTATGAGACTTTTGGAACGAAATTTTTGTCGAAAGCAGAATTTTAAAAATTTATAACAGTAGACTACAACGGGTTTTCTACAGACAGCGTGTATCTGATGCAATAGCGTATTCCACTTCTGGTTTGCATTCTCCTTGGGGTTGCGATTTGTCCTCTCATACAGGGCTGCATGAAATGAGAAACAGAGCTATTTCAGCAACCTTACTGGGGCTTACATCCAGGAAAGGTTTTTGGATGGCAACCTTCATAAACAGGAAGTCTGCCTGCCACAATCGGGTGTACATGTTTAATATGCTGGAAGACACACACACACACACACACACACACACACACACACAGAGTACAAAGAGAAGCTGAAAAGCCAGTGTAAGCTACTAGAATACACAGTACTTCTCCCTATTTTAAGATTGGTAGATTGAGCTCATTCAGCTTCTGATGAATGAAAATAAATGCATCTCCCAAAAGCAAGACACCAACGAACCTACAGCAGCAATGTTTCCTGTAGGAAATCCCAGCCTTGAATGCAAGAGGGACCCCCACAGCTCAGCGATGCAGCACACAGTGCATCACTCCAGTTCTCCTTTTGACCCCTGACATCTTCCAGCGAGGCTTCAAAAGACCCCCTACCAGAGGCCTTTGGGAGTCACGATGAGTGAGGGTACAAAATGAGCCCTATAAAGTGAGCTTGACTTTGTGTTGTATGTTTGACAGAGGGCACTTTGCAGTGCAGAGGTATCCAGAACGGACCAAAATATGCACTGTTTGAACCCATCCTCCCCTGCCCTGCAATGCCCTTTGTGGGAAGCATCACGATTAATTAAAACGTACTGTGAGTCATATTTTCTCCGTAGGTTTTGGGCGATTTTGCTCCTGGTAAAGTGCAAATGAAGCATGATAATTAAAATGCTTTGTGGGTCTCTGCATGGGTTTTGTGTTATTTTGCCGTTGGACAGGTCCAGAGCTGGCACCAGGGCACCGGCTGAGGGCCCACAACACAGCAGGAAGTTTACTGACAGAAACTCCTGGAAGGGCTCCCTCCCTTCAGAGCTGCAGCTGGCTTGTTCACCCACCTTTCACTGGGGCCCGGAGCGCAGCGTTGGTGGGAAAGAGGAGCAGGAGATGCCCCTGCGTGTTTGTTGCCTGGCTCTCTGCTTGTCGACCAAGTAAGTAGTGGCAGTGATGAAGAGGAAGAGGGGCGAGGGCGGTGGGGGCAAATGGCAGCGCTGCGGGAGACTTGCTGAGGAGGTCTTGCTCAAGGGCCCCCAAAGCCTAGGGCTGGCACTGGCTGGGTCCCTCCAGTGGGTCATTAGGCTGCTCTTTACTGAAACCTACTTGGACTGTAACCAGAGTCGTACGCATGTACAACGGAGGTGTTGGAGGAAGGAAAATTGGCTGGTAGAATAGCTAGAAAAAGAATCAATTACTGGATTTCCTGCATTACTTTGGGATCAGCATTTTCTTCTGCTGCCTCATGGCATTTGCTCAACCTGTACATTAGGCAGCTAGACTGGACGGGTGTCGAACTACTGGGATCACTGTGTCCTCACAGGATTTGTCCTACAAAGAAGGCCCACATTTCTAAACGAGGGGGAATATCTTGTTTTCTGTTTGCAGTAAATAAAAAGTGGGTATGGAAAAGTCACTATTCACTAAGCACAATTTATGTCTATGATATTTATCAACCTTGTGCTGTGCACCATTTAGAGAAAGTCCACATGTTCTAAATGGCTGGGTATAGCTGAGAGTTCTGGACTGTTTTTGTCTAAATATAGCATTTGCTATGGAACAGTCTATAAAAACTTTACATAAATAGATAATGCATAGGATTGCATCCTATGCCCGCAAATTCTAAATACACATATCAAGCCTGGGATGTGTTTGTTACAGTTCTATAGCCAAAATTCTCTGGTTCGCCAAAACTAAAATCTTAGTTGTTGTTGTTAGTCGCAAAGTCGTGTCCGACCCATCATGCCTCCATGGACAACACTCCTCCAGGCCTTCCTGTCCTCCACCATCCCCGGGAGTCCACCTAAGCTCACACCAACTGCTTCAATGACTCCATCCAGCCACCTCATCCTCTGTCGTCCCCTTCTTCTTTTTCCATCTACTGTTCCCAGCATTAGGCTCTTCTCCAGGGAGTCCTTCCTTCTCATTAGGTGGCCAAAGAAAATCTCAGTACAGTATGGTAAAACAAAATGAAACCAGATTAAAAACACCAAGCATTCAAAATCAAATCTGCTAGATTAAAAAGGACACCCCATTGCTTACAGTGGGACTTACTTCCAACCTACTTCCCTATTACAAGCTTGAGATTGCACAATGCCAAGGAATAAGCCACACTGAACATGACTGGGTTTACCACCAAGAAAATATGGATAGGATTGTAAGGCAAGCCATGTGTCCTACTTTCCAAAGGACAGTTCTTTGTCTGAAGGCAGCTTTGAGTTGAAGGCCTGCCATTCTGTGGCCAGTTCTAAGATGCTCTTCCTTAAGAAGAGAGACCAGTGAACATTTGGAAGTTCGTACCTGCTCAGAAGAGCTCAGAAGGGCATGGCCTTCCCCACCATGACAAAACGTAATTTATTTCCATTTAAGTAGCACCAGGAACGTCTAAACACACACACATAAGTTGGCAAATGTGTATTTTATGCTAATCTGTATCCACCCAAGTTTTTTGGGTGATGGTGGCCATCTGGGATGCAGTGCACCAGCAGAAGCACCGAAGTCTTTTTTGGCGCACTTGCTACTGCGGTTGCTTAATTAATAATTTTAGTCGGACTTCTACTGCGGTTTTAGGATCGTACATCTCTGCTGTTGTTGTGTCTCATCAAGTTGTCTTCAAGTTAGGGCGACCCTGTGAATAAGCCCCTTCCAAAATGACTTGTTCTTGACAGTCCCGCAAAGCTCTGGAAAACCCAAGGCTGCGGCTTCTTTGACACTACTGATTTTTATTTTATTTTATTTATTGAAACATTGTTATGCCGCCCCATTCGCCGAAGCCTCGGGGCGGCTGATCCATCTCCTAGTTGCTCTAAATGTTGCAAATAACCCGTGAACAATACTGAAAGCATCCCTCTTAAATCTCGGATATTTTACAGGTTCTATGCTGATTGCTTTCCATACCGCATTTTACTGTTGCCGGTGATTTTATTGATTTTTACAGGGTGTCCCCGCATGAGTTTTGTTCTGCCAAGGTTGAGCACAGGCTAGGCTGAGCTGATCCCGGATTTCCCACTCTGATGACTGGATTCCGGGTTAACGGGAGGCATCTGTAGCGTTGCCAGAAATGGGGTGACGTCATCCAGAGCCGAATTCGTTTGGGCGTGACGTCACGGGGCGAGGACGAGGTAAGTCGTCGACCCACCGGAGCACCTCGTGGTCACGTGGCCTGCAGGACCAATCCCTGAAGTCACGTGCCAGCCCTTTGGCGTCCGACCGCTTCTAAGCAGCGTCCAAAAGGCCCAACTCAAAAAATGGCGGTTCTCGGCCTTTCGCCAGCAAAAAAGATGGCGGTTTTCGCTTCCTATAATGGTACAGGTTCTCTGCCCTTTTTGCAGGCATTACCGGGGCGGAGGCCTCCCTCGTCCCGTATTTCTGGGTTGTGTACATAGATCGTGTGACCCGCGACCTCTAGAGAATACCCGCGGCTTCTCACACTGCCTAAGACGGCTGCTATGTGATTTCGGGGTTTTCCCCCCAACTTGCCTTCTCCCTACTTAACTCATGCCAGGAAGAGAGATGGCGGCGCGAGTCGTCCTGTGTGGTAAAGGCGCGCGGCCCGCTGGTTTCCTTTTCCGCTCCGGTGTCGTTTCCGCTTCCGTTCCGGAGGAAAGCGGAGGCTCCGGTTTGGAAAATGGCAAAGGCGAGCCGCTGTGGGGCGAGGGATGCGGCGGAGCGCGCGCGGTGAGTCGGCGGGCGGCTCGGGCAGGGCCGTGAGCGGCTCCTGGGAGCAGGCTGCCTTGAGAATAACGGCTCTCCCCGCCCAGCGCCCTTCGCGCGGCTTGCACTACAGTGCCCATCACCCCCAGCCCGCACGGCCAGTGCCTTGTCGGTCTCCCCCGGGTGTGCCGGACTGCAGCGCTCATTCTTCCCGGCCAGAGTAGGTAGCGTCAACCTGGTGTCCCTGGGGGGGCGTGGACTGCGAGCCCCACCGCTCGCCCCGAGCGTCGCATTTCCCCCCATCCCGGAGGCGCTCCGCCCGTGTGCCCCGCCGGCGTTCGCGTCTTCCTTGCGCGCTTCGCGTGGGCAGCTCGCCGGCCGCTCGGCGAACGGCGTGCTGGACGAGGTGGGCCCTTGGTCTGGTCCCAGGGGCTCTTCCTAGGCTCTTACGGGGCAATGGGTGGAGAGTTGGAGCCTCACAGGAGGGGACTCGCAGCTTCAGCGAGGACCAAGGCCAAGAGTCGAGCGCTCATTGCTGCGACTGCAGCTGCTAAGTGAGTATTTCAGTATAAAGCCAGGGGGATGTGAATAGCTCTTCCCCACCATGGCCTGGAACCACTTATTTGCTGGTCATGAAGAGGCATCTTGTTTCCTGGGCTTTGTGGCAGAGTCAGTCAGGTTGTAGAAGACCTCTTCCTAATCTCCAAAGTGGCTCCACAAGTTTCTTGCTACTGAAGGCATCAGCACTTTTCCCTTGAGGCTGCCAGTTTGAGTGGAAGAACTTCCTGGCTTATACCCTTCCTTTAGAAAGTCTCTGCCTTGTTCTTTTGTGAGGTTCCTAATAGACTTCCAGCCAGATTACTAAAGGGCCCAAATCTGTGTTGCTTCGTTACTGCTGTGGCACCTTTTGTTTTGACACTAATCCTGGAGGCCTCAGCTCACCCACGAAATCAGCAGCACCCATCATGCAGTTTTCCAGATACTGTTGGACTACAGCTCCCACCATCCTCACCATTGTATGCAGTAGCTAAGGCTACAGTTGCAGTCCAACAACATCTGGTGGGCCATGTGAGATGGGAAGCAGAACGATTTCATCAGGTTTGCTCAAAGAGTCTTTGCTTCCCCCCTCTTCCCCTTCCCTCTTCATTTCCATGACTTTTCATCTGGGAGGGTTGGGCTAGGAATATCCTGTTTTGAATGGTTGTATGTAAGCTATTCCGGGAGACTTTGTGGCTAAGGAGCAGGATACAAATGGTTTAAATGAATAAACAAATGTGCATAGATTTACTTTAACAACAGTGTGATGCTATGTATCACATCTAAAGACTGTTTTGTTCAGTGCAGCTTCTATCTAGGAAAAAAACTTTGGCCTGTGGCCTTAATAAACCTGGAATCTTCCTGTCTCTGTTGTAATGTGTAGGATCCAGAGAAACCTTTTCTTCTTGAGTGGGAGAGTAATGAAATAAGGTTATGCACTTAAATATTTCACGGTGCTGAACAAAGAATCCCTAATAGCCCAATTCTATTCATGTCTTTTCAGAAGGTAACCAAGTTGATTCAGTTGGAACTTGCTCCCAGGTAACTGGGAAAAGATAGTTGGTTTAACATCCTACAATAAACTCAGTAATTCAAAAGTGAATGATTGGAAACCCTATCCTGGAACCAAGTACCATAGTCCCAGGTCAGTTAGGGATTTAAGGGTAAATATTTGGAACTTTGCTTGTGGAAGTGTTTTTCTTTTAAAATACATGTATATTGTGTTGTAAGCCACCCCGAGGTTTCAGCAAGGGGCGGCATAGAACTGTTAATAATAATAATAATAATAATAATAATAATAATATATTTTGAATGTTTTGAAATAAACAGGCACCAGCAATCAGTGAATATAGTTCCGTAGTCAGACTAGCATCCCAAGAGAACTAATGTGGTATAGTGGTGGAGTATATGACTGGGGCCCAGGAGATGTGGATTCTAGTCCCTACTTAGCCATGGAGTTGACTGGGTGACTTTGGGCCAGTCCTAGATTCGAAGCCCAGCCTACCTCACAGGGTTGTTGTTGTGGGGATAAGACGGGGAGGAGGAGGATGTAACCACCTTGGGTTCCTATTATTTTTTAGATTTAGCACTAGAAAGGAAAAAAAGAAGAATATAACTATAATAAGTACGTAAATTAATAAATTACTGAGTAATTGAATCTGCCACAGAAGGTGATGGCACTGAGAGAAGAAGAAGAAGTGTTATACATCAAAAGGACTACCAAGAATGTCTGCATTTGCCAGAGCCACCAGTACAAAGAAATGCTGCTGAGGTGCTGGAAAACCGCTTTCCCAGATGAGGAATTGGCATAGGCAAAGAATAAGAACTGTGTTTCTAAATGAAAATGAGTAGCAGAAATTCTTTCAAGAGCAGCACCAGTACCAGTACATCCTGTTTTGGAGCTGGGCTTCTGCATTTCGAATGACCTGAGGAATCTGAATATCCTCCAAGGACATTTCTATGCATAATCCACTCGGTTCTCTGTCTTTGCAGAGGGAGAGCAAGGGAGCTTTAGTTGGGATGTTTCTGTCCCTGAAGATGCTGCCATGCAAGAAGAGGAGAGCTGTTCCGGCAGATTCGGAAGAAGTGGAGTCGGACCTCTCTTCAGACGTGCCCTCCGTTCAAATGGAGACCACTTCTTCAGGTGGGATTAACCAGCTCCACAGCTTCATGCTGCAAGTCGAGGGACAAAACTGTGCTATGGGTTCATTTTCCTCTCCTTTGCCAGCACCTGCAGGGGACCTGGGAGATGCTGATGGTGAGCTGGTAAAAGGAGCTGCGATTCCGTCTAGAGATGCCCCTCAGAAAGCCTGGCAGGAATCGGCGGAGGCCCCGTCGAGAGGTGGGAAGACCTTTCCAAAGGCAGGATCAGATCTCTGTCCACAGCAAGCTGAGGAGTGTCGAGATGCAAAGTGCTCTCCATCAGCCAAGCTCTTTGTGGACAAGATAGAGCAACACCTGGACTGTGCAGGTAAAACGTCAGTTTGGGTTAAGGCAGTGCTGCAGAGCTCCTAACCTGGATTCTCCTTCATAGGGTTACCTTTCGTCTTCAGCCCTAGAAATACGGGGGAAAAAAATCTAGAACGAGTCATGGCTCCAGCCATTCCAGGGCTGGGGCAAATTGCCCCAGGTAGCAGCACCTGGATGCTGCGCAACACTGCGGCCTTGCGTAAAGGGAGAAGTCTGGGGGAGTGTTTATGCCCCCACACGCCTCTCTTCTGGTGGAGCCTTGGGTCTGGGAGAGCCTTCGACCACCTTGCAGGGAACAGGCAGAGGCAACCGAAGGGGAGACGTGGGGCCAGAAGACCCTTCTGCTGGGCTGTGGGGCTTGGCTGGGGCCAAAAGTTGCAGCCCCATCGAAAACAGCAGTGGCAATACTTGTTTATAAGGTCCAGGCACCTTGACGTGCATGCATGTATGTATTTATTTGGGACACTTATATGCCGCCCCATTTGCAAAGGCCTCGGGGCGGCTTCCGATACAAATAAATAACTATACAATTACATAAAAATGCATAAAAATCTGGAGACATCCCGGCATAAATATAAAATCTATAAATAAATTCAACAATTAAAATGACATTGAAATAAAAAGGTCTTGGCCTTTTATTCAGAATGACATTTGACGATTCTCCCTGCTATACCTCGGCGCCCCTCTAATCTCTGGGTTTCAGCTGGCCTTTTGCCGAAAATGGAGGCTGAATGGGAAGTGGCAGATGACCCCCAGAATGCGAAGGCCCCCAAGCCCCTGCTGAGTGCTGAAGTGCTGCACGAGCTGAAGGAGGAAGCCGAGGAGACGGGGCTTTTCATCCCAGTGGGTGAGTGGAACCACGCCTCCAAACCAGCTCCTAGAATGGAGGCACACTGTGCTCTTGTCACATCAGCAGAGGTGACCCCATGCTTGGAAAAATGGACATGGGAATCTCCTTGTACTGGTTTATTCATTTCATCCCGTCTTTATTCCACCCATTCCTCTAAGGAGGCAGAGTCCTGCCCTTCCCCATTGTATCCTCCCCTCCCACCCATTTTGGTTGTGTGTGTTTGTTTCCGGTTTCTTAGAAGAACGAGAAGAAGGAGGGAAAAGGAAGAGGAGGAAAGCGACGAAGCGGAAGCGGGAAGGGAAATGCCAGGAGGAGGAGGAGGAAGGCCCCTTGGCTTGTGACCTCAAACTGGACGACACCCTCGACCGGACTCTGGAAGACGGTGCGAAACAGCATAACCTGACAGCCGTCAACGTGAGAAACATCCTCCACGTGAGTGCCGCCGGGTGCCGCCGATGCAGTGTGTCCTGTGCGGGCATCACTGCTGAAGGGTGCGGGGGATCCTTTCCTGCTCACCGTCTTGCACAAAAGACAGCCGAAACTGGCATCCCATAAGACAATTAATCCTGGCTGGCTGTGTCACAGGTCCCTGTGGCCAGTCCTTGAAGGCCTGGGGGAAAAGCCAAGCTGCCACCCGATTTGCCAAAACTTCTAAGCTATTTGCGCGGTAACTTTTATTCTTTCGCCTGCTTGGAAACGACACAGTGAATGCTTGTTATTGGGAGCTGGGGAATATAATCAGCCACACCGATAATCTCTGTAGCTGAGGCAGCTCTGACTTAGCGTTGGAATAAGGCAAGCTGCGCACCTTCTCTTCTGTGCTTGTCGCTGCAGGAAGTTATTACGAACGAGCACGTTGTGGCCATGATGAAAGCGGCCATCAGCGAGACGGAAGACATTCCCATGTTTGTAAGTCTCCCTCAGTAGCCAGACTGGAAACGGGCTTGCCACCAAGTCAGGGTGGGTGTATGAGGAGGAGGAGGAGAAGCTGGGATTAAAGTCTGAGCAGTTTGCAATGAAATGACAGCTTTTTGTCATGGGACAAACGCCTGTCAGTGGATACAAGGCCTACTGTCTCTATACTAACTCCAGCATTTAGTTTATTTTTCCCCGTAAAATTTCAGTAGAGCCAAAAAGAGGAAAGCTGGCTACCTAGCACTGAGTATATCAATTTCAGTGAATGCTTATGAGATGCATCTGTGTATGACGCCTTCTAAAAGTTAAACATAAAGTTCCCGAGCAGATGACATAGCCATATAAATGTGTGTTTGTGTGCAGCATCTGTGGACCACAATTCAGATGTTGAAAGTATGGTTGGCTCGTTAATCACAGCACTATAGGAGCCTTTGTCCTTCCGCTGTTGTACTATCAGTCTTCTAGCTGTCAAACCGATGCCAAGAATCCATTTACACTGACCTTAAATCAAGCTGTTAATTCCTGAGGACGTGCCCATTGGTAAAATTATTTATTTATTTTTATGCATAGTATCTCAGGATGGATTACAATCATTAAAACAAACCACAATTAAACACCCATCTTAATATAATAAATAACAATTAACTAAAAATATAAGTGAAATTAAAAGCGACTGTTGAACTTTAAAATTAGTTTTTAAAATTGTTGTTGTTGTTAGTCACGAAGTCGTGTCTGACCCATCGCGACCCCATGGACAACATTCCTCCAGGCCTTCCTGTCCTCCACCATCCCCCGGAGTCCACTTAAGCTCATGCCGACTGCTTCAGTGACTCCATCCAGCCACCTCATCCTCTGCCATCCCCTTCTTCTTTTGCCATCTATTGTTCCCAGCATTAGGCTCTTCTCCAGGGAGTCCTTTCTTCTCATTAGGGGGCCAAAGTATTTGAGTTTCATCTTCAGCATCTGGCCTTCGAAAGAGCAGTCAGAGTTGATCTCCTCTACGACTGACCGGTTTGATCGCCTTGCGGTCCAAGGGACTCGCAGGAGTCTCCTCCAGCACCAGAATTCAAAGGCCTCAATTCTTCGGCGCTCGGCCTTCCTTATGGTCCAACTTTCACAGCCATACATTGCAAAGTTTTTTTAAAATAACAATTAAATAAAAAGGTTTTAACCTGGCACTGGAAAGAATATAAACATGGTGCCAGGTGAACCTCTGGTGCAGTGCAATGTTTCATTACAAGGTTTATCCATGTAATAACCTCTTTCCAGAAGGAGGCACCTATTGGGGCATTGCCAAAGCATACGTGTAAAAGAAGCATTGTTTATTTATTTATTTATCCATTTTATTTAAAACTTTTCTGTACTTCCCACTACCAAATAGCCTTGGGACAAAAAGTGGAGCACAGCATCCATTCTATACATTAAAAGCCCACTTAAAAAGCTCAATCTAAGCCTTAAAATACTGGGGGAAATAAAAAGGTTTTGGCCTGGTGCCAAAAATAATAAAGTCCCAAGGATAAAGCATTAGCTGTTCTACCTCCAGGATCAGAGGCAGTGTGCTTCCGTGTACTAGTTGCTGGGGAACATGGGTGGGAGGCTCCTGGTGCACTCCTGTTATCCAGGCAGCTGGGTGTCCGCTGAGTGAGCAGAAGGTTGGATTTGATGGACCTGTGGTTTGGCCTTACCAGGTTCATTCTTGTGTCCTTATGCGGTATCTCTGACTTTCTCCTTTAGGAGCCAAAAATGACGCGCTCCAAACTGAAGGAAGTGGTGGAGAAGGGAGTGGTGAGTCGGTGTGCGTTTTTGGATTTGTGCCGCCTTGAGCAAGAGACACGGATGGTTTCATGTGGAGGATCTGCATCTTGTTTTTTCTATTGCTGTGACACTATCCAAACAAACAGGAGGTGCCGCTTGCAAAAGCAGCATATAAAACAGGGGATCCGCTTGTTAAAACCCAGCTTGAGAGTTCCCGATCCTGTGGGGTTGCGCTGAGGCCCAATTTTGCTAACCATGGAAGCTTCACAGTAAACAAATGAGCGGGGAAGTAGGATCTGAAGATGTACCTCTCTGCATTAGCTCATAATGCTTTTTGTCTTCCCTCAGGTAATCCCTACCTGGAATATTTCTCCAATCAAGAAGGCAAATGAAATTAAGGTTACTATTGGTAGGGTTTCTGGTGGGTTTGTTAGGCACTGCCCGGTGGAGATCGGGACTTGAGGAACAGTAACAAAGTCTGTCAGTTCTCTCCTTTATTTCTTGACCATCCCCTCCCTCCCCTACATGCATACGGACACATGTCCTGAGGACTAGCAACTTGCTTTGGCTGTCCAATAAAACCGGAGTCCTCAGATTTTGCCAGCACTACTTCAGTGCTGAGTTTGCAGCCTTGTGCTCCCATTTGGTGTATTATTGAAGCTTTGGGGACATGGGTAAGCATGTGGAAGAGGCAAAGTAGCTGTGGCACTGGCCTGCTCTTAATGGGACAGGTGGGCACAGGCCCTGAGATATTGGGGGCCCGTTCTCATCGTTGTCCTCAATAATCCCACCTTTCTGTCTTGTCTTAATCACTGCCTTTCTTCTCTCTCTGCCACAGCCCCCTCAGTTTGTCGATATTCCCCTTGAGGAAGACGACTCTTCTGATGAAGAGTACCAGCCGGAGGAAGAGGAAGAGGATGAGACAGCAGAAGAGGTGTGGCATGACGTTGGCTGGCATGCTGGGAGATGTAGTCCAACACACAACTTTCATCATCCCTTACTGTTGGCTTTGCTGGCTTGGGCTGATGGGATGTGTAGGCTAAGACAGGCTTGGTCCTTCCGTACAGGCCTAATTCTGGGGTCTGGCACTGATACTCTATTTTATTCCCCCTTTTTCATCACATTTCTCTGCAATCATTTTGACTAAGAGGAACTTGCCAGAGCTGCTGACAAAAGAGAGCTGAGAACTTGTGCAAATCCAATTTTAAAAACGGTGTTAAAAAGAGCAGCCAGTAATGGTATCGAATGGTGAAGGGCCTTTACTTCATGGTCAGCATCAATATGGGCCGTACCACTTCTGATTGCAGAGCGGGGAGGCTCGCAGGGTTGCATGCTTCCTACTCCCCGCTTCCAACCATGGAAAACGTCTCCTAAATATAGAATGTTGAGGAACAAGCTAGTTTTCTGACCGCTGCAGTTTCTCTGGGTGGAGGCACGTTTATCTGAGACTCTGCCTGCAGACCGAATTGGTACAGCCTGTCACAGGTTGACCTGTCTTTGTGAGAACTAACCTGAAGGCATGCTAATCAGTTTGTTATCCTCCCTCTGAAGCAGAGACACCTTTTCCCAAAGGTGGTGAGCCAGACCCCAGGGTTAAAAAAAAGCCAAAAAAACCTCCAAACATGCACCCACAGAGTGGGGACCACCACTTAGAAGGCCCCGCTGCTTCAACTCACTGGTTCTGCTTGCAAAGGCTGTTCAGAGCAAAACTGCTTATTGTCCCGAGTGCTCTAAGAAGGGGACACATGGCTCTCCTCTGTCCTTCACTGTTTCTGACAGTTCTGCCATAATGTGCTGTCCCATTGCAGGCACAGGGACATGGTAAAAGGAACTTTGACAGCAGCCGCCCCGCTGGCTCGTTTTCCTTACGCCTCTCTCCTGTTCCCTAGAGTCTGATGGAGAGCGACGTGGAAAGCACCTCCTCGTCTCCCCGGGGAGCCAAGCGCTCTCGGACAAGGCGGTCGCCTGATATGATCGAGACGGATGAGGAAGGAGCGGCCCTGCTGGAGGTAGGACGAGGTCTTCCACGTTACCCCTGGGGAGAAGAGACGCCGCAAGCTGGCTCGTACGCAGCCACGAGGGGGGAAGTCGGTGGGATGAGCCCCTGCTTTGGGGGCTCCAAGGGAAACCCTGCCCACCCAAAGCAAGCTGAGAGAAAGTCTACCCAAAGCTGGGAAGAAGGCGCAGCCAGCATCCCAGTGGATGTGGGAGCCTTGGATAGCCTTTATTCTGAGGGCTGGATCAGCATAATAGCTCAAGGGGCCATGTGACCCGTGCACGGGCCATGCAGCTCCGGGTGCCTTGTGGTATTGGAGCAGGTGTGGGCCATGTTCCTTCCTCAAAAGCTTCCATCTTCCTCAGAGGCTGCCACAAAGAGGAAGGTCAAGATCTCTTCTGGCTGATGCCAGAGTGTAGGACATGGAATAATCAGTTCAAGTTGCAGCAGCCCAGATTCAGGCTGGACATCAGGAAGAGCTTCCTCATTGTCAGAGCAACATGACAGTGGGACCAGCCGCCTGGAGAGGAGGGGGGCTCTCCCACACTGGAGACATTCAGGAGGAAACTGGGCAGCCATCTGAGTGGGATGGTGTGAATAGGTGTCCTGCAACAGCAGGGGGTGGACTTGATGGCCTTCATGGCCCCTTCCAACTCTACTACCCTGTTTCCCTGAAAATAAGCCCTAACTGGAAAATAAGCCCTAGCATGATTTTTCAGGATGCTCGTAATATAAGCCCTACCCCCCAAAATAAGCCCCAATTAAGATTGTCAGCCAGACAGAAGCATTTAGTACATCCATTGCAACACAATTCGGGGTTTGGAGAGTTATGACAGTGTTCCAGAAGAAGATGGCATGACTGTATTTGAATAAATGTAGATTGTTGTACATGAAAATGACATGGCTTCACCTGAAAATAAGCCCTAGTGCATCTTTTGGAGCAAAAATTAATATAAGACCTGGTGTTATTTTCGGGGAAACACAGTATTAATAACGCTTTGAGAAATGACTCTTTCTAAAGCGGTTGTCAAGGGTGGCACAGCTCAAACTACCGTGGTGTTTGAAGGCACATCAGCACTCGCCGTTCATCAAACACCACGGGTCAAAAGCCAGAGGACGGGATGTAGGCAGAGTGGAGATATCCATCGGTCAAGCGGCCCTCTCTGCTTCCACCCACCAGGTCGAGAAGGCCTCCCCGCCTCCCCTTCAGAGGCACATCAGCGCCGAGGTCGTGCCGATGGGGCCGCCGCCGCCCCCCAAGCCAAAGCAGAGCAAGGATAGCAGCTTCATGGAGAAGCTGCATGCCGTGGATGAGGAACTGGCCTCGAGCCCCGTGTGCATGGATGCCTACCAGGTAACGGCACGGGGGCCGCCGAACGGTTTCCCCAGCAGCCGCTGCGGGAGTCTGGGGTGACAGTTTCGGGCGCTGGTATTACAGGAAAGGGGAGAGATACCTCCCACTCCCGTCTCTCCACACAGGCATCACGCAGCATGCCTCCATCACGCTTCCCCTTGCTGGCCGTTTTTCTAACCCAAACAGTCCCAAAGGCTGTAAACTTTCCTCGTAAGGAAGTTGCGCCAACCGCTAGAGCACTTAATATCCCCTTTTATGTACTTTTCCCAAGCCTACAATATCATTTGCAGTTGCAGTGCCCAGAACTCTGCACAGTTTTCTAGCTGGTCAAGCCATAATTTATATTCCTTTTGGCACCAGGTGACAACCTTTTTATTTGCCCGCTATTTTAAGGACTAGGAATTTTAATTGGCTTTTAATACTCACAGTCGCATTTTGATTTTGTCCTTGTCCTTGTCTTTGTTCTTGTTGGTAATGTGTTTCTGTTGCTATCATGCGCATTAATTGTTGTTTTGTTTATCGGTTGTTTTGGTTCTTGTAAGCCATCCTGGAACGATTTGCATATAGGACAGGATATAAATATTTTTAAATGAATAAATTGTGCAAGGGCCTGCCCAGGCTGCTTTGGCATGATGGGCATTACTGACCCAACGCTCCTGGGGGGCACCTGACCAGGGAAAATGGCCCCGACCCCTGTGCCATGACGGCTTTCCCTTCCCCCTCTGGCGTAGGGAAGTCAGTCCAAGCCTCGGGGCCCCTTTTGTCCTCTCCTCTTCCCAGCCTCTGGAGGACAGCTTGATTGCCTTCCGCACCCGGTCCAAGAGGCCCCTGAAGGACGTGCCCCTCGGCCAGTTGGAGGCTGAGCTGCAGGCCCCGGACATCACCCCGGATATGTACGACCCCAACACAGCGGACGATGAAGATTGGAAGAGGTGGCTGGGCGGCCTCATGCACGGAGACGTGGAAAATGAAGGCATGTAGCCGTCTCCGGGTCTCAGAATAGGTTGGCTGGTTGAAGCCCGGGACGTCGTGTGCGGATTTGGCTCTTTCATCCATGCCGTGGCATGTTGTGAGCTTTTTTGGAAGTGGCACCTGTGGGAAAAAATGGTGTTTGAATAGAAAATCCGGTCCAGCAGAAGTCCCCTCAGAAGGGGCTTGCCTCCTCGCTTTGGCTGAGAGATGCTTCTCCTTTCAGATGAGGCGGACGACGACGACGATCCGGAATACAACTTCCTGGAGGATCTGGACGAACCAGACACTGAGGACTTCCGAAATGACCGTGCCGTGAGGATTACAAGTACGTTCTCTTGAATATTCTACCCTGTGGCTGCCTCTGTCTGGGTGAGCAGCTCCGGGGAGTGGAAGAGCCCATTGCTTGATGCCGGCATCCTCTGGGGGCTTCTCGTACACCACCAGACCCTTTGTGCGTTGTGGGGAGGATTGGTAGTTGGCAGCCAAAATTTGGAGGCTGATCGCCGAGGAGACTGAAAATTGACCTTGAAAACAAGCTGAACCTGGCGGCCTTCCGAGGCATTTGAGCCACAGCTCCCAGAATTCCCCTCCAGCAGGGCCATTGACTGGGAATTCTGGGTGTTGCAGTTCAAATATGTCTGGAAGGCATGAGGTTGAGGAAGGTGTTTCTAAAGGAAACATTAGCTGGCTTGCTGCACTAGCAGCTAACCAAATTAGACAAATCCTTCATAAAAAGGTGTTGCAGCATCCAGCAGAATTGAAAGCAAATGTGTGCAAGAACACACAGTTCCAACAGTTTGAGGCAAGTTGTGTTTTCAGAGCAGTGAGTTGCTTAATCGGGTTGTGAACCTGCAGGAATTCCACTTTTTTCTTTTAACTGCACAAAACACCACCTTTCTTCTTTTAGCAATGATTGTTGTGGTGATGGGAGTTGGAAAGACTGGAAATCTGAATGCTGGCTGTTTTTTGTAAATCTTGCAGAGAAGGAAGTGAATGAGCTCATGGAGGAGCTGTTTGAGACGGTAAGACTCTGGGCCGCCCTTGGGGGTTAAGCCTGGGCAAGTCACCAGTCCTCAAGAATCTTGCTGATGTGATGAGGATAGGACTCCTTCACACGGTGTGTGATACCAGGATGGCACCCGCTGCCGCAAATGGTGGGGCAGCCACTAGGTTGGCAGTGTCGGCGACCAGAAGGAAGGGCAAGTTCCATCCTCGGTCGGGGTCGCTCGCGTAGCTGACCTTTCAAGGAGAGGTTGACAACCCATGACTGTGTGGGCCTCCATTAGCTGCGGGGGCTAAACAGAACCCCCCTGTTCAAAGGCAGTCAGTCTCCGAAGCTGAGCAAAGACTGTCTTGCCTTCTCCTTCCGTCATAAGCCCCTGGAGGTGTTTGGTCAGCAGAGTTAGAAACGAGATGCTGTTCTAGGTCAGGAGCACTGAGCTGCGTTCAGCCCAAGAGCGGAATTCATTTTGGGAGTTGCCTTGAACGGGGGACACATGCCAGGGTCGCCTGGGGGAAAGACCAGCCTGTTCTAGCTGGAAGCCGCTCCTGTCAGTCGCTAAGCCCTAGGAGATGCAATTCAGCCCCAGGACAGAGAAAGAACAGCACAGAAAATGGGGAGCCACCGGATGGTTGGTGGCTGGGGCCAAGGGGGGTGTCCTGGCTCTCTGGGGCACCCCTGACGTCCTTCAACTCCTTGCTTGCAAGATGTTTCATGGAGCTGCACCACTCACTTGGGTCCCGCACGTTTCCCTTCAGTTCCAGGATGAGATGGGTTTCCCCAATGTGGAGGACGAAGGCCCGGAAGACGACGACAGCACCGCTGAGGCCCGGCCAAACTTTAACACGCCCCAGGTGCTCAGGTAAGTGCTTCCGGGCTCACCTCGTCCCAGCCGGTCGTGTTGCCAGGGCAGTGCTGGCTCGTAGCAGGCATGGGTTCCCCCGCAAAAACACCTTTTCCAGCAACCATTCCTTCAGGCGGACACCTGGCCCCCAGGCAGAGAGCATCCTGCCACAGCCCTGGTCAGACTTGACCAAACCCAAACCTGGACCGCTCTCTGGGCTCTGTCCAAAGAGGGGCTTTCCCTGACATTTCCTTCCTGAACCTTTAAACTAGACATGCCAAGCACACAGCCTGAGGTCGCTTGCGTGCTGAGCAGCTGGCCTGCCACTCAGCCCCTGAGTTCCCCCAGAATCCCCCACGCCAGGGGGTGGGCAACCCAGAACCCTCCAGATGCTTTGAAGTGCAACGCCATCATCCCTGGCCATGCTGGTTTCAGCTGGTGGGGAGGCGTCAACAAGACATTTGGAAGGCCCGAGTTGCCAGCCTCTGCCGTCGTCCGTTCAGTCTGGTGCGTCTGCACCATGCCCCCTTTTCCTCTGTCCTTTCATCTTCTGAGCGAGGGTGCAGCTTTCCAGTGGCTGCTGCGGGCAAAAACCTCCTCATCTGTGGGGCAGGTTGGCTAAAAGGAAAGCCAACACTGTTTGGGAAAGGAGGCAGATGAAGCGCTGGGCCTTGGCCGCCCTCTCTAGGTTGAGAAGTACTGGAAGGGGGACGGCAAGGACATCTCTGCCCAGCTACAGGATCCGAAAACCAGCATGTGAGTGGCCCTCGCCGCCCCGCTTGCTTGCCGTGTGCGAGAGATGCTCCCAGCCTGTCCCGAGGCAGGGACTCCTCTTCTCCAGGACAGAGCTGCATGCTGTTTGTTCCCGATTCAGTCACTGGCTTTTCCATGTCTGCTGGGCCCCTGGAGAAACACTTCCAGACTGCCAAAGCAGGTCTGATCCAGGTGGCCCACCGGGCTGGCTCTATAGAAGGCCACTTCAAAGGTTCCTGAGACTCTGAACGTATTTCACGTTCCTCTAGTGTCCATCCTCAGTGGCAACGTGGAAATAATGTTTAGCTGCCGCAGGCAAGACCTTCCCACTGAGGCTTGGCACCCTGCCTACAGCGAGGGCCAGACTGGGCAGCTTTACCCGCTGGCATGCTGTGCCCCCGTTGCCTTTGTTCCCATGCCCGTGAAAGTGCTTGTCGATGCTTTTGGCATGGCAGCGGACCTGTCTCTGGGGCTGCGGCAACGCAGCTCGGCGGGCCGAGCCATTTCTGCAGCGTTCTGGAAGAGCGACTGTCGCACAGGGCCGGGGTGGGGCGGTGGGGGCGAAGCGGCCGTAAGCTGCAACCCAGGCGGTCCCTCCGTTCCACCCAGGTTCGAAGAGCCTCTGGCCAACTTGCTGAACGAGCAGCACCGAACGGTCAAGGAGCAGCTGGAGCAGCTGCGCATGAAGAAGTCGGCCGCCAAGCTGCCCCTGGAGGCCGAGAAAGCGAAGCCGCACAATGAGAAGCCCATCCAGGCGCTGATGCTCGACGCCGGGCAGAGGAAGCGGCTCCAGCAGCAAATGCAGCAGGTGCCTGCTGGGAAGGGACGGGCCCCGAGAGGCACTCTGTGGCCGTCATCGGTCCCTCTCGACTTTCTGGCTTTGGGCTTTCCCCTCTTTTCTGGGCCCTGAATGTCTTTCAGCCCGAAGAATGAATTCACCTTCAGAGAGGTCGATGGGGGCAAAGTGGCAGGACCCGAAGTCTCGGCCTATTTTAGTTTATCATTTGTTAAATTTAACTCCCACTTCTTTGCTGCAAGGAACCCCGGGGAGCTTACAGAAGCCTCTCCCTTTTTATCCTCACAACAACCCTGTGAGGTGACCTAGGCTGAGAGTCTGGGACTGGCCCGGAGTCACCCCGTGAACTTCGAGACCAAGAGGACTCAAAACTGGATCTCGCGAGTTCCAGGCCAGCGCACAGGCTGAAAGCTTTTCCTTCTGGGAAGTGAACCTGAGGAGAGACATAATTAGAAGAGGGAAGGGATGGGGGAAAGGCAGCACCAAGGCGAGGAAATATTACTGGCAAGTCTGGATGGCTGGGGAGCAGGGACCAGTTCATGATACGGAGGAGGAAGCCTGGCTAACATGGGTGGGCCCTGAAAGCAAACCTTCGCAATCCCCTCCTCCATAGATTTCAGCGGGTTAATGTATTTTTTAAAAAATCAAATAGCCCTGACATGCAGGATTAAGGTGCTTTGCTCTCAAGAGTCCTGGAGGTATGGTGCAGATATTATACATGTGTGTACATTATACACAATATCGACATTATCAGTATTAAAGCAGCATGCAGTGGGATTGTGAGCTGGCACGAGAGAAATTCTGTTATATGCAATATGCAATCCCTGTGGACTAGAAACTTGACTTTGCAAGGGAGGGAAGGAAAATGTCTTAAACCGCCTGCCTAACTATATCAGACTATTAGGCCTCCCTTTCAAAGCAGAGCTTTTGATAAGCTAATACGCTGCCATCAAGCAATTCCTTACGAAATTTTAATAGCATACTGTTCAAAGATGTCTCTTTTTTAACGAAACGAGTGCTTTTCTCTCTCTTCACAAACACAGTGCCTCTAAATAACCTCCCAGGATTTCTTGGTGGACCACAATTTCACTTTCTTCCTCTTGCAGCACGTGCAGCTTCTGACGCAGGTCCACCTCCTCAGCAGCTCCAATCCCAGCCTGACGGCAGAGGCCGACACCACCCGCCTGTTCCTGGTAAGGGTCGGCCAACGTCTCTTCGAGGCCTGCTTTTGATTGCCCAGAGGGTGGCGGGTTGCCGGGCCAGACAGCTGTATAGCGGGGCTAGGGCGAGGCGTGACTGTCCAGCTCACATTTCCCTAGCCTGGCACCTTGCCCAGCTGGGGGGCATCAACTCCCATCAGCCCCACCCAGAAATCACCCGTGGGCCCGCGGCCTCGCGTTCTTCCCTTCTGTAGACCGAGCTGGACACGTTTGCTCAGAGTGCCACGCTGCTCCGTCAGCCGCTCGGCCACAAGTTCCAGACCTTGTTCCAGCCGTGCAACTTAAGAGAGGCCCTGCAGCTGCTCCAGGACTTCCACTCCCATGTCAAGATCGAATGGAGCCCCCGGAAAGCAGTGAAGAAGAATGGTAGGGCATGTGCTTAGACGTGAGCCGGAAGACACGGTTGCCCTCCCCTCCCCTCCCTTCCCCTCCCCTCCCAGCTCCACGGTCCGAATCTCTCAGGTGCACGGTATGTTTTCATTCCAGCGGACATTGCCATGTCACATCAGAGCAACCAAGCCTGCGTTTGGTCCCCTTGCCGCCTGATTGTTCAATGTTACGGCATTTTTATTACTTCCTAATGTTCGTACCTGGATAGACAAACGTCATGCAGAGTATTAAACGTTCATTTCAAATCATGGTTAATTACACATTATGACAGCTGGGCCAGCAGTGTTAACTCCAGTGGGCCGTGCCCAGCAGCTGCTGCTGGTGGGAAGGATCAGCCAGCGCCGTCCCCCCAAAATGTGCTCTCGAGGGCTGGGGGCCCCCCTCTGGAGCAGCTTTGGAGAGCGCAGAAGAGCGGGAGGAGGGTTCAGTCTGGGGTCATTGACTAGAGCTCTGTGCGTGCTCGAATCCTGCATCTCCAGGTTGGGCTGGAAGCCCCGGAGAGCTGCCGCTGCCAGTCCGTGTTGACAGTTCTGAGCTGGGTGGACTGGGGGGGTGTAACTACGTTATATCCAGCATTGCTCCTGCCTAGGGTAACTCTGAAATGAATGCGGCCGAAGGCTAACATGGCCTGCAGTCCCATTTCGCGTGACCCAAGAAGGCCGCTGTGATGCTCTGGCACAGGAGAGAAAAGGGGATGTATAAGTTCCGCCAGCCAAGCACAACACGCCCGCTCTGGGCGCCCGTTCGCTTCATTTCGTCTCAGTGCGAATTGCAGGACCGACCCGGCGGAACTCGGCAAGCTGCGTTCTGACTCTCAGGGCTGTGCTCTTGACGGGTATCCCGTTTCTCTCCCCTTCCACCCCCCGCTTCCCGTGGATCCTGCCCCAGTGAGCGACTTTGCGTGCCTGCCAAAGCAAGTTGCATGGATCTTGGCCACGAGGAGGGTCTTCATGTATCCGGAGTTGCTGCCCACCTGCTCCCTAAAGGCCAAAACGCCCCGGGACAAGATATTCTTCACAAAAGGAGAGGACAAGTAGGTGTTTGGGATGAGCAGGGCCTGGATGAGGGGCGGGAGGGACCGCCTGGAGGCAGGGAAGGCATCCGAGAAGGCAGAAGAGCCCCCATAAGCCTTTTGGGGGTAGGAACAGGGCACAGTGGCTGTTCCACAAGCCTGGGCAGCCTGCACCGGAGGTCACTTGCACCAAGCCATCAGGCGCTGTCTCCATCTCGCCCTGAAGCATGCAGGGTCTCAGACAAATCCGGACCTCTGGGGTTCCTCAGATGGCCAGGCCCCCTTCCTCTGCCCCCTTTTGGCCTACCAGATGTGGCATGCCCAAGTCCAAACAGGCGTCGTTACTTTATTTTATTTATTTTTATTTATCAAAACATTCTTATGCCGCCCCATTCGCCGAAGCCTCGGGGCGGCTTACAACAATAAGTTAAATAATCGTACTTACAGCGTATCTATCCCACCGTGTTTCCCTCTTGTAAGATGGTTTACAAGGTCCGCCTCTCCATTTTTATCCTCACACTAACCCTGCAAAGCAGGTTAGGTCGAGAGTCAGTGACTGCCACAAATTACCCAGGCCTCCCAAGCCTTAACCACTGCACTACACTGTCTCAAAAATCTGCACCATTCCCCTCACATTTTCCCGTCCCTTTTGCACTCTGAGGCTGTTGACCCGTAGGCTTCGTCTCGGATCCAGCTCTCTGGGTTTCCCAGAAGGCCACGTCCCTTTAGTCCTGACCACCACACATTTGCTGTTTTTCCAGCTTTTCCACAGTTTTTACCCCCCTTCTGAAACATGGGAATATCTCTCCTGGGGCTTCGTTATCAGTCGTGAAAGCTCCGTGCTGTGATGTGCTGGAGTTCTGGCTGCTTTCAGGGCAGTTTTGCCCCTCAAAAGCCCCAAGAACTTCCCTGAAATGAAATCCGACTCTTAGTTTGTCCCATGGGGCTTGCCTTATGCTGGTGGGCAGACCTCCAGGGCCTCTCTGGCTCCCTGCTCCCAGGGGAAGCTGCGGGGGGACCTGGAACACTGTCCCCCTGCTCTGGCCCCTTCCCAGCCAGGCTCCCGGCCGACCCTCCTGCCTCTGCTTCCAGCCTGCTGGCCCTGGGGCTGAAGCACTTTGACGGGACAGAGTTCCCGAAGCCACTGATCAGCAAGTACCTCCTGACAACCAAGACGGCTCACCAGCTGACGGTGCGGATCAAGAACCTCAACATGAACCGGGTCCCTGACAACATCCTCAAGGTGAGTGGCAGCCCGTGTCCAGCAGCTCCCTCTCTGGGGCAGGGATGGCGGTCCGGCCACGGCCCTCCTGTGGACGACGCTTGGCTGCCCTCGGAAGGGCTCGGAGGCAGGGGGAGGACGGTGTGCATGCGCTCGCTCGCTCGCTGGTCTCGCCCCTCCGGGCAGGGCTGGCTGGGGGAAAGGGGGCTGGCGAGCCCCAGCGAGGGCTTTCCTGGCCCCGACGTGGCTCCCGGCCCTTCCCCAGGTGTGGGAGGAAAGGGGCCCTTCCGCACAGAGCGCCCTGCAGTGGCCTGGCCCTCCCCTGCTTGCTGCAGGGCCGTGAAACCCCGGAGACCAGCTTTCCTTTCAGCGAGGCCTTTGGGGGCTCTCTCCCAGGGAGTCGCCAAGGCAAAAGGAACTGGCAAAATGCCAGAGACACTGGCAAAGGCTGGCTCTAAAGTTCTGACCGCCAGCAGGCCTCTGCAGTGGCATTTCAGTGGGGAAAAAGAGCCTCACAGAAGCCAGGAAACTCCCAGAAGGTGGGTGGGTGGGTGGGAAATAGAGGGCCTGGCCCTCTCTCCGCAGCCCAGGAGGGCTTGGATTTGGCCCGTGGGCCTGAGAATCCTGCAATCTGATTTCACGGTAATCATTTTCCACTGGAGGCATTCCCCACCCTCGCCTTTTTTACCCAAGAGTGGCATTCAAGTCTGCTTACAAACCTAATCGGAGCTAGATCGGAACAACAGAGCATATCATGATATTGCAAAACCTGATAAAGTTGCGGCTTAGAAACAAAGCCCGACCCACGGACTCCCTCCCAGGCCAGAGTTTCCGAATAAAGCAAGCCTTGCTCGCTATCGGGAGGTGGCAAGTCTGGGAGACAAGAGGGTGTGGCACAGCCGGGGAGAAATCCCAGGGCCCCGACTGCATGGCGCAGGATACGGATCCCCCTGGCGCTTGGGGAGAAGCGGTCCTCTCTCTGGCTTCCAGCAGAGCCCCTGGCGTGGGCCCAGAGGTGGAAAGCAGGGCCACCGGTGCAAGCCGAGGAGTGGAATCCATGCAGGGGGCCAGGATTAGCGCCACGCCGTTCTCTCTCTCGCAGTACTACAAGTCGACGAAGCAGTTGCCGGTCCTGTCCAAGCTCTGTGAGGAGATCCAGCCCGGTGAGGGGAGACCCCCCGTGGAGCAGGAGGAGCATTGCCTGCCCTTCTGGCTCAAGGTGTGTTGCCTTTTAGCGCGGTGGGGGAGCCCCAGGGTCTAGTCCGGCAGGGCCAGGAAAAGGTGGCTGTCCGAAGCCGTGGGGAGCCCCTGCCAAGCCCCGCGGGCAGTGCCGAGGCCCACGGCCTCCCCAGGAGGAGGCAGGTTCCTCCGTGGGGCGACCTATGGCACCCCCGACATCTCCAGAGCATGCTGGGGGAGGTCTTCTCGCTGGACAGCCCCTGCCTCAAGGGGATTGAGGGCCCCCCTTTCTCTGGGGCAGCCTCCTCTGGTCCCCCTCTTCCCACTGCCTTCCTCCCAGGGCCCCACAACCTACATCTTCTGGTTTTCGCTGATGGTGCCCCTTCCCCACCACCATCGGCGTGGCCTCTAGGCTTCATGAAGTCCTTGAGGAAGGCTGTCACGGGGAGTCGGCTTCCCCCACAGCTCCCTCTCGCTTGCTCGACCGGCGCCAGGCTGGGAGCGAGGCTGTGGCGTCTCCAGCCCTTTCCCTCCCCACCACTGCAGCCAGGCCCAAGCGGGACCCCAAGAACAGCATTTTCCGATCCATTAATATTCCTCTGCTTCAGCGTGATTCGGGTCTGTCGCTCCCCTCCCGCCTTGTCCGTCCAGGCCAGCCTGCCAGCCATCCAACAGGAGATGCTGCAGCCCGCCGCCAGAGAGGCCCCCAAGGTCCCAGGTGCCGAGCCTGCGGAGCCTGTGAGCAAGGAGAAGTACCCTCTGCACGTCCCGGAGGGTCTGCAGCTGATCCTGCGGCCCCTCAACAGCCGGTTCTGCCGGAAGGCCTGGAGGAGGCCGCGCCCGGCGGCGGCCAAGCCCCTCCCCGTCCGGCCGGGCCTTTGCCTGCCCCCCTCCAGCTCCCACCACTTCCTGAAGATGGCCGCCAAGCAGCCCCAGCCCGAAGTGCCGCCCAGCAGGGTGGCGGGCCGCGTCCCCCGCCTGATCCAGCCGGCGCCGGCGCTCACGCAGCCCTTGCCGGGCGTCCAGCACTTGAGCCTGCAGCCTGCGGTGCGGAGCGGCGCCGGCCTGGAGCTCCAAGGCGTGCTGTCCGCGCCACAGGCCAGCCCCCGGCCCTGCGTGGCCGCCTCCGTGCCCCCCAGCCTGGTCTCCCCGCTGCCGCTCGCCTTCCAGCCCAAGATGATCCTCCCCGCCTTGCCCACCTCCAGGGTCCGGAAGCCGGGCGGGCCCAGGGGCTACCAGAAGAAGAAAGCCGCCCGGGCGGCCCCCTTGCTCAAGGCCGCCCCGCTGCTGCAGCCGGCCCCCGTCATCTTCACCGTGCCGGCGGGAGCAGTGAAGGTGGTGGGCCTCGCCGGCGGCTGCAACGTCCTGCAGCCCCTGGCCGCAGCCCCGGCCGGCCGGCCGGCCCAGCCCATCCCCATCACCACCCTGCTGGTCAACCCGGCCCCTTTCCCGTGCCCGCTGAGTCAGCCCGTGGCCAACCCGCCCGCTCCCGCCCTGGTGGTGGCCCCCAGTTCCGCTGGCTCCCCGGCTCCGGCCGCCACCAAGGACTCCGAGAGCGGGAGCCAGCCCGCCGGCGGAGAAGCCGCCGCTCTGGTCCAGGCAGAGCCCGCCACAGAGCCGCAGGAGTCCTCCTCGTCCGCGGCAGCCCCGGGCCAGGAAGACTGTGGCCCGTGGCGCTCGGATCCCGACCGTGGGGTCCACCCAGAGGCCCCTGTGCAGGCGTACGTGGAGATGGCTGGGGAGAGCGTCGTCGAGCTGCCGGCCCCAGGCCCCTTCTCTCCGCTGGCAGAGCTGGGAGAGATGGCGAAGGCTGAATTCGAGGGCCCGAGCGGTGCCTCTCCGGAAGCCGCCCCCGTGGAGCCCGGCTCCGTCGGCAGCCAAGGAAAAGAGGGGCTGATGTTGGACCTCGGGCAGGAGCTGGACGTGGAGCCTGCTCCGGCGTGTGCGGACGGGCAGGGCGAGACTCGGAGCAAGCAGGACTCCCGTGAGAGGGTGGCGACGGGCCAGGAGCCCCCGGGGCAGGCCTCGCAGAGCGCACCCGCTGCGGCCGACGAAGGCGGCGCTTCCCCCGGAAACGCCGTCCGCTCCAGGGCGGTCGAGCCCAAGTCTGGCGGCTTGGCGGCGAATCCGGACGATCTGCCTGGTTCGAGCAGCTGCGCGGGGGAGCCGCTGGCCAGCCAGGAGGCTGCGGCTGAGAAGGAGGGGCCGGAGGACGAGGAAGAGGAGGACTTCGATGATTACATTCAGGATGAGGAAGACGAGGAGATGTCCTCCGCTTCCGAGGAGTCCGTGCTGTCCGTGCCGGAGCTCCAGGTAAATGGCGTTTGTCCGGAGCGGGGGAAACGCAGCTTGGGAGCGCAGGGTGGCAGCCTTGGAGAGGGTCGGAGGGGGGGAAAAACGGGCCATTGCATGGGCCCCCCCACAGAGGGCAGAGGCACGGAGCAGGATGCCAAGACCCGTGCAGTGGATTCTGGGCTTGCACAGCTGCGAAATCCACTCAGCGTCTCCTCTTCTCTTGGCATGATGGCTCGGCCAGGCCTGATTTGGAAAGATGGCCTTCCTGCGTCCTGTGCGTGGTTCGGCTTGATTTTTGCACGTGGCGGGCCGGGGTATTCTGTGGGGTGTCTAGACATTGCCTTTGAATAGAACTTGTGGGGGCAGCTGCCCTTTTGGGGGGCTTCCTGGACCCACTTTGGGCACCATGATGGAGCGATGGAGGTCCTTGCTCTGAGCCAGCAAAGCTCGTCTTACCGGGCCGGCGGGAGGGCAGAGAAGTGGGAAGTGGGCTTGGATGTGTGCCGAGCAGCGCCTGGTGCTTCCGTGGAGCAGCCGGATACCCACAGCGGGAATCGCGTGTTGGATTGGAAGGGCCTCAGGTCTGATCCTCTTCTGTGCTCCTGTGGGCTGAAGGAGACGATGGAAAAGCTGACGTGGCTGGCGTCTGAGCGGCGTCTGAGCCAGGAGGGCGACTCGGAGGAGGAGAACTCGCAGGAGGAGAACTCGGAGCCGGAGGAGGAGGAGGAGGAGGAGGAGGAAGGGGAGAGCCTGGAAACCGTGCAGAAGGAGGACGAAGTGACTGACGAGGTCGCGGGGCCCGGAGACAGGCCCGCGTCCTCGCTTGCGCTGCCCTGCGCGCCCCCGGAGGCAGACCCCAGCGGGACCCCTGCAGGTGCGTGTGTCCGTGTGGGAGGCAGGGGGCCCAGTGACGTGCCCGAGGGCTGGTGACGCGGAGCTGGTCACCTCAGCATAGCCTTGCCTCTCGCTGGCGAGGAGCCGAGCCCCCGTGCGGCCCGCCTGGATCTGTGTGTGGGGCCTCTTCAGCAGGGCCCGGCGTTCCCTCACTTGCTCCCGCGGGCTGGGAGTCTGCGACACGCGCTCTGGCGCTCCGCCCCGCGCGGCACAGGAAGGCCCTCCCGGCTCTGCTGCTGCAGCAAGGCTCGGTGGCGTGTCCCAGTCCCACGCCTCCAGTTACGTCCAGGGTGTTTAAGCATGGGCTGGACGTGCACATGGCAGGCAGGGCGTGAGTGGAGCCGGGGGTCTCACTCTGGTTCTGTGTTGTTCCAGGGGAGAACCCCAAAGCGCCCGGGAAAAGCCGGGGCGCTCACCGCGCCCGAGCCAAGAGGGGCCGGGCTCGTGCCAGCAAGGACACCTCCAAGCTGCTGCTGCTGTACGACGAGGATATCTTGGAGAGGGACCCGCTGCGGGAGCAGAAGGACCTGGCCTTTGCGCAGGCGTACCTGAGTAGGGTAAGGAGCCGCCCCCCCCCCCTGCTCTCCGGAATGTATTCGTTTGTCTGTCTGTCTGTCTGTTTGGGATACTTGTATGCCGCCCCATTCTCATAAGCCTCGGGGCGGCTTCCAACAAATAAATAACTATATACAAAAATATAAAATTGGACACATCCAGGCAATAAGTAGAAGCAATAAATAATTTAACAATTAATTAAAATAATATTTAAATAAAAACGCCTTGGCCTGGCGCCGAAAAACAAATAACGACGGCGCCAGGCGGACCTCTCTGGCGAGCGCGTTCCATAATCTGCTTGTCCACGTCTCTTACCGGCCCAAAGACAGCTGGAGGAGAGGAATGCTGCAGCCACAGACAGGGCCCGAATGAGGCCTACTAGGCTGGGGCCAAGTAATTCATGCTTATATTTATTTTATTTATTTATTTAAAGCTTTTCTAGACCGTCCCGTTACTAGCATCTCAGGACGGTTGCCAAGAAACAGATAAAAACGGCACAGCATCCAGCAATTCACAATAAAATCACAATTGGAACCAAGCGAACATATATTATTATATATTATAAATATATATGTATTAATTAAATACGTGGGGCTGCCCCGTGGGGAGGCAGATTGGAGCACCTCCCATCTGCAGTGGGGAAGACTGCGGTGTGGATGCAGAAACCCTCTTGGTCCCAGGGCCAAATCGTCTTTGGAGACGCTCTTGGGGGCCTCGTTTGGTGGGAGGCGGATCCGGGGGCTGCATCTGCAGGACCCTAAATGCCAGCTAGTTTTGTCTCAAAACTCCTGCCAGTAACAATTGCTGCAAGATCTCTGAAAAATTCCTCTGCGGCCGGACAGCCTGTCGCGGAGATCCCTGCAGGCCCTTTCAGAAACACTGAGCCCCTGGAGAAAGGCCTGGCCTGGTATTCAGGTCACAGCGTCTGTTATCCCTGGAACGACGCCGCTTATTTCCCGTCACCCGGGACCCCGTCCTTTCCCTCCACGGGTCGGTCTTGCGCACAAGCCCTCCGCCCCGGCCCCCCGTTTGCGAACGAAGGCGCGTCGCCCTTTCCGCAGGTCCGCGACGCCTCGCGCCACGTCCCAGGCAAGTACGAGGAGTTCCTGCGCATCATCTATGAGTATGAGAGCAGCGCCCAGAGGCAGACGGCGGTGGACCTCTACGCCCGGCTGCGGGTCGTGCTGCGCGAGTGGCCGCAGCTGCTCGCCGACTTCGCGGCCTTCCTCTTGCCCGAGCAAGCGCTCGAGTGCGGCCTGGTGCGTAGGTCGAGGGCCCCGAGCGGTGGGAGGCGGGCAGGGCTTGGGTCGCTCCGGCAGGCCCCCACTCTGCACGGTCGCCCGGGATCTGCGGCCCCCGTTTGCCACGTGGCGGGTGCAGCAGCCTTGGGGTGCGAAATGCCCCTGAAACGGGGCAGAAGCGGGTGAGCAGCGCCTCCGCGTGGGGGCTGCTTCCCTGTAATGACTCCCCGTGTGGCAGGGGCTGTACCTGAGGCGGTGGCACAGAGGTTGCTGCACGAGGATTCAGAGCAGTCCCCCCTCCAGGCTCTGATCAGGCTTTGCCCTGTGTCGCTTCTGCATCGTGGCTGCCTCACACACCCTCGGGCCGCAGCTTCGCAACGGGGAGGATTGAGTTGGAGCAAAGGGCAGGAAGGCTTGCCGAACTCTCGAAAACCCTATTTACCCACCTCTCTGGCTTTGGAGACTTTTTTGCACTCTCTGGCATCAGCCACAGACCCACACAGGTGCATCTTTGCCGTCATGAGGACGAGAGACTTGTTCAAAAATAGAAGCCACGGTTCTGCGAGTTCTGACTCTTGCACACAGTGCCATTTTCTGCGCGGTCCATCCCGAGTTCTTCATGGGTCTTCAGGGCCCGGGTTGCTCGCCTGCCCCTGTTGACCAGGGAAGTCTCTGCCTGGCGCCCCTTTCCCCGTAAGCCCAACGTGCTGGCTGGTCAGTGCCGGCGGCATCCTGGATCACCTCCCTCTTTCTCTTCCTGGGCAGTTTGAGGAGCAGCAGGCTTTCGAGAAGAGCCGGAAGTTTCTCCGGCAGCTGGAGATCTGCTTCGCCGAAAACCCTTCGCACCACCAGAAGATCATCAAGGTGCTGCAGAGCTGTGCTGAGTGTGTTCCCCAGGAGATAATTGAGGTGAGACGCTCTCTCGGCTGCAGGGTTCTCAAGGGCCATGCCCAGTGCAGAGCGGGGAGGCCCTTCCGCCTGCGGATCCAGCAGGACCAAGGAGGCCCAGCGTCCCCAGGGGCTGGCCGGGTCGTGGCCCAAAGAGCCGGTGCACAGAGGCCCTGCTTCATCCCCTTTGCAGGCCGTCTCAGCCAGTGGCCGTGTTGAGCTTTTGAAGCCTCCTCTGTTGATGATGTCCTGGGCAGGGGGCTTCTTTCTTATTTCCCCCGCCCTTTCCTTGGGCCACGTGGGCACCGTCTGCCAGGCAACCCCACGGAAAGGGCCGGGCGCTCGGCAAGAGGACTGCCCCAGCCGTTGGAACGAGAAGGGCACATCAGAGAGACAGCGAGGCCGGCCTGGGGAGAACCGGGCCTCGGTCCACATCTGGCCGTGGAGCTCAAGGGCCAGTCATGGACTCGCTTCCAGCCTGCCTCCCAGTTGAGGAGCATCACATAAGCAGCTTTGCACACGGTGACAAATATGGATAGGGATGTATAAAAGAAAGTGCCCATTCTTGTCAGGAGAGGAGGCCCTCCGGAAAGAGTGGGGCAGCCCCACATAACGCCCACGGCTGAACAAAGAGACAAATCCGTCATTCACATGCAGCTCTCCCTTCACCTCCGCTCTCTTTTCTTCTTTGCTGCCGCCGGCTTAATTTGGGATGCCCCTGACTAGCTGAAAACACAGATGTGGCAGCTGCTGAAGGGACACGACCACCTGCAGGATGAGTTCTCGGTCTTCTTTGACCACTTGCGCCCTTCGGCCAGCCGCTTGGGGGATTTCGAGGAAATCAACTGGACTGAGGAGAAAGACTATGAGGTGAGGGCTGTTCCCCCACCCCTCCGAGGGCAAACCTGTCATAGGGTGCACTTCTGCAAGCCTTAGCCAACCTGTGGCCCTCCAAAGGTTGCTTAATTCCCAACTCCCATCATCCATGCCTCTTGGGGCTCATGGGAATGAGAGTTTGAGAACATCTGGAGGGCCAGGGGTCTGTTGCTCTTGGCTTAGATGCATGACGAAGCTCGACTTGCTTCGGACGGTGAAATGGGCGATCTTTAGTGGCAGTGGCTCCTGCAGTCGGAAAATCTCCAGTCCTGTTGCTTTGACAAAGCCTTGGTGTTTTCCCCAGTTTGATGGCTTTGAGGAAGTCTCATTGCCAGACGTGGAGGAGGAGGAGGATCCCCCCAAAATCCATGCAGCCTCGAAGAACAAGAGGAGGAAGGAACTTGGGGGCCAGAATGCCGACAAGGTGAGACTAGCAGGAAGGGGAGGGCCTCGTCCAATGTCCAAGCACAAAACCCGGCCCAGCGGTAACAAAATTTAAGCGTCTCCGCTGAGCAGGTGTCAACTTTTGGGGATTGGCTTTATTTTCTACTGGAACCGGTGCGTGAACAAGCTTTGAATACCAGCATGAAATCGATTCTTAGTCCTTCCACTCCTCCTAATTTCAGTTATATAATTAGGGTAGGAAGGCTAAGCCACTGGGAGTCAGAAACCCTTCCTTATCTATGGTAAACCACCCCGAGAGCTACCTTCTGCCCACCTCTGTATAATCTACCCCCAGAAATGGGTGGCAGGGGGGAGCTCAGACTCCCACCATCCTTGGCTATGCTGGCTAGGGCTGATGAGAGTTGGAATACTACAAAAACAGCTGGAAGGCTCCAGGGGTTCCTCATCCCGGAGTTCTGGATTCAGAATAGGCCCATTGCCTGGTTCTGGAGCAAAGCAGTGTCTGCCTGCCTGTTTCACGGGGAGATCACGCCAAGGGGAGCCAAATTCTCATGCAACTCAGCCGCTGTGCCGGGCGCATGCAAGAGAATCGGGTGCCTTCTGGTGATTCGGTACCGAGGAGAGACTTCGCTTCTGCGTTTTCCTACTGCAGGAGGGGAAAAACGGGCCGGACAGGAAGCCCCTTGGCCTGGCGGCCTTGGCAAGGCCCCTGCGCACTCGGCCTGGAAAAACCCTGCTTGCTTCCCATGTTTGGGGCGTGCGGCGATGCGGCCTCTTTCTCCACTGAATGGGGCAAGGAGTGGTCGTACTGCGGGGATAGAGCTTGGCAGCTCTGGGCCCATGGCGGACGCTCCGCAGGCCCGCAGCCCGGTCGGCCTGGTGGGGAAAGCTCACCTCTGCACGGGGGCCCTTTTCAGGAGCCCGAGTGGGGAGAGGCGCCGAAGGAAGGCTGCTGCTTCTGCCACGAGGGCGGCGGGGACCTGCGGATGAAGAGGAGCAAACGGAGAAACTGCAGCCACTGCAGCAGCAAGGTCAGTGGTGGCCGGGGTTGCAAGAGTGCCCCAGAGCATGCGCACAGGTGTGTGTTTCTGCCCTCGGGGAAGAGTTCTGGGGGCTGAGGCAGCTTTCGCTCTGCAAAGCAACCCATCGGGATCGTAGGCGCCACTGCCCGTCCCAAGCTCTGTGCCCTGTGGGTGTTCTGGGATGGCCACCTTCATCGTGGTGGGGCTGCTCTCAGTCGAAAGGGGAGTGGCTTCAGTGTTGCTTTGAAAATTCTGTTTATCCCAGCTTCATGCCTCCAGGCTGGTGGAGACAAAGTGCGAACGAGCCTGCAGAGAGACTTCTCTTTCGCATTTAAGGCTGGCTGCTGGGGAAGGGGCAGGACGGAGCGCTGTTCCGGGTGGTGGATGGAGGGGATGTCAGCATGAGGGTGCAGGGCTGACCTTACTCGGCCTTCCCCAGCCTGGCGCCCTCCAGACGCTGCCCCTGCTGCCTGGGGCGTTGAGGGCACTGCAGCCCGGCACATCTGGACGGCCCCACGCTGGGAGTGGCCGAGCGAGCAGCTCTCTGGGCGTGAAGGTGCTGAAGCGGGTGGCCCGCTGAGACGCTGCTATGGCAAACCTGCGCTTGCCCTGCAGGCTGGAGACGTGAAGTCCTTCCGGAGTAAAGACGCCCATGAACTCGCCGACAGCGCTGCTGTGCGGGAACCGAGCCCTGAAGGGAAGGACTGTGTGGAGGAAGGCCTGGAGCTCAGGGAAGACGGCGAGGCTCCCCAGAGCAGGACGAGAGCGACGGCCCGGAGGGCGGACTCCGCTGGGGCAGGTGCGGCCGTGTCTGAAGCTTGTGCCGGGGCCCATCCCGGTTCCTCCGCTGCTGGAGCCGAGGCGAGGGGACACGGGGTGACTCTGGCCGCCCCTCCCAGGGGGACGGAGCCCTCCCGCACCCCTCTCCAGGCCTGCCTTTCTGCCCCAGCAGCACTGCCTCCTTGATGTGGGAGCTTTTCCAGACGCTTTCCGGCTGCCCAGTTGAGGAGGGAAGGCCACGTTGGCCACCCCCACACACGGCCAGTGCTCAAGGGGCCCCGGGCTGGCAGAGCGCTGGGCCTGGGCTGTGCCGCTTTCTCGTTCCGCTCACCCTTCCCCTCTTCTGCCTTCGCAGGGCCTCGCGTGGAGGGAAAGCCGCCTGTGGGCAAAGAAGCCCCTGTGGAAGGGGGCGCCCCACCAACGGCCAAGGCGACAGAGGCCTGCTCCCTGCCGGTGCCCCCCTGCCCCAAGAAGCCTGCGGAGCCCCCCAGGCTCTGCCCCCAGAGCGCCACACCCCAGCCGCACAGGGGCCTTCCGCCCAAACCGCACCGGCCCAAAAGCAGCTCTTGCTCCCTCGTGGTGGGGGAAAGCGGAGGGGGACTCGGCCCGAGGAGCGGGGACGCTCTCCTGCCCGAAGGCCCTGCGGACGCCGAGTGTGGGGCAGGCGGGCCCGGACTCAGCCCCGCTCTAAGCCAGGGCCGGTTGCCGACCTGCCCCGTCCCGTCTGCTTCTGCGGAGGCGCCCGCGCAGCCACACCTCACGGACGACGAGGCGGACGGAGCGGCCTCGGTGGGCCACGCTCCCAAAGGGAAGGAGCTGCCGGGGCCGCACTCCAAAGAGCTCGCTCTGAAGGCGGCAGAACGGAACGGCGGCCCCCAGCCCCCAGCAGAGGCCTCTGGCCCGTGCCGCCTGCAGGCCCTGGCTGTGGATCCCAAGGCGCGGGCCGAGGCTCCGGCCGCGAGCGACTGCTCCCCAGAGCCCGGAGGCGGGAAGCGTGCGGGCCCCCCGCGGGGAGAGGAGCCGCCACCGAGGGCGGTGGAGGCCACCGTCTGTGCCAAGAACATCAAGGTCAGCTCTACGGGGGAGAAGGTCGTCCTCTGGACCAGGTATGCCACCTGCTTCCCTGCTCGAAAGACAGCCCTACGTAGGCAGCCGTGGGGGGTGTCAGTGCTCGGGCGTGGGGGGGAACCATCCCCTCACAAAAGCTCACGCTTCCACCCGCCTGTCCTCTGTTTCTCCCCACGGATGGCCTTTCCCTGATGCACCCGAAGCCAAACGAACCGATGCAAAATGGACCGACGGAGGGAGGGCAGAGTAGATGAGGGGAAAGGCTGGCAAGTCTCAGTGGGTGTTCGAGGAGGAGTGAAGGAGCCCGGGAGGGCCTTCCCGGACATGCCTCCAGATGACGATGCCATTAGGGCCAGCGGCACCGCTCCTGGCTCCACTTCCAGCGGGGGTCCTTCCCCGGAGTGCTCTGGAAGTGTGACTCGCGGGAAGCAGCCCCCCGCCTCTCCCGACCGACCCTTGGACGGGTGCTTCTCTTCCAGAGAGGCCGACCGGGTCATCCTGACTGCCTGCCAGGAGCGAGGAGCCAATCCAGACACATTCAGCGCCATCTCCCAGCAGCTGCACAACAAGACACCGGAGGAGGCGAGTTTTGGGGGGGGGTATTATCCTCGAAGGGTGGGGTCCTACCCTCTCCCTGAGCTGCCCCAGTTGAACAACGCAACCGTTGCCACCTTCAAAGTCGCCTCCTTAACTTACTTACACTGTGAAGCCTGAAAATGCGATCCTGCGCCACGGAGAACCATTTCCTAGAGAGAGAGTTCCCCCGGATTTAAAATCCTAAAGACACTGGCCCCGGTTCCTTAAGAAATCTGCATTGAGGAGTAGGGAGAAATATAATGTAGGAGTAATGGGAGCTCTTTTATTTTTTAACTGGACTTCTTGTTAACGGCCCTTCTCAATCTGAGTTGGGCCCATTTCATAGTATCCAGAGAGATCTCACTTTCTCCTCCCACCCCACCAAGTTGCACATTCCCTTTTTGGTTTTCAAGTGAATTCAGAGATGGAATGAAGTGGAATCCAGTAGTGCTTTTTCTCCTTCCACTTCGTTCCATGATGTATTAAGGTAGACATGGGGGGGGGTGGATACCTTGGAATTCCTGCTCTCTACATGCTGCCCCTGTTCTTTTTGGTCCTCCCAGTTTTAGCTGAGGAGAAACTCTCCCCAGCAAAGCCCCCCGGTTTAACTTGGAAGTCATTGCAGCCGGGCTGGGGGCCTGCAGGCTTGGTGGAAAATCGTGTTCCCGAGTACCCTATGCACCAGGCCCAATTTGGTCTGTGCTCAGTGAACTGTGTATTTTGCTGGCTGCCCAGCTTCTCTGCTGCTGCCCCCCTTTCCGAAACGGTTCAAATGCCAGTGTGGTGGCACTGAGAGCCGGTGTGGTGTTGTGGTGAAGAGTGTGGGAGTGGGACTCAGACGATCCGGGTTCGAGTCCCCGCTCGGCCATGGAGCCAACTGGGTGACTTTGGGCCAGTCACGGACTCTCAGCCCAACCTACCTCACAGGGCTGTTGTTGTGGGGGTAAGATGGAGGAGGAGATGTAAGCTGCCTTGAGCCCTCTGCAGGAAAAAGGCAGGATATAAATCGATGAATTAATGCCTCTTCTAAGGCCAAGGAATTTGAGAGGTCCAGGCTAAATTCAGTGTCAGATTCAGACCCTGCCCCTTCCACTGCTCTCCACCCTGCCCTCAGCCCTGCCCACGCCCGCATGCCTGCTCCTCCACTCACGCGTTTCTCCGCCACTCCGTCCGGGCGGAAGGAAGGAGGCTTCCCGCCCACGTGCGCGCTTGCACGCCCATCTCTCCCTCCCTCCCTCCCTCCCTCCCTCCCTCCAGTTCTGCCATCAGGCCCATAACCAGGGCTGTCGTTCCCTCAGGTGGCCCACCGGTTCCGGGAACTGATGGCCTTGTTCCACACCGCCTGCAATGTCAGTTCAGAGGACGAGGAAGATGGAATGAGTACCAGCAACACGGACCAGCTCTCGGACAAAGAGCCGGTCCTCTCGGAGGAAGAGCGGGAGGAACACGGCTTCTAGGCCGGCGTGCTGCCGCTCTGGGGCAAGTGGGGCTTCCTTGGGGAGGGTTGCCTCGGAGTCTGAAGCATCGTCCACACCACACGGAAGCTGCCTTCCGAGAAAAGGTGAGATGGGATGGAAATCCCCATAGAACAACTGGGTGTAAATACGTTCACGATGAGAAATGTGTACATTCTCCCTGGTGCTGCCTCTGGGTGAATATTTATTGCGCAGTTGTGTTTTAAGGAATAAAGCCCTTAACCCTCTGTTGTGAAAGGTGGGCAGCCCCTTTTTACCTGCATCCGTAGGATCTGCGCACACTGGTGAGCATCAGGCATTTTTTGACACTCCGCCACACTTTTTGTGTCACAGCAGCCCAGGGAAATTGTAGCTGCGTCAGCGAGTTTATTGCGATTTTCAAATGGAATGAAAGGCCAGCTGTAGGTCTCCTGCCTTCAGGGCACGACAAAGCGATCAGTCGGTATCATCCTCGGATTCTTCTGCTGAGCCGCTCTCTTTGTAACACTGGGCCAGCGTCCTCAGCTCATCCAAAGTCTCCCGGAAATCATCCATTTCGACTCCGACCGAGAAAAAGCTCGCCCAGCGCCGGACGTCCACCTGACACAGCTCTTGGTAAAAACTGCCGAGAGCTTTGTGCAGGACAGCGGAGGACCGGAGGGCAGTGAAGACGGGAATGCTTTCAACAGCTGTGGAGGGAGAGGAGTGAAGACAGCTGCAGCTCTCCAAATTTCCCCCCCCTAACACCACGCCCGGCCTCTCCTGGCACAGCGAATCCGTTTGTGGCCAAGCTGAGATCCTAATCTAAAGTTGTGTCGCTCACACTTTGGCCGTCGGGATACGACACCGCTGGAGCGTCCCTTGGTGCAAGGAGAGGGGATAAGAGCTGTCCCAAGAGCTGGGGGCTGATGGGAGTTGCAGTCCAGCACTGCAGTCGAAGTCGGGAGGGGAAAATGAGTCAGCTGCATTTTGTTCAGAAGGATTGGCCTGTTGGGTCTGGGAGCATCGACAGGCCAGCCTGGGGGAGAGAGCGGCTTTTGCATCTCCTCTCCTGGCCCAGGCCACGTCCACTGCCACTGGTTTCATCCTCTGCACAGCCCCACACTCCCTTTTCCCTTCTACCCCGTGGGATCAGAAGGACAAGCAATCCAGCGGGTCACCGTGCTGAGCGGCACGATTGCCCGTCTTGTCCCGAATCCAAGCTCCTTACTTGCTGAGGCACGGGGAGGCTTTTCCACGACGCATCCGTGCTTGTTCAGGAGAGGAGAGAAATACTGGGGATACGGGGGCAGCAGCTTGCAGGGGCCCTGCAGTAAGTGCGACGTGCTGCTGAGCAAAATTGGGACACACGTTAGTACCCTCAAAAGAGTCCGTCCCAAAGTCCATCCAACCCCGTGTGTGCTGTTCTCGCAGAAGCCGGCCAGGTTTCCGGGAGGGGGGCCAGAAGGGGCGTTCCCACCCTGCCCTCCCACCCCTCCCGTCTCACCTACCTGAAGGTCCTGGGCGACATGGTGTGCAAGAACCGAGTGAGCACCTCCTGGCCCGTCTCGCACATGTGAAGGAGCGACTTGGGTTCCGTGCCTGGTGGGGAATCGCTGCCGGAGAAACAGGCAGGCAGGGTGAGGGCCGCCGGCAAGATGCAGGCCTTGCTCTCAGGGTCTCTGCAGAGACCACGAGCAGCGTTCAGAGGGGCTCAGCGACCGATCGCAGGCGTGGGAAAAGCACCCAGCAGCCGATCGATGTGGCAGAGTGGCCTGAAACTGCAAAGGGAACATTCCAGTACTCTGAGGTGAAACAAGACACCAACAGCTCAGTCCAGCTGGACAGAGGCTTTGGGACACCAGCGAGCGAGCGAGCGAGATGTGTTGCAGCAAACACACAAGCAGACTTTGTGGAAAAGGGACCCAGCCAACACAAAAGGCCCGTGAAGGGCAGGTGTGTGCGTCCTTGGAGACTAAGCCTGTTTCTCTCTAACCGGCAAATCTGCCTCGGCTCCCATGGATGAATGGATACTCTTCGATCGTTTCCAAGCCGCAGAAAGTTAGCAAAATAAAAGGCCGGGCATGTCTGCTCGCCGATCGAGCCCGGCACCAGGGCCCAAGTCTGAGACAGTTCCTCAGAACGGATCCCTCGTTAAGCATTCTAGCCTGCAGCACCTGAAGGGTGAACAGATCCAGCCCTTGCCGCCGATTTGGGAATTTCTGTCACAAGCTGCGCAAAAGATGGTTTAGCTAGGGCGCCGGGAGAGCACGTCGCTCTGGAAGAGGCAAGACCAGGCGAGTGGGGCGGGACGCTCGCCACGCCGGCTTACCTCACTTGGTCCCGCTTGCCGATTCCTCTCAGCACCACGGACTGAGCGAAGCAGCGGCTCTGCCCTTGGGCCGCGCACGAAGAGAGCGAGCTCCCGGGCACGGCAGGCTGCTGGCTGCACAAAGCGTCGGGGAGGGTCTGTCCTTGAGCCATCGGGAACGGCATGGAAGCCACTGCAGCTGCTACCTTGAGAGGGAAAGATGTGAGAAGAGTAAAGTGAAGTCCAGGCACGGGATTGGCAGAGAGCAAACCCTCTGCAGACCGCAGGGTTAACTCACACGATCTGGATGGCTTGGTGCTAAAACCAGGCCAAGGCCCTGTCAGGCAAGTGGGCTACACTGCAGAAGAGAAATCTAGCCTGGGCAAAATACGCATGTTTTGAAATTTGCCAGCCAGTTTGGGCTTGTTCTTTTAAGTAGGAAAGCAGAATAATTTGGAAATAAATATCCGTTTCCAGCCTTCAACGCACCATCTAGTCAGGGTTGCTCTCTGCTCATCAAGCAGGGATCTCCTCAAGTCAGCTCCAACCAGGTGGAACCCTGTTCCAACAGGGAGCGACTCATGCTACATAGGTGAGAGAACTGATGTAAGTTAAACAGCTGTACGAAAATGAGAGCCATTCTGGGGAAACCTGGGAAAACCCTCACGATTTAATGCTTGCTCCTGGCCCCGACGGATGCTGTTCCCTTTTCGTGCTCAAACATTAAGAGTCCTGGTGCTGCTTCTTTTGAGAAAACAAAAGACAGGCTAGGGAAAGGACACCCCCCGAAGCGGAGCTGAGCGGTACCTTTCTCCCGGAGAAATTCAGGGCTTCGGCAAGGTGGGCCATAGAAACTGCCGAGGCCTGTAGCCGGTAGGGAGCAGTGACTGTGTCCAGCGCTGTGGCAAGGACGGCACTGGTGTGGTAGTCCAGAGATGCCTGCGTTAAGCGGAGACAGAAGTGAGGACACCTGCGTCTCAGGAAGCATTCCTTTCCTGATGGCAAGATGTCTGCGTCTCGGTGGATTCTGATGTTCCGGAGTGATGACGCTTGACATTTTCCATCTTGTGCCAATGTGGGGAGCTGCACCCAGCTCCTCCGGAGGGCCCCAGACTGAGCGGGGGGGGGGGGCAGCACAGGCTGTACTAGCCCCCCAGCCCTCCTTCCAAGCCAAGGGCTTCATTCCTGAAACACAGACTCCTCCTGCAGCCCCAACGCGGTCGGCCGCACTCACGTTGTACTGGAGGTACGGCAGGACCACCGGGGGCTCTGGCCGGAGACCTAGGCTCCCGTTCAGCGACAAGGGGCAGAAGAGCGAGCTGTGCTGGGAAAGGTGGACGATCCCCAGGACTGTGTTCATGAGCCGGTACAGATTCCTTTGCGGAGCCTGCAAGACGGGAGAAAACGCCATGAGCTCACACCCACGAAAGAGAAGCGCCGGCAAGGAAATCAGGAGGGCGCCGGCTCTGTTCAGAATGTGAAAGGATTTGTACAAATGGACTCGGGGGGACGATCTGTTCCACGCCTTTGCTAGTTAAAGGATGGAGGAGGTTTCATCGCAGAGTTGACAGCCGCACTGGCACAACACAGCCACTGTTTCCGTTCCCTGTTAATTTATATCCTTCCCTACATGCTCACAGGTTGTATTCCATCCTCCATCCAGAAGGCTCAAGCCAGAAACCGGCCATCTTGAAAGCTTGACATGACATCCCCAAGAGTGAGGGGACGGAAGGCAGGCTGTGCCACGCCAGGAGGCCCGTGCTCTCCGTCCTCCTCACGATGCCGTCTCTGAGTGAGGCTCTGCCCCCCACAGCACCATTTAGAGCGGGGGGTGGGGAAGAGTTCGTACTTACAGCGGGTTCAAGCACCGGCGTCAGCCCCCACGTCAGGACTCCCTTCCCTGCATATTCATCCCGCAGCAGCTCGGTGACCTTCGCCCCGACGCCCGAAAACCCGTTGTGCAGGTCGCAGAGAACCTGGAATCCCTGTGTGAGGAGAGACACGTGCTGGGTTTGCAGCCTGCCAGGAGCAAACCAAAAACAGTTCCCTCCCCGGCGCGGAGGCGGTGCCTGTGTGGTGCCTGCGACCCCGTGCGGAAGCGAGAGGCCTCAGGAGGCTTTGCGTTGTTCTGCAGCCGTTCGGAAGCAACACGTGGCTTCGGGGTGTGGCACATGGGTCGTGGGCCATGCCACTTCCCAGGCCGGTCGCCAGGAACGCCCACTGCGTGGAAGTGGCCCTGCTGAGCGGGGTAGTCCTCTTATTCGAGGGCCAGCAGTGGGGCTGGTGGGACAGAGGAGAGGAACGGAGCATTGTCACGGGCCCCCAGACAGGCAGCCCCCCCTCGGAGACAGAGAGGGTGCCCCAGAGGCACCTAGAATTCAGACGGAGAGGCATCTCATTCAGCGCTGAATTCATCCTCCCGGGCCTCAACACGTGGATGTAACGGCAGCGAGCATCCCTATCCGTGCCCTGAATAGCTTCATCAAGAGACTCTGTCCTTCTTGTCTGAGGCTGGCAGGCGATGCCACCCCTGCGAAAGGACGGGGGTGACGGTCCAGGCCAGGATCTTGCACTCAAGATACGGCAGCCTCTGTGGGATCCATCTGGGTCCACTTGCCTCCCCCTTCGCAGAGGGAGCCCTGCTGCATCGAGAGCCCGTGGCCCAGCAAAGGCAGTCGGAGCCAGCCGCAGCCTCACCTGCAGGTAGTCACATTCCTCCACGTAGAAGTGCAACCTGTCCTCCAGCTCCTCCAGGTAGGCGCCGTCTTGCAGGAGCTTTTCCCCTTGCCCAAAAGCCTCCAGCCGGTTGGATTCCCTAAAAGGCAGCACGATTCTGACGTCCCCTTCTGGTGCGTGAGAGACGGGGCACCCCTGCTGTCCCCCACCCTGGGAAAGGCGGCACGGCGCCCAGGGAAACACGCCTCACCCCTCGTGACTGTACTGCTGGATGGTCAAGATGCTCCGGGGGTGCAGGTGTGTCCGGAGGAAGTCTGACCACACGTGCGGTGCCTTCGCAGCCTGGTCCTGCGTCTCATGGCGAGGAGGCCGGTCTAGGGAGAGAGTGGCGTGAGCTCGGTGCCCAGCCCCGTCAAGTCCCCTGCCTGCTCTCCAGCGGCGAGAGTGACCCTGGGGCCAGGCGAACGCCCTCCGGGTTCCTGCTCCCGGGAGAGCCACCGGGGCCCTGCCTGCCTCTTCCCACATTCTCCAAAAAGAGCATCTCTTCCCCTTTGGAGGCAGCGATACTGAGGTGCTGCTTGGCTTTTTTGCAACAGCCCCGCCAAAGGGCTAACCGCCGTCCGTCCGTCACCTTAGTTCTTGGCAGGCTGCAGCTGGACTTGGGGAAGTGGCTGGGAAGCAACCACAGATACTGAGAGCGGCTAACTGGTCAAGCTAAAATGCGGTATTCGCCGGGAATGGGCCAGAAGGAATCCTGCAAACATGCTTCATCAACAGACCTGCCCCACCAGTGCCCCTGTTCTGCCCCAAAGCAAGCCATACACGTACCTTTACCCCCAGAAAGGGGCCTAGAAGCAAAGTCACCGTTGGAAGAACTGTTGCCCTGAAATACATGAGAAAGACCCACAGAGAGAGATGTTCAAGGCCAGAAGCTTTACTTTCCAAGGAGGCAACCGATCCCCACAGCACATCTGCAGGGCACCAAGCTGCAGAAGGTGTATCGGGAATAGCCACTGACAGACCTCTCGCCTTCCGCAAATTTGCCCAAACCCCTTTCGAAAGGGGCCCACCTCTCCAGCTGCCCGAGGCTCTGGAATTTGGCAGCCCCTTGTGAAGAAGTGCAGCGGCTCCACAAAATGGAAGAGCGACCAGAGCATCCGCAAGAGGCGTGAGCCGCCACCACGGTGCCCGTTTCAGGCTGAGCAGCTGTAGCTTGAAGGCAAGGAACAAAAGGACAGGGCTGGTCTCACCTCCGATCTGTCCAAGCCATGAAGGACGGACCTCCCAGGGGCCAGGTCTTCTCGGTGTGTGGTCAGATTCCCCTTCCTGGAAAGTTAACCCTTTTTATCCCACAGTTCTGCTTGCAACCTGCAGGCACGACCCCCCGAAAAGCAGCTGTGCAGAGGGCTGAGTGATTCATGTCTTTTATCTACTGTCTTTTCTCCGGGTAGCTCACAACAGTTCATAAAAACACAGCCCACTCATATAATAAAAGGCATACATTTTTCCAATGCACAAAATTTAGACTCAATTTAACAGCTAAGGTAATTTCAGTACCAGCGAGGCATAAGCAACAGTTGACAGAAATGCTCCCTCTTGCTATTAAATACCACGAGGGAACTTCAAAAGGTTTCCACACTTTTACAAACATATTTTATATACATTTTTGCGGATGGCATTAAAACGTTGGTCCCGCACTGGGAAAAATGCATTGTGAAGGTTCCCACAGCTTCCAAAAGATGGCAGGGTGTTTCCTGCAGCCGCTGGGCTAGAAACATTTCGTAGTGGTGGACTTAGCAATGTCAGGAGTTCATTCTCTGCCCACCACCTTGCAGGAGGCTATGATGATTGCTGGACCTATTGGCCAAAACATTTCACAGATCTTCTGGTTTGTGCCTCAATATTTCTGTGGTGTGAGGGAGCGCAGGAAAGAAGAAAAGCCACTCACCAAGCTACAAGAGTATTTGTTTTCTCATCCTGGTACAAGGAACCCTCCTGCTTCAAGGAGCTCAGGCTGCCTAAACAGAAGCAAAACACACGTGACGCTGATGTTTGGGCCAGACTTCTCCGGATCGGCGTTTGCAAGTGTCCGAGCTCCCTTGGACTTCTACTGGGGGACCTCATGGTAACATCATATGCGCCTTTTACGATGGGGAAAGACTAGCTTAACAGAGGTGCTGGCAGTAAGTAACGATTCCTCCCGGAAACAGGTGCTTCCTGGTTCCCCCCACCCTCCCCCAAAATGGGTTCCGGGCAAACCTTGCTGGCTAGAGCGGTGGTCCACAACATCCCCAGAACACCGAGGTGCCCACCTCTGCATATCAACCAGGTACGTGCCCTTTCTCAGCGAAATGCAAAGTACTGGAAACGAAGTGAGCCTAGTCTGAGGCAGGGAATTATATTCCTGCATTCATAGTACAGAGGGCTGAATAAAGTCCACTAGCCAGGATGGTGTAAAAAGCTGCAAGTCCTGGACTGGGGGGGTGCATGTGTTGGGGGGCAGGTTCCAGTCCCTGCTGTGAGGCCTACAAGTTCTCTGGGTGACCTCGGCCAGGTGCACTTTCGCAACTAAACCTGCCTGGCAGGGTGGTTACAAGGGTTAAGAGGGAGGCATCCCTGATCTGCTTGGACAAAGGGTGGGGCGAAATTAAATACTCGCAACAAGAAGACATGGGGCCCTATTGCTATTATGGGATTTCTGTGCTCAGAGCAGAGTTGCAACTTGCAACTCGTGGAGGAGAGAAGGCAAGGGTAGCCCCGGCACCCTTTCGACGCTGCTCCTGGTGTGCTACCTTTGAGGTCCATGAGAATGAGGCGGGGCGTATACGTCTCTTGGCCCTGAAGAGTCTTCCCTGTGCGGAACAGCACATCGTGGTGAATCCCCTCTTCCGATTCGGCGGCCGCAGGATCGAAGCAGAAGGAGGCTTCCTGGGAAGTGAGGATGAAGGCTGGCGTGACCAAGAGCCGGTAAGCGGCATCCACCCGAGCCCTGTTGCCTCCGGAGGTAACGGGCACACGGACTCCTCCTCACACCCCTCCGCAATCCCATGCATACAACTGACAGTTCTCCGGCGGAGGAAATGAGACACCGCGGCTGAAGGCAAACAGGCCACACACAGCAGAGTGAGATGATGGGTTTGGGGAGCGGAAGAATGGACTGTGGCCTTCAAGGGACGATTAGCTTTTTTAAAATGAAAAACTCAGCACAACACGGAGAACACAAGGCTTTCTTCCCAATATACTCGGTTTCTCCTTGCAGGAAGCTCTTCGAGCCAGGGGCTATGCAGACCCTCCAGAGCAGTCGCGGGTGGCAAGAAGCACTCTGCCACCTTCCTCTGCTCCTATGGGAATTCTGCAAGTGCCAGCTTCGTGCCTATCTTATTTTTTTTTTATATTGCGATTTATATCCTGCACGGTCCGCGCATTTCGCCCATTGCTTTATACATTTCCGATCTAGAAGCATACGCTTGTGTGTACCCTTGCCCTTTGAGCAACGCGTAGAGTTCAAAAGAGGATTGTGGAAATACGGTTGTGCTACACGGGCGTGCAAAAGCAGACGGGGCGGCAGAGGTCGGGATGGCTGGTGGGGCGGGGGGTGGAGGAGGGCAGGCGAGCCCGGGGGATGCTGCCCACGGGGCCGCGAAGCGCCGGGCTCCACCGGGCGACCGACCGGCCCACCCACGTGCGCGGGCACCGCGGCTTCCCCTCCGCGCTGCGCGGCACGTGCCGGCAGCTCCTTCAAGCCCCGCCCCGCAGGCGCCCCGCCCCTCCGCGTGCTCGCGCCGGCCGCCCAATCCAAAGGCTCCCCCCTCCCTCGCGCTCCCAGCTTCCCCCTCCCGAGTGCACGCGACTCCCCCTTCCCTCCGTCCTGCCCCCACGCAGCGCGGCCCGCGTCTACCTGCAGGCCCCACCAGTGGGCTCCGACGCCGCCCGCGTAGTGGCCCAGCTGCAGCGTCACCGCCTCGCGGACCCCCGACATCCCGGCCCTCGAAGGTGGGTGAGGGGACGAGCGCAGCGGCCGTTGGGGGGGAAAGGGAGGGGGCGGCGGGGAGGGAGGGGTGTGAGGCAGAGTGTGCGCAGGCGCGGGGCGGGGCGGGACGCGGCGGCGCGCGCTAAGTGACGCCCTGCCCTTCTTGGCTCTGCCAGGCCTTCGGTCCCTCAAGGCCCCGCCCGCGCCAGAGGTTGCGCGCCTTCGGGGGGGGGGGTCCAACTGTCATTGGCTGGATTGCCAGGAAGTGGGCGGGGCCAGAGAGAAAGGAGCCCCTCTTGGCGAACCTGGCTAGAGGCGGCACTGGAAAAAAAACTTCCAGTGAAAATGGAAAGACGCCATAATAGGCCGCTCTGCTTCCGGGGACGGAACGGGCCGCTCTATCCCGTAGCATCTCTATGCTAGACCCGGGACGTCTGATCTACGCGGCTCCTTCTTCGCTTCGGCGCATTGATAGTCTTGCTCTTTGGAGGCTGCAATGGCTGCGCAGAGCGACACGAAAGAGCAAGGCTATCTATGAACCTCTCCCCGTTGATTCTACACGCCTGTTAGGAAGGGGATCGCCCCGTTCTGCAGCCGAAAATGCTTCCAGTGCAGGGTTGCAATCTGAGCGCACGAAAGGAAAATAGGAAGCAGAAGGCAAAGGAGCACATGCAAACTCGGACCTTTAAGTAGCCGTTCTCACCAGGACTCACTGAAGAGGGAGCAGGTGAAGTGGGGCCCCGCTTCCCATCTGTCCCCCTGATGCCACCTCATGCATCCGCGGCCAGTGGTTAATGCCTGATGGCACTAGCATCGTAGCAGTGCCAACAGAAAAATCCTTCCTTCCCACAGTCTGCAGCTGAAAGGTGCTGAAGACAGGAGGGGACAGCTAAGAGTGTGCTTTAGGAATGTAGCCATGACTGGTTTGGGTTTTGTCTTCAAACCCCCCCCCCACCCCCAGTTATGTTTCTATGCTGAGGTTACTCTTCTAAACCACCATCAACTGGCATATTTTTTTAATAAGTTACAGGAACATAAATAATTGCCTTGACAGTTGCCACAGGTGCCCACCCATTCTATTAATAAATACAAAGAGGGAATATGCAGAAGTAGAAGTGTTTTTTAATTCTGTATGAGTTCAATGGGATGAGATTCTGGTGGTGTTGGAAGGGAAGAAATGTGGAGTCATAAGAAGGCGCTGATCTGGTCGAACAATCCAGGGTTACTTCCAGAGAGAAAACGAAGCTCCTGTCGGCCTCCATCTGTGCTGGCTAGTGTAGCAGAGGATGGATTTAATGAGAGAGAAATAAAAGATGATTATGTCAGAAAGAGAATTGCTAGTTATGAACACAGCTTTTTTTCCAAAAGCGGGAACATTTTTTTTAAAAGTATTTTGAGATGCCTTTATTGCAGTGTCTTCTTTAAAATGGAATCAGATATGATAACAGTGAGCTATTATTGTAGTTACTGTTTTCTTTTCCTCTACCTCTTTGCTTTGATTAACACTAGAATTTTTTTCCAAACACCACCCACACTTCTAATTGTTCCTATTCACCTATGAAAACAGTACATCGCTTGGTGGTGTTGGGGTAAGAGAGAAAGTTTCCCCCACAAAGCATTGTTTAGAATAACCTTCCTGAACCCTCCAATTCTACTGGACTACAGACAGTCAGCATTGTTGGGGGATGTTATGAGGTGGAGTACAGTGCCGATAGTGGTTGGGGAAAACGGTTTAGACAATATTGGGATTTTGGGCCTATGGTTTGAATGGCAGGTGGCAAACCGTTCATTGGGAAACTCCTGCTGGGGGCTACTGGCAACCACTTGAGGGAATTTAAGAGATGCATATTTTGTCTGGCATCGTAGCGCTTTGCACGGCTCTCCAGGACAGCTGTCGCCTTGTAAGCTTCCACCTGCAACACTGCTGGCAGGCAGAAGTAAAGGGATTTGTCCCTCTCTGTTTCTGAGCGGCTGCATCCTAAGACCACTTCAGAGGTTCAGAAAAGCTGGCACGGTTTGCACTGCACTAGAGTTAAATCCCCACTGAGCCTCGAAGCTCAACAGTGATTGTAGGCTAACTCGCTCTCCGCGCAGCTCACCTTGCTGGGTTGTTGGGAAGACAAAACCTGGAGTGTGGCGGAAGTACAGGCAGAATGCAAGTCAAATCAGCATTTTTTTCTTGTCGTCACAAAAACCCCACAAGGTTTTTAGCCGACTTACTACAGACAGACTAATTAAGGCCTATCCAAGATGAGCATCTATTGATGATCAAAATTTCTCCCTGTTACAACAGTGAAACAGAGCAAACCCTTCTCCCCCTAGAGGCCAGTAGGTTCACCCTATGAGGCGGGACAGATAAATGGAAGTACTTCCAGTGTGGGTGATTTTAAAAGGGAACTGAATAAATACGTGAAGGAGGTGGCTACCAATGGCTCCTGCTCCCGGCGGCCATATCCTGCCCCTTCTGCTTTCAGAGGCAGCATGAACATGTGTGCCAGCTGCTGGGGAACAGGGGTGGAAGGGTGCAGCTGTGCTTGTGTCGGTGAGGACAGACATGGTCTGACCCAGCAGGGCTCGTCTCGTATTCCTGAAATGCACTGTGAGGGTCACCCTACCCGGCGGAGGAGAGTAGCTGGGAACATGGGGAAGGGAGCCAGCAGCTTGCTCCCAAGTATCCCCGACTGCTGCGTCAGCCGGCAGGGCGTGGCTGGATTTAAGGGGCAGAACTGTTCAAACCAGCCGTGCAGCTCCGGAGAGGAGCGGACTTGCCTTTTTCGTGCTGCAGCCACTTGCGGTCCAAGTAATACTGATAGCAGCTCTCAAATTCCCGGTTGGTATAGTTGAGAACTTGAATGGGCACAAAGGGGTCCAGGGCATCAAAACCCTCCTGGAAGACAGGGGGGATGGGGAAGATGTTTTATGTGTCTTACAAACAGTCCAGAAGCTTCAGCTGGTGCAAAACAGGGCAGTGAGACAGTTAGCAGGGAGTGGCTGGCAGGGTCCTAGGAGGCCAGTATTTTAGCGCCTGTACTGGCTGCCCGTCCATTTCCAGGCCCAATTCGGAGCGCTTGCATTCATATTTAAGGCAGTTCCCTGGCTTTGGTGCATTTTTCCCTAGGTTGGAAAGTCAAAATGCCTCTCCCGAGTCTGAGTCTTAGCTCCTGGCAGGAGAAGGTTTATGCAGGTACTTGGGTTTGCCTTCAGTCCCAGCCGCTGTGGGAACACCTCCAAAATGGACTAGACTAGATGAGCATACAGACTAACTGGGTCTCTCAGGGTGCGGTCCTCTGCATGCTGGGAGTTGAGGGACACCATTCTGTCCACGCACGCAAAGGATTCCACTCCGACACAGCCTCCTCTGTCCCTAATGCGAAGAGCACCAGCTCCCTTTGTGGCTGAGCAGAGGGAGGACTTCCATAAGGAGCAGACTTGCAGGGAACACGGCCCTGGGCCTTCACCTCTTCCTGGGCCCCAAACCCTTTTCCGCCTCCAGCTCACCTTTCCCAACAGTTCGTGAAAGAGGTAAGCTCTGCGAGGCTTGTAGACGGCACCGGTCTGGCTGAGGGCAGCCACGATGGCGCCTCCGTTCTGAAAACACAGAAGAAAAGGGACGTCAGGGGAGAGGATCTTTGGTTTGCCCATCCAGGATTGTGGCACAACTGAGACTTTCCTTCAGGCGGCCCATTCCCCACAAATGACCCACGCAAGGAAATGCAGGCAGTCGTCTGTCTCCAACCCCATTGCCTCAGTTATCCCAGCATGACCCCAAATACAGAGCTTCCAGGTAAATTAGCCACTTCAGGGGCTTCTCCAAAAGAGCTTGGCTTCTGGTGACTTAGCGTTCGTCAGGTTTTTGCGGGGAAAAGCCACGGTGCTCCGGCCTCCTCACCCAGTCATTGGCTACCATCTTCTTTAAGTGGTGGACCAGAGTCAGCTGCCCCGGGGATAGCTAAGAAAAAACAGAAAAACGGTGGAGGGAAAAGAAACAACCCTTCCCTTTGGCCTTCCGACCTACCAATATGCTTCTAGACTGGAAAGGACTGTCACACAAACACCCAAGTGGGGAAAAGATCTGCTCCATTCTCATAAAAGGACAGCGACCGGACTTTTTTTCTGATGCAAACTGAACATTTTCCTATGCAAGCTATCCTAATTAGGCAAGGCTGGGTTTTAGTTGTATACGTTTTCTGGAAAACGTCCTTCATTTCTGTTTATTCTCAGCCTTTTCTCTCTCTGCCCAAGCCTCAGTTTTGCCCCTGCTTCACGGAGCTGGACCTCAGGATTCTAAAATAGCACAGATTCCCCTGACGTTGCGGGCGACAGATCGCCTGCGACCCACGGGCAAGATGCGCAGTGCACTCCGGAGGGAAAGTTCTCCTAAGAGCCGCTGGCACGTCCCTCCGCCAGCGCCCGCCGCTGCAGAGCCCTGGCTTTCCAGGCAACCCCGGTGCAGCGACCGCACACGTACCTCTCCCCTGTCCGGCCCACGCAGCGTCGTCCTCCCCCAAAGGGCGTTGAGCCCGTCCACTGCGACCAGCAGCCGGAAGGAGCCCTGCATGCACTGCCGCTTCAGCTCTTTGCAGAGCGCCCCCACAGCGTCACTCGCGGTCTTCACCCGGGTTAAGCCCTGGATGTGGAAAAGGGGGAGGCGGGAAAGCACGGCGTCCTGCGGCATCCAGGCCTGCCCACCGAGCCGCTCCCGCCAGCCCACAGGGCCTCACCTGCTCCACCACCTCCGCCAGGGGCCTGCCTTCCTCGGTGCTCTCGCGCCTGCCCCACACGTACTTCTGTTGCGTTTTGATCTGCAGCAGGCAAAGATTACGGGCTTATTAACAGGCCAGATGTCCATGGTGGGGGGACAACATCCAAGGGAGGGGGCTCCAGGGAAGGGCCACAGCTCCGTGTCCTTTAGGCACATACGGAATGACTGGATCCAGTGCAGACAGACCTCCCTGGGGAAGGATGGGCAGCGGTCCTCTCTTCTGAAAAATCTGGCCAGCTTCTGATGCCGAGTTCTTCCCATGCGGAGCAGGGACACCACAGCACGGGAAGCGGCCCGAGGTGGAACCAAAGCACCGGTCCTCCTGGCTCAGGAGCGCTGACACCGACCGGCAGTGGCTCTGGGACCACCCATCCCGATGTGTTGGCCGTGCCCACTGGGAATCATCAGCGCAACACAACTGGGGGGCTCCGCCAGAGAGAGCTGCAGGCAGGATCCTTCCCTGGCCCTACCTGGGGACGCCCAGGATTGAACCCGGAGCCTTTGGCAGGCAGAACAGTTGCTCCGGCACTGAACTGCAGCACAGAACCTTCTCCTGTCGCTCCATGCCAGAGCAAAATGCCGTTTTAATTTTGCAAAAATGAATTTAATTTTGCAGAAGCAAAGCACTGCCACTTTTAATGTTCCCGCACAAATCTATCCCAGGGGGCTGCTCTGAGTATAAAATACGAGCCCTCCATATGCCACCTGGTAGGAACAACACAGCAAGAGGAATAGGCAGTGACTGGATCAGGGCAGCCTATCCCAACCTGCTGGAGGAAAACTTTGTGCATACAAAGGGTCCTAAATCAAATCAAGTCAGAGCTTTCCCTAGAAGTAAAACAGACAAAGCTGAGGCAGTCCTGCTTCAGATACAGGAGAAGAAAAGAAAATCATGCTAGATAAAACTGAAGGCAGAAGACAAGGACCACCAAATATGAGATGGATTCATTCCATAAGGGAAGCCACAGCCTTAACTTTGTAACTTTGTGGGGCTATCACGGATTGGATATTTTGGGGGGGGGGGCGTTCATTTATAGGGTCTGCGTAAGTCAGAGATGACTTGATGGCACCTAACAGCAACCCGGTGCCCCACAGAAGGCTTGGAATACAGCATCCATTATCCCTGACCACTGGCCAGGTCAGCTGGGTTTCATGAGAACTGAAGTCCAAAAGATGCAGGGAGCACCGGCTTGGGGAAGGCCGGACTCACGGAGGGGTGCGTCCCTCAACTGACAGAAGGCAACCGCAGCTCCGGACCTCATTCAAGAAGCGCTCGTTGGTGGTTCTGAAATTCTTCAGCCAGGTCGAGGCTTCCAGGGGCTGGTCGAAGCGCCCCTCCTTGTAACTGGACGGCAGCAGCTCCTTGCAATTCTTCACCCAGAGGTGAGCTACAACACAAAGAGAAAGCCATGCAGTCACAAGCATCATGCATCTGGCATTCAAAAAGCGTTACTAGTCGCAGCCAAAGGCCTCAAGGAGCAGGCCCGAAATACAACCAATGGCATATCAATTTTGGGGAGGAGGAGCAACCGATCCCTGCGAAAACTTCCCAGGCAACGCTGGCGTGCGTTTCACAAAACCCTTGACTTTGTGAAGTTGGCTCCTGGCCTACTCGCAAGGCAAATGCCAAGGCAGACTTTTGAAACGAGTTCAGGGTAGAGTGTTTCCAAGGCTCCGCCTTTCCAAAATTCAGCCAGTAAAATCCTAAAGCAAGTCAATTCTACAATCATATGGGACAAAGTGCATTTCAGGGGTTGGGGTGAGCAAAGCTTTGCCCCAGAGTTAGACATCTCAAAGAGAAAAAAAGCCTATTCTGAAATATTCTCTGTGGATTTTTTGGACTAGACAAACCCTTCTGCCGATCCAACACAGCTCGTACGTTCTCAGGCCTCACACGCTAAGTGGGCTTAGGCAAGCCAGAGTTTTCTGTGCTTAAGCCTTATCTGCACAACAGGATGGAATGACACTGACCTATCTCGCAATGCTTTTGCAAGGATGATCGTACAAACTAACCATAAACTCTTCCTCTAAGTGTCGGGTTTTAGGGGCCACAACCATACTGTCTGTGTGCAAAGGGGAGGCCCCAACAAACTTGGGAAAACCCCAGGTTTTGCACATGAGAAAACCTAAAGGAAAGAACTTTGCTTTGCAAATTAAAATCCGGTCTCATACCGGGCACATTTAGTGACAACAAAACACCAAATATCTGGGGAGAACAGGAAAACCAAGCAGGGGAGGACAGAGCAGAGCATTCTGGGAAGGCACTGCTATTTTCCTTCTCGTTGCCACTTCTGGCATCATCACTACCATTATTTGGATGGTCACTACCAGTAGTAATAGTTACTGTGTTGTGATGGGGATCCAGGTTTTAGTCCCCACCTGCTGTGGGCCAGTCATGGGCTCCCCATCTAACCTACCTCACAGGGTGGTCGTTGTGAGGATAAAATGGAGGTATACAAGCCACCTTGCAGGCAGGATATAAATGCAGCGTCATAATACCATGCCTTTCAGGTTAGAAATCCTTCCATGCAGGCCCACATGTAAAAAAGCCACAACAGTATGGAGCTAACTATGCACAAGATCCGTTCCATGAGTGGTTGGTGGTAGAACAGCTTTCCACCACCAGATGGCTGGAGGATGAGAACCTCACAGAAGCAGGTGCTGCAGGGGGTCTTGGCCTACCTCCTTTTCCTTCCTAGAATTCTTCCCAGAGGCCCCGTGGCAAGAGGCCAGGCCTGGCGCACAGGCTAGGACTGTCCCACCCCACAGGGCCTGCCTGCAACGTGGACTTAAAGCTCAGAAAGCAAGACTCTGAGTCTCTCTCTCTCTCCCGCCTTTCTGCTGCACAGCAGGCACCCTAGGCAGCTGAGAGTAAAGGAAGATTAAAAGCACATTTTTCAATCCATACACATGTGGCCGTAATGACTAACAGAGGCCCTGGAAGGCATTGCAGTGCTAAATATTATTGTGCTTCGGCGATGTGTGCAGGCTCTGGCTCCACGCCAGAGCATCTGCCGGGCACTGGGGCAGCGCAGTGTCCTTACCATCTGGGATGTGCAGGATGAGCCAGTTCTGCCGTGCACAGTGGTGGATGGCGTGACACAGAGTCGTCGTCTTCCCCGTGGCCTTCCGGCCATCTTCAGGCAAAGCTGTTAAGGAAGCCACGGTGCTACTGCGGGCCTCGCCGGAGGGGCATCTGTGCCACCCTGCGTGGCCCCAGCACGGCAAGGGCAACTGAGCAAGCACGCGGAGGGGCAGAAGACCCTCGACACCGAAAGCTCAGCCTTCGGGCTCATCTTGCCCAGCCTCTCGAAGGATGCAGGATGCAGTTTTCCGGCAGGCCTCCAATGAAAGTTCCCCAGGGAAGGGTTCAGCTCCCGGCCCCTGGAGGCAGCCTCCTCCACTCGCTCCCAGCTCTTATCCTAAGGAAGTTTCTCTCCATCTTTCACCAGTAACTGGTTCGTTGCCATGTTCACTGCTCGGTGCGGATCGTGCCCTCCAGGCCAGTGAAACATGAGCCGGCTCTGAGCACGCCGACAGCCCTTCCAGGCTCTGTGGGCAGGCATTATGTCTCCCCTCTGCCAAATCTTCTCTTCCCCAGGTCAAGGCTAAAGCATACCCAGCTAGGCACAAACACAAGCTGAGAAGGAATTTGCAGGGCACACAGCCCGAGGATACTAGATGTTACCATTTTTAGGAAAGCTTCTAGCCCTTATGGAGAAGTGTATGTCCTGTGAGCACACGGGTGACTCCTGTAAATATGCACAACAAGCACCACAGGATACCTAAGCTGAAACGGGGGTGTTGCTTTCCCAAACAGCCGTTTTCAAGACACCTCAGGTCAAATAAGTTACTTTCTCCTTGCCAACAGAAGTAGCAAGTCTTCACCCTGCACCCTCTTCTTCAACCCAGCTTTCTCTGGCTTGGCTGCATTTCTCTGGCACCACTCAACCAGTTATAACTTTTCTTTGCCTCCATGAGGACAGGAAACTTGTTTCATTTGGGCCACGAAAGCTTTACGTTTCACGATTCTTTGACTAATACCAGAAAGCCCATCCCTGCAAGACAATAAAATTCACAGCCTACATCACAGGATACAGAGGATGTATCGGACAGCGGGGTAGGCAAAGTTGGTTTGCTTCAAGTAGGTAAGAAGTTCAACGGCCGGCTCCCGTACCATGAAGCATGCTTCGTTGAAGGTTTTTATCTGCAAGGACCGAGAGAGAGAGCGATGGAGAGGATCAGACTTTGTACAAAGGGGAGTGTTACAGCCAGCCAAATGTCGAAGCTGCTTTATAAAACAAGCAAACTCACCAAACCCCCCCCCCCTTACCAATTCTTTGGCAGTAAGCAAGCCAGGCTGAGACCAAATTCCGTGCCCCCAGCCGGCCTTGTGTGAATTGCTTCTCTCACCTCTCCACCTGTAAAATGGAGGGAGCATCAGCTGCCCCTGAACAAGCCCTCGTTTGGCTTTGCCGGCCGATTTTGGAACTTTCCCTTAGCATCCCTGATCTGAAATGCACCACACTCACCGTGGTGGATTGCTCTTCGATTTAAGACAGACGGACAGACCTCTCCTTGGGCTCCGCCGGGGGCCAGGGCTTAGCTTCAAAGCCCCCACCTCCTGGAGGAATCCCCGCTTTCCTCTCTGGCCTGAGGTCGGGAACCACAGCAGGGAGTGGGCTGGGGTGGCTTCTCTCCCGAGCAGTGACTTCCGAGGCTGCTATGCGGCCGTTCAACATTCAGATATTTAAGGCTGGGTCCCCAGAGCCGCCAGTTTGCATCTGGCCGCACCCCGCGACTCCTTCCTTGCTGCTGCTCTGCATGTCGGCTGAGGGCTCTTCGGGGGCAAAGTCCGCCCACCTCCAGCTTAGCCAAACTGCGGCAGATGCACGGCCTGAAGTGTGGATCGCGCCGCTGCCTGGCTCAGGCTCTTTGCCACCACGCCCCCATGGCAAAATCTGGCCCATCGGGCCTGACCGCCTTCTCTCCCCCCTCCACGTTCAGACCTGTAAGGAAGATGGCGCACCTGTTGGCTGAAGCGTTTTGGTAGTCCGTGAGGAAATGTCACTTGTACCTCCTCGAGCGGGAGCGTGTAATACTGGCCCACGTGTTTCTCCGTGTGGTTGCCCTGTGGGGTTGGAAGAAGCACGTGCGATCCGTTAGCAAACTAGCCTCTCTCAGCCTCAGTCGGCGCTTGGATTGTACCGAAGCCGCTTTATGTGGCTGTCACTTTCTCACCAGTACCCGACAGCCCCAGTTCTCTGGGTGTGTCACATAAATTAAAAACCTTTAAAAAGACACCATTTAAAAATCATTTACATCCAGGCATATAAACAGACACACAACTATCTAATCAGTGTTAACCAAAAGAATTGAAGGCCTTATTAGAAACACCGTATGCTTCAAAACGCCTGAGCTAAGGGGAAGGACTTCAGCTGATGCCAAGAAGACAGCAAGGATGGTGCTCAGTGTGCCTCACCAGGAAGATCGTTCCATAAGCGGGAGCCACCACTGAAAAGGCCTCCTCCTGCATGGATGCCTTTTCAGCCTCCCTTAGACCAGCTACCTGGTTCACAAAAGGGCTCATACAGGGAGATGCTCCACCAGGTAGGGTGGTCTTAGTCATTCAGGGCTTTCCAGGTTAAAACCGGCACCATAAATTCAGCCGAGTTACATACAAGGAGCCTGCACAAGCAGGCCGGAGCAGTGTCCTATATCTGAACCACCTTGTCCCTTTCGTCAGTCCCTGAGCTCTTTCCCCTTACCCAGGTGGAAAGTGGCAGATCCACCCAGTATCTAGAAATACATAATTTGAGAAATGCTCTTCGCTGCGCAACCCTCTCCATGTTCGCTTGGAGGCAAGCCATTCTGTGCTGAACGGGGCTTTACTACCTTGGACAAACCCCAGCCTTACGTGGCATACGTAGGACCAGAAAACCTCAAGGACCTCACGTCTTACATCCCCCTATCTTCACGTTCCACTGTGCTGGCTGCAGGGTGATGGGAGTTGTAGTCCAGCCCCTTGGGAGGGTGTGGCGTGGGGGAAGGCTGCTGTGTGCCCATGTGTGCAGGGACCTCTGACTTAGGACAACAGTTCATTGGCCTGGCGAAGCCGACACTGGTTCAGCACAGGGCGGAGGTCTCTGTGGTTTTTACTGCCGCTGCCCCCCGGAAACGCACCTCCCCATTCCTCCTCTAACACTTCAGTAGCCACTAACAAATCCCTCCCCCGGGATCCGCACTCAGACCAGGAAGCACCCCTTCTACCAGGCACAGGGCCTTCGCTTCAGTGGCTCCCGTATCTCCTGCGGCCACTTTTCAGAGAGGCTCGAGAGGTGGGAGCCTTTTTCGCTAGGAAGGGCTGTGGACCCTTAGGAAGCATCAGAGCAACAACTACGGAGGTTGGAACCTCTCTCGGACATGGGAAGAGCTGGCAATACTGCAGGACAGTTGGATGCTTTCTCTGTACCGCCCCATCCTTTTCTTTCGCTGGGCCACCCCACCTCCACAAGCCCCATAAATAATTATCATCTCTTCACGGAAGGAAAAAAAATACATGGATATAAATATAAATTTATATATCTACATTGCAGGATATAAATGCAATATCATCATCATCAAACATTTATAAAGCAGCTCAGCATTTATACACAATGTAAGTAATACTGAAAGATAAGAGGACCGCTCAGTTCACAAGCTCAGAACCCAGTACGACACGCTGCCGGAGACTGTGGCCGAATCTTTCCCACCCGCCCTTCAGAAGCCCGCCGGGACGGCTATCCAGTTGCTTTCGGTTATTTTTATGGCTGGCATCACTTCAGTAGATTTGCCGAAAACGTCTGCATTTTATTAAGCATTTTATGAGCTTGCAAAAGTTTGGTGAGAGATGCTTGATAAATGCTGCTAAGACAGAAAGACCTAGAAAAAGGACATCGTTCCCACATGTGATCTCACCACAGAAAGTTAGTTAGTTAGTTAGTTAGTTATTACTTGCATTTATATACCACCCTAGTAGCCCAGAATGTTAATGAACAAGCGGAGTTTAACATGACAGCTTGCCAGGAAATTATGATCTGAAGTTGAAAAAATGGAGCTCAGAGTTGGAAAAGCATCTCAGAATATGATTTGGATTCTACCACAAGTGACCAAGTTAACATATAAATGAACGTGAGAAAGGGTTAAGAAAACAGCAGAGGGGTTTTTTTTCTTCCACCTCCTAGCAATTTGCCGGAGTTATTCTGAAGAGGGACCGAAGTGAGACAAACAGGACTCACAACAAAAGCATCGCAACATGCCACACTCCTGTTCGCTGTTCCAGCCAGCCAGTGGCACCCTTTCGAGGTACTCCCTTGCGGTCCCCCCCCCGCCCAGCCCTTCAGTCGGCATTCCCGGTCCCCAGTGGGGGGCTTTGGGGTCTCCCCCACCAGACAGTTCTTCTGCCTACAGGTAATTCTGTCTGTTCTTTCGCAAAGCGTGGTGCCAGTAGCCGCCTCTTGGCAAGCGGATGGCACCTTTTCGCTGCGTTAGCAGAGGCATTCACCCAGCCCACCGCTGGAACGAGAAGCAATCGGGGCGCCGAGTTTTTCTGCGATGTCCCTCGCGTGTGCACGGCCCGCGCTGCTCCCTGTTTGTTGCTGGAACAGCGTTTACGTGCATTTGTGTGTACAGCACCCTTTTCTCACCCTTCGAGATACAGCCTAAGATACAGGCTGTTCCCCCACAATGGAGGCAGTAAACAGGGTCTGGGCAGGCGAATGGCCAAAGCAGGCACTGGGGGTACAGAGAGGGGTGGGGGGCAGGGCTTTCGCTTGGGGGCCGCTTTGTAGCTTTGGAAAGACGGTCGGGCTTTCCTGTCCCCACTTTATTGGCTGGCGGCAGCAATTAATGGCTGGTCGATGATGATGTTTTGGGGAGATAAGCGGGATGGGTGTTTCTAATGCCAAGTTGCTTGCCAGCACTTCCGTCATACACTAGGTGTAAGTTTTAATTTATTGACGTTTAATTATATTGTTATTCCTTTACATTTGTGCCCTGCCTTTCTTCCTCTTGCAAGGAACCCAAGGTGGCTTTCACAGTTCTCCTCCTCTCCATTTTATCCTCACAACACCAACCCTGCGAGGTAGGTTGGGCTGAGCATGAGGGAGTGGCCTAAGGTTAGCCAGTGAGCTTCATAGCTGTTGGGACTAGAACTCCAATCTCCTGGGTCAGCAATGTTCTAGTCACCCTGCCACGCTGCTTACTAGTTCTGTTAATTATGCGCTGACACATAGAAAGACCTGTGGAATTAATAATGCTTCGTGTGTGCCCATGCATTTTAATTTCATGTCCTTCGTGGGAGCTCTTTTCAGAATAGCCCTTTCCGACCCCAGCAACTTCTCTGGCTTCAGCACTTTCACCATGCATCACCAACATGCGTTCACCTGTGTCTTTGAAATCCTGAGGGCTAGAAACTTGTGTTTTGGTTTGGTTTTGAACCAAGCCGAAAGATGCTTAGGAGGCCCAATGTCACACAGAGGGCCATGTCTGTGGAACTGTGATATACAGGCAGTTCGGGGCACAGCCAATAATCCCTGGCTTTGGATTTAAGACATCAGGCGTTGCACTGGGAATGCCAGGTTTGTGGCGGAATGGGGGGAAGCGGCGTTCTTAGTGACATCTTCAGCAGCACCAGCTTCGGCTGCCTGCACCCAGGCCGGGCTTAGAGGCCAGTTGCTTGGCAACGCCAGCCAAGACCTGGGATGGCAGAGGCAATCCCTTTGCCATCTGGGCACTTCTGCATGGCTGCTGGAGATGCTCATGGGTGTGGGGGGGGGGGGATCACATGACAGGATCCGCCTGCCTGTTGCCGTTTCCATGGAGACCCCAGAAGAATCGGCAGCAAAAAGGCTCCCGATGGCAGAGGCAGCAGTAAAGAGCCTCGGAAGGCCGATTCATCCGACACATTTCGTGCCGCTGCGGCTCACGCTGGGGAAAAACAAGGCAGCTCAAAGACTGCGAAAGGAGGGGGCACCCCCCGGCGGCTTCCGCGTTTCAGAGGCCTCTCCTGCTCACGCCGGGCCAGCCGGGGCTTCTCTGCAGCTGCGTCTGCGGCGTGTGTTAGCCATTCATTCATATCGGAGCGCCCAGCCCAGTTCTGCTTAAAAGCTGCATTCTAAAATGGTACAGGGTGAGAGCTATGAGACCAGAACAGCGGCTAAGGGTGCGATTCTAAGATGGGCGCACACTCCTGGTGCCTTCTTGATCTTGCAAGCAGTCAGATGCGAGGGCACACGGAATTTGGCTGGCGCCCCGACCCAACCCAGAGTTGCAGTAGGCACGATCCTCCGGCTCTTCCCCGGCCTTGCAAAGCCCATGAAGTCGGAGTCCATGCCAGGTCACCTCTCCCGGGCTCCAAGCCGGGGACAGCACGGGAAGATTGTTCCCAGGCGCCTTAGAAACGCAGCATCGAAAAAGGCTGCAAAATGAGGGCCGCAAGCTTTAACTGGGTATCAGTTCACTCTGCGTGATGAACGACGTGCGGGCCAGTTTTAATCAGTAGGTCTGAAAGTCCCCGGGAGGCTGGCTCGGTTCGGGCACGTTACGTTGCGCAGAGGGAATTTACTAGGCGGTCGGTAAAAATGGCTTCTCCCAGCAAGGAATGATAGAATTGGTTTGTTGCTTTGTTAGTAATCACAAAGAGGTGCCTATGCAGGGGGTGGCCAGGGAGGCTGGCCATGCACGGCTTGCCTTACATGCAGTCAATGAGCTGGTCAAGAAAAACGATCTATCAGCTCAAAATCCTTTAAACGGGTTTTTAATTAAGAGTCAGTTCAGAAACAAGATTAAAGACAAAGGTCATTAAAAACAGGGTTCGATATAATGGCAATGATTATGGACTCTGCCAGCTCCGGACAAGCTGCTCTTAGCCTGGTACGCTCCGGAAGTGCTGGGCTGCAACTGCCGCGATTCCCAGCCAGCACATCCAATGCGACGGGGGAAGGTTGCCCTAGAAGCTGGCTAAGGCAAAATGTGCCTGAGAGCTTCAAGGCTGGGAAAGGTCTTAACAACACGGCCCTTCTTGCCCCAGATAAGAACATTCTAAGCAGCCTCACAGCGAGTCACTGGTGCCTCGAACCCAGCATGGTCTCCTCTTGACAGCCAGTAGCTCTGTGGCCCCTTTTGCAGGCAGCCGCCCCTCTCTCCCACACGTGACCCGGGGTCCTTTTAACGGACTGGGACATGCTGGGCACGGCAGGATCCTTTTCTGTTTAAGCAGACGTAGAGGTTTGCCCTTAAGTGCCTATACCTCAGAAGAGACATTTCAATCTTTTAGGAAGCGTGAAATATTACACAAAAGCAGGGAAACCATGACACGATCGGTGGTGTGGGGGAAAGTGTGGCATAGTGAGAGCCAGTGTGGCATAGTGGTTAAGAGCGTGGGACTGGGACTCAGACGACCCGGGTTCTAGTCCCCGCTCAGTCATGGAGCCAACTGGGTGACTTTGGGCCAGTCACAGCCTCTCAGCCCAACCTACCTCACAGGGTTGTTGTTGTGGGGAGAAGATGGAGGAGGAGATGTAAGCTGCCTTGAGCCCTTTGTAGGAAAAAGGCAGGATATAAACCAAGAAAGAAAGAAAGAAAGAAAGAAAGAAAGAAAGAGAGAGAGAGAGAGAGAGAGAGAGAGAGAGAGAGAGAGAGAGAGAGAGAGAAAGAAAGAAAAAGAAAGAAAGAAAGAAAGAAAGAAAGAAAGAAAGAAAGAAAGAAAGAAAGAAAGAAAGAGGGGAACCTCACAGGGCCGGGGCAGATTTAGCTGATGCCCCTGAGGCGCTGCCCCCTGCACTGGGGCTGACAATGCCGGCGTTTGGCCCGGACTGCTGCCCGTGGTCTGTGGGACTCGCCACACCCAGGAAGCCCCCGTGAGATGTGGGATGCTGGCCAAGCACCTGCAGCAGCCTGCTCCGTCCTGGAGCCTTCCAGATGTGCTGGACCGCTACTCCCATCAGCCCCTGTCCGCCTGTTGGTTGGGAATGATGGGCTGGAATTCACAGAGCATGCCTTTGCCAGGACGATTTGCTGCATCTCCAGAAGAAAAGCGGGGGCAAAACGTACGCGTGAAGGCCAGGTTAGAGCTGTCCCGAACCGCCCAACATTCACGCAGGCCAACGACCACCAAGAGCTCCGCCTTACTCGGCTGCAACCCGCACTAGTCCACACGCACACTCAGGCACCTGCTTTCCCTCTTCTTCCTGGCATCAACTCACCGGGTCATTCTCACTGGTACGGAAGATCGCCCTGGGCTTGTCTGGAGAAAGCTGGGCATCCTGGATTGCTGAAGTGCATTGCCAGCTCCTGGAACCAGAGGGGAGAAAGCAGCCCTGCTCCAGCTGGGGAGAGAAAACGCAGCTCAGAGAGCAAGAAGGTTGCCTGTGCCGACAGAAGCGCCAAAAGATTGCCCCTTCCCCAAGGGGGCAGCCCCTGACGGGAGGGCCTGTCGACATTCTCCAATCTAGTGCCTTCCAGGTGCTTCAGACCTCGTCTCCTCAGGTTCCTGAACACTGGTCACATTCCCAGCGACTGATGGAAAGTGAATTCCAAAAAATTTGGACAGCACCAGGTTGCGAAGGCTCGGACAAGGTAATTCTACGGCTTGAATGGAAACCAGGCCCTTTGAGGAACAAGTGAAAGCTAGGCTGGAGATCAAGGTGGACCGTCGAGGCCAGACTAGATGACCCCCACGGTCCCTTCCAATACTACAGTGAATGTGTGCGTTGGCTTACCCTGTGGGCCTGGCAAAGGAGTCTCCTGAGATTCCTCAGCATCATCCCTGCCAATAAAAACAGCAACACGTATTTCAAACCTGCAGGTGGCAAACAGTTCCTGAGAATGTAAGAAGGGCCCCGTGGGACCCGAGCACAGAGCCACCGAGCCCACAATTCCAAGGGAAACCCACGAGGAGGACCTGAGCGCCGTAATTCCACCTTTCTGCACATTCAAATACCATGTTAAAAACAAGTGAAAAATGCATACAACAGCACAGCTTTCCCCAACCTGATACCCTCCAGGTGTGTGGGATTATGGGAAGTGTAGTTTCATGCTTCTGACGGATGTCAGCCGCCTAGGAAAGGCTGCGATGCCAGCTCAGAATGGCCTTGCCAAATTAGACAGAGCCCACTTTTTGGTTCCACTCATGGCTGGCCAGTTCTTCCAGGAAGCTCACAGACAATGCATGAGCGCAGGCTACAGCCTGGTCCAGTTTCTCCCCATCATCCAGGTGCAAGTGGGACCTGGGGAACAATCCTGTTTGTGGTTCCAGCCAGCCACCCCCTTCTCAGGAACAGTCCATTCTTTCCCACCTCCCTAGATTTTCCATTTTTACCCTCCCGGACGGCAGGCATTCTGTAGCTACAAGCATGGCTAGACCTCATAGCATTGTTTTTCATCCTTCCTGCCCCTCCATTTCTTTGGGGGACCTTCTGCAAGCTTGGGATTCTCTGAGCCTACTGATAACTTCCTCTTCTGCAGGAGGAGTATCATTGTGGCTGTATTAAAAGCCACATTCAGAGAATCGGTTCATTATTAGCACATAGCAACGGTGATAAGCTTGAAGCCCTCTAGGTGTTGGGACTTCTTTACTACTGGCTACGTTAGCTGGGGATGATGGGAGCTGGGTAGGGAGACACAATAGAAGTGGACAACATTATGCAGAATGTGGAGAAAATGGATAAGGAGACTTTTTCTGGATCTTACAATACTACAACCCAATGGGGTCCCCCAAAGAAGCTGACTCAAAGGGGATTTGGAACAGATAAGAAGTACTTCTCTGCACAAGAACTAAAGCAACGCACGTTCTTTTTCAAGACTAACAGACTTATTGTGGCATCAGCTTCTTGGCTCTAGGCCATGGGTGGACTTGACTTTTTTGGTCTACAGGCTGAATGTCTAAGTGGGAAAGGTCCACATTCCATTGGTAGGAAGGGCCAAAGGTAAAATGGCTGAAGCCAAACTACTGTTCTGACCAATTTTAACCCTACTTGGAAACCTCTGTGTGTCAGCTCAAGAGGAAGCAGGGCACGACTGGACAAGGTAAGCGTCAGAAGCAAACAGGACTGATTCACAGGCGTTGCTTCCTCCTCAGACAGCTGGTCAGAGATAAGAGCTTTCCCCTTCCAGGTGCAGATGGAGAAGCAGCAAGCAGGCTGGATGGACATGAGTCAGATGTGGGTCATGGGCCAGAGGTTTCCCATGTCTATGCTAGTCCTTGAAAGCTTTTTCACAGTAAATATTCAGCTGGTGAAAGAGCTCTTCTTGATCTGTTTGGCATACATATCTAGTCAGTAGTAAGTCCAACCAAGTTCAGTAGGGCTTACTCCCAAAATACATGGAACAGGATTACCGGCCTAATTCTCCTGCCCTTTAGGGAAGCCTCACATATGTCTTTCCATAACTATTTTGAGCAAGTTTGTTATATCACATTTCTCAGAATTGTTGAGGCCACTGTAAAAACTTCTGTCACAGAATTCTGAATAAATGAGACATCCTGCCAAAAAATGCATAATGAAAGAGCACATTAATTAGGCTGTAATACAAAATACCTTTACTAGGAAGAATTGTTCATTAAACTTTCTGAGATTTCTGAGTAAATTTGTTAAGAATGGCTTTATTTGCTGTATTTTGTGCCATTCTTTTGTTAAGCTAATGGTCACTGCAGTGGCTTATGACAATGAATTGCATTGCATGGTTGCTTATTATTATTATTTTACATTTTTATACTGCCCATAGCCAAAACTCTCTGGGCAGTTTACAACAATCATCACAGAATCATACACTCAAGTCACCCATCCTGATTCTAACCAGGCTGACCCTGCTTAGCAGCCAAGATTTGGCAAGATCAGGTATGTCAGGCTATGCATCCCATATATTCTTGGTAATTGGAGTGAAGGTTTAACATTCGCCCACAAAGCAGAAGTAGGAAGAGAAAGCTATTCAAAGCATGTTTTTCAAATAAACCCAAGTCCAACAAGTATTTCTCAGATCAGGATAACAACCTTGTTGAATACTGATACAAGCTATCAGTATTAAAAATAGCTTGCAGTACAAGAAATGAAGAATATGGAAGGTAAGGATTTGGTATGTATTACATTTCTATACCATCCAATAGCCTGAACTCTCTGGCTGGCTCACAACAATTAAAACCATAACATACAACAAAAAGCCATCATCTTCAAGATTATTCCTGTGTTAAAACAAAAACAGGAAAGAAGAGAAGCCTATGACTTGGGGGAGTATGATCAAGTCAACCTAACACGGCTGGATTTTCTCAGTGGAGTGTGCTGGAAATCAAGAAAATACCAGCCAGCATGTGCCACCTATTAAAGCACAGCGGTTTAACTGAACATGTGAACCAGCCCGAAATGTAATACTAGTCGTTTATCCAGTGCACATCTCCTATGTAGTTCTTGTTACTTCCCTCTCACCTCAATTGCAGGACAGAAACAAGACAATATTTCTTAAGTCAAGCAAGGGCACAAATCCACTGCAATCCAGAACCTTCTTTTCATTCAAAAGCCTACCTTAGAACTCTGAAATCACACAGTAAACTCTTCAGTAAAAAGGTACAAAAGTCCAAAGAGTCGATTTGATGTTCTGGAAGAAGCTTTATCCCATTCCTGGAATTAAGAAAGGTATTGGCAGTCAATTCCAACTCAACAGGTACAGAAATGGGGGGAAAAATCAGACAACTGTCCCTCCCATGCCTTGTACTAATTCTATTAACAAGATTTTTATATCGGCTTTCAAGACAAAATTTCCAAAGCAGTGTACAATAGAAAACCACATCATCATAGAAACACAGGGAACAGCCTCATATTCAGTCTGTATCTAGCCCTGTATTGCCAACACTGACCAGCAGCAGCTCTTCAGGGGATCAGGCCAAAGTTTTCCAAGCTATAGATGTGAAACTGATCCTGAACTTTCCACTTGCAGAACATCTGCTTTTCCTGTAAGCTACAGCTGCTCTCCAACCTCACATAGTTAAAAACTGAAACACCCAGAAAGAAACAGCAAAGGAAAGGGGGTGGGGGGGAAGCATTATTAGCAACCAATTCTAGAGATTTGGGCTTAGAAGTCATCTATATATGGATGACATCCACGTCCTTTATTAGGTACTAGAATTACTGAATGTCTATGTATTTATTTAGCATTTTTGGTTGATATGCCTATTTCATTAGGATTTTTATTATTCAGGTGAACTGTTACCTACCATCTTTAGCTTTAAAAAAAGCAAGGATAGTTTAAAAGGTGATTACATACTATAAAAAGGAAAGCATAACAAAAGCAATAATTTGTCATGTGCCATCAAGTAGTCTCCAGCCCATGCTGGCCCTACAGATGGATGCCCCCCAAGATGGCCTTTCCTTCACTACCCTGCTCAGTTCTGGTAAAATCAAGGCTGTGGCTTCCTTTAGGAAACTGATCCATGTCATCGTTGGCCTCCATCTTCATCTGCCTTCAAGGTTCCCCGGCATGAGTGTCTTCTCCAGTGAGTCTCGCTTTCTCATGATGTGCCTGACATATGACAGCTTCGGTTTTGTCATTTTAGCTTCTAGGGAAAGTTCTGGTTTGATTTGATCTAGGAGTCACTTGTTCAGCTTTCTGTTGGTGTAGGTCAAAGCTCTTTTCCAGCACCATGTTTTGAACACACATATTTCCTTTGTGCCAGTTTTCTTCACTGCCCAGCTTTCACACCCGTGCATAGTAACCGGGAACACGATAGCGTGGAGGATCATATTTGATTTTTCTGTTCCTTGCTACCCTTCAAAGTCTTAGTTTTCTTCTAACTGCCTGGCTGCAGTCTACCTCTGAACCAGTGACTGAGCCAAAGTATGCAAAATCTTTCACAATTTCATTTTTTATTGTAAACCTTAACATTGTGTAATTCTTCTGTAGTCATGATTTTGTTCTCTTAATGAAACAAACATTCTTTATTTCACTTTCTTCAGGAACCACTGCAATTCATTGCTGCCTTTTGCCAGTAATATCTGAATATCTTTAATTATTGATGTAACTTTTACCAACTTTCACTCTTCCTTCCTCTGATCCTATTCCAGATTGGAAAGGGAGATAAAATATACTCTTGTCTGATGCCTTTGGCTATAAGAAACCATTACTTCATAGTCTGCCCCAATAGTAGCTTCTTGTCCACAATGCAGGACAAGTGCTTCAATACAATACTGAGGCACACTCAGTTTTTTCAGAACCATGCTTCTCAGGACCCACACTGTTAAAGGCTTTGCTGTAGTCTATAATGTTCTGAAATTCTTTGATGTGCTCCAGAAGGCCTGATACTGAAGATGAAACTCAAATACTTTGGCCACCTAATGAGAAGGAGGGACTCCCTGGAGAAGAGCCTAATGCTGGGAACAATAGATGGCAAAAGAAGAAGGGGGCGGCAGAGGATGAGGTGGCTGGATGGGGTCACTGAAGCAGTCGGCGTGAGCTTGGGTGGACTCCAAGGATGGTGGAGGACAGGAAGGCCTGGAGGAATGTTGTTCATGGGGTCGCAATGGGTCAGATGCGACTGGCATAGCATAGCATAGCAGCCAACATACATTTGCAATCTGAAAAATCCCATAATAACAATCGTAATTCTTAGAACAGTCTGTTTATCAAGACAAAACCATTCCTACAACTCCATGGCTGAGTGGGATATACTGAAAGCTTCAGAATGCTTTTCTGTCTAAATATACATAAATTCGCACCCTTAAAGTGCATGTTGGGAAAAAGCTTACAATTACCAGCATGCCCTGACCATGGCTAGGTGGGGCATGCTCGGAGTTGTAGGCCTTTTACCCTGTCCAAACGTGTACAGGATTGTGCCCTTAGTATAGTTTTCATTTACAGTTTTCCCGCCATTCCCACGAACATCCCCGAGAGGCTGATACGGAATCTCCCTCTCTTTCCTGCTCATCACAACAACCCTGTGAAGTAGGCCAGCACAAGAGGCCGCAAAACCCCTGATAGCGAGTTTCATGGGCGTGTTTATTATGAGTTCGCATGAAAAAGAGATCGAGGGGGCAAAAAAAGAGGGCACCGCCGCGATCGGTTGGAACAAGAGCTCGGTCAGAAGCGATCGGAGGAGCAACTCCGGATTAAAGGGGCCAGAAGAGCAGGAAAAGGCAACCCATCAAACTCAACGGGAAGAAGCAGTACCCCCAGCTCTGGGCCCACCCAGCCGCTGTTAGTTTAAAGATCACCTCATTGGATTATTCACTTCCAGCCTTCCAGGGCGCCGCCATCTTTATTTTCTCGACAGGACGCGCGGGGGGGGGGAGAGCACGCGCGAGAGCCGCTTTGCCCCGCACACACCTAAGGGCGCGCTCAAGGGACACACTTCCTCCGAGCGCGAATCGGAAAAAGCGCGAGCAGGCGATGGGGACGGAGAGAGCGCGCGGGGGACGGAGCGAGGAAAGGAGCCGCTCTCATCCTAACCCGCTCCCGGAGCACGCTGATTGGCCGAGGCACAAGCGTATTCGGTAGGCGAGAGGGCGGGCTTGGCCTGCTGCCCGGCTTGATTGGCAGGCCGCTCGCGCGCCCTGGAAGGCAGGAACAGGCGAAGGTCGAAGTCGAACCAAACAGGGAGAGGGGCATACACACATACACACGCACGCACGCACGCACTCCAGGCGCGAGAGGGAGGAGTGGGCGTGGCCAAGGGGCGCGCGCCCGTGTGCGAGCGAGAGCGAGCGACTGGCGAGCGAGAGCGAGCGAGGCAGCCAGCCAGCCAGCCGGCCAGCCAGCCAGCGAGGCGCGAGGCCCACGCTCGCTCGGGGGCGCGCGGGCGGGCAGGCGGGCGCGCGCGCCGAGGCAGGAGCGCCGCTGCTGAGGTTGCCGCCGCCGCCGCCGCCGCCCCCGCCGCCGCCGCCGTCGCTGCTGCTGTTGCCGCCATTTTGGATCCGCGGCCGCCTTCAGCGCAGCAGCGCCAGGAGGGGGTGGGGAAGGAGCGAGCGAGCGAGACGGGCGGAGGAGAGTTGCTCTGTGCCGCCGCCGCCGCCGAGACCGCGAGGGCGGATCGCTTGCCCGCCGAGCTCGCCCTGGCCTTGCTCGCCCGCCCCCTCCGGCGGGTGGCCCCGGCCTGGAGGATGAGGCGGCGCGGAGGAGCCCCAGCCGGGCCTCGCTGTGATACGGTGAGTGAGGAGGTGGAGGGCCCCGTCCGCCCGCCCGCCCCTCGGTCGGTCCGACCGTCCGTCCGTCAGTCGCTGACAGCTAGGCCCCGCTCGGCCGCCGCGACGGAGGCCAAGCGCGGAGAGGGGCCCTTGGCGGACCCGCTTCCCCGGCGGGGCGAGGAGGGGGCGGGCGAGGGAATGAGAGAGAGCCAGCCCGGCGGCGGCGCCTCCTCTCGCCGCCGCCGCCGCTGCTGACAGCCAGGCCAGGCCTCTCGCCCGAGGGGGGAGCAGAGGGGGCCCGCTCGGCCTCCCCCCTCGGCGTGGGGAGGGGAGGAGGCGAGGAGGCGGCTGCTCCTGCGGGGCTCGGTTGGCACCTCCTGGAGCGCGATGCGCGTGCGAGTCCCATCTCCCTTCGCTTGGGAGAAGTGCTCCCGCTAGTCATGGGGGTGTGTATTCCTGGCAGGGTCTTGCAGCGTGGGGTGGGGGCGATGTGTGTGTTTTGCAGGGTGGGGAAGAGGGAGGTTTCCTTGTGTGCATGGAATCCTTGCGCTTCGCTTGTGAGGGTGTTTGTGTGTACACAAACGGATGCATGCACGATTGAATTCATGCGGCTTGGATTGTGGAGTTTTTGCAGACTCACTTTTGTGTGTGGGCTTGCGTGGAAGGGGGCTGCCTGTGCCTTGATTTCTTCTAGCCTCGCTTTGGGGGGTGGGTTATGGAGTTGTTGAAGCCTTGTTTGAAGAGAAGGGGGGTTGCAACTGGAATTCTCACGGGCTGCCTTCAAGGTGCAAGTTGATGCGTGCAATTCTTCCAGCTTCATGGGGGTGAAGGAAAGGGATTTACCCCTTCTGGTCCCTGTTTAAAGTGAAGGTTGGATATCCTCCCACAGGGAGACAGCATCCCTCCTTTTTAAGGGAAATGCTTGATTTATTTTTTTTCACAGGGGTGTGTCTCTGTGTAGATTTCTAGTTGAATTCTGGAAAGGTTGGTGTCTGATGCAGATCCCTTATGGCGAGCAAGACTGGAATCGTGGTGGTTGCTTCGGACTGGGTGGGTGGGCTACTTGACAGCCAGCCCCCCGTTCCCATAGCTGGCACCTGTGACCGGAGGGTTGATGATAAGGTTGGTCACTAGGAACCGGAGTTTGGTGAATGAGAAAGGTGTGTGTGTGTGTCTGTGTCTAAGAATGGTTGATTCTTTGGAACCAAGGACCACCTCAGAGATGCCACATTTCCTGCTCGCCAAATACTTCCTTGATAGGGAATGGCATAGTGTGTGGTGTTTTCTCACATGCACGTGTGTTCTGCTGCATGTACAGTTGTTGGGAAATTCACAACCAATGACTGCTTCCAGGCAGGTCTACACATGACGATAGATCATCAAACATGACAGGTTGCACGTGCCACGCACACTAATTTGTCTTTTCTGAAGTGTCCTTTGGCCTGTTTTGTGGAGTTCTCCTGTTTAACTGCTCCCAGAATCCGTGATTAGTGCCTGGCAGCCTTTGGCCTAATCCTTTGCTCCTCATTCTATTAATGCGATGAACTGAAGTGCATGTGTGCATATTCTTTCTGTCACATTTGCCTCTTCTCCCATAGGCAGTCCCAAACCATATGCCTTGCTCAAAATTTAGTTTGTAGATTTCTCTCTTCTCCATCCACCCCACACACCTCTTATAAGATGCATACAAGAAGGAACAGGTGCCTCTCTAGTCTTTAAGTCTGTTGTGACAGTGGCCACCCAGATGCGCAATCCGCCAGCAAAGCAGGAGCGCTCTCCTGTTGCTATTTCCCCACAACTAGTATTGATTAGTAGCCACTCAATAGCCTTTTCCTCCATGAAATAAACATATGGGCAAAGTGGACCTGTTCTGATCTCCATATGGAGAGGGAGAAGCAGCCTGGCTTCTATTTGTTCTTCAAAAGCTGTATTATTGGAGGTTATTCTGAATAGTCTCCATTTTCTCTTTGTCAGCTGCTGTTGTGTTAATATTTCACTGATATGAATACGATCCCCCTTTTTTCTTTGATATCTGACAGTGTGCACCCTTTTTATCCATTTAGTCCACATGATTCTAGGACAAGAACTCCTTAACAATCAGGTTATATGTTACTTCCTAGTTAATGTTTTAGAGCAGAGGTGAGCGACTTGGTGCCTTCTGGATATTTCTGCCTACAACTCCAATTATCCCATATCATTAGCTGTGCTGGCTGTGCCTGATGGGAGTTGTAGGCCAGCACCTGGAATTTGATTACAGGTGTTTTGTTTGCAAGCCTTCTGGGTAGAGAAAATTGACACTGTGGCTTTAATGCATTGTTGGTATTCAATAAACACTACATTGTCCTTGCGTCTTGCTGTTCAGCTGGAATGCTTAGACCAATTTACATGAAATGAAGCTCCAGACCATGGTTGGGTCTATATCCCCTTAAGTTCATTATTGCATTCCCTGCTTAGTCTTGGTGAGCCACTCCAGGATCCTTTTTCTCAGTTGAAGAGATGGGTAGAAAGGCTTTAAATTCAATCAGGACGGTCTCCCATGTTCTCTCTTGAAGTTCAAGGCCTGTGGCTTGACATACAAGATTGGAAAGCTAACATACACGCATCTCTTTCTGAGAGGAGTAACATGGCATTCAAAGTTGGTGCTCTGTGTGGAACTCAGCCGTGCTTATTACTGATTTAGCGCACCTCTGTTGATGGATTTTAGGATCTTTAGGATCTAGGATCAATCTTACACGTGGGGTGTGTAAGATTTTGTCCTTGCACCTTTCTGGTGCTTGAGGTTAAGCTGAGTTGTACAGAGATTTGAACTTGGTTCCAGTTCAGCACTTTTGTCTGCCAGATCGGTTCTTTTATCGCACCTTCTGTTTGATTTCCGAGACTGCAGAGGGGGTGCCCTGGATGAATGACCGCTCCTTCGCCTCCTGCTAGCACAGGACCAAGTCCCTTCCCAGTCCAGTTGATGGACAAGCACCCACAAAATCCCCTTCCCTTCCTCAGGCTTGCACAGAGGGCTTGGGGAAGAAGCAAGGTATTTTCTCCCTGGTGTGAGGAGTGGAGAAGATAAGAAACAACGGGAGTCCCTCCTCTGGCTTGAGAGGTCCTGTGATTTCATACCTGCTGAAAAATGGCTGTAGAAGCAAGACCTCTAGGATATGGACCTGTGTGGTTCCGAGCATCCCCCTTGGTATACTTGCCCCCTCTGGGCTCACGAGCGGGCAAGTGAATGTCTCCTGACTGATTTCCCTATGAGTCTGCTTTAAAAGCTTACATATTCCCATGGCAGAGTCACAGGTAGAAGACACCCGCCTCACGTGGGGCCAATGCAACAGTAGCATTTTCTACTGGTTCACGTTGGCATTTGCACGAGGAATTCTAAAGGACAACATTTTTCCCCCCTTCTCCACCCCATAATATTGGCGCTCAGGGATATCCAGTAGAGTTTAAAAGTGGGAGATTCAGGACAGAGAAAAGGAAGTACTACTTCAAACTGTGGAATTTGTTACCACAAAATGCACAACTGGTTGCCAAACTGGGCAGCTGTACAAGGAGATTGCACGGCTTCATGCAGGATAAGAGACAGTGTGGTATAGCGGTTACTGTGCTAGACTGGGACTGGGGAGATCCGGGCTCTAGTCCCCACTTGCCATGAGGCTCACTGGGTCAATGTGTGGTGGTCACTGCCTTTCAGCCTAAACTACCTGTGAGGATAAAATGGGGAGAAGCAGGTAAACTGCCTTGGGTTCTTTGGAGGAAAACCAGCGGGATATAAATATAATAAATAATAGGGCTACTAGTCTTGATGCCTTATATCTCATCAGTTTGCCTCTCAGTACCAGTTGCTTCTCATAGACATCTAGCTGGACCCTGCGGGAACTAAATGCTAGACTCGGTAGGTTTTGGTCTGATCCAGCATTCATAAGTTTAGAGCTTTCGAAATTGGCGAGGAGAGTTGATAGCTAATATTTTTGGAGGGGTTGTTTTACTCGGGGGGTCCACACTTGGGTGAAACCTGTCCCTAGAAGTTTCTTTCTAGCTAATTTAGAGTGAATAAATCTTGTACTTTCACTGAGTACACGTGAAACAGGATTGCAAAAAGGTTACATTCTTAAGCATAGGCCACATGACCTGAGCGTTTCCAGCTTAGATGTAGGCTAAAATTGGAGTTCGAGAAATACTTCTGAATGACAAATGGGTTCGAATAGCATTCTTCTAGTTCTTGACTTGAATCAAGAGAAAATAGCAGGGGTCCACTCCATCGTGTTTATCCAAGGCAAGTGTGGTAATGTACTTGCAGGACAGTTTGCATTTTAAGCCCAGTATGGTTAGTGGGACTTCTCTCGAGCGTCCGTAGAAGTGCTGCCTTGCTCCTGGTGAAATCACTACAACTTTGCAAGCAAATCTGCAAAAATTCCTGGGCCAAGAAAAACAATAATGACCAGCATGCCCACACAGACCAGCAAATGGCTGCTGGCTCATCAGCAGCCATGGAGGAGGAAAATCCATTTTATAGAAGTATGCATCCTTGGACACCTTACAGTGATCTTTACTAACCAAATAAATGATTCTTTAAAAAACCTTAATGAGCGGTTCCTATTTCTTAGTATACATGGTTAGCACTGGCATTAGTGGCCCCCGTAAGTCTTCAAGTTGTAGTATATAGAATGTTGTCCTAGTGAGCCCCCCGTGCCCAGTTTCCTTTCTCACCTGTATGAGCACAGAGAGCCAAGGGGACCAACCCTGAGTTCCTTCTCTCTCTGGGGAGTCAGCGTATGCTGTCAAGTTTGACATATTTCTGTATGAGTTCTTCAGAAATTCAGTCCCTGAAGTAAAATTAGTCATGAGGGGGGAGCGTTGGTAGGGGGCTTACACGATAAGCAAGCTTTTGAGCTTAACCAGAGCTCTTCATCCAGCCTGAAGGAAGAGTTGCAGGGAATGCAAAAGCCCACTGAACATTTTGCGGACTTTTTTCTTGGTACGAATAAAGGCCTTTCGGCTACAGTTGGACTTCTTTCCCTAATAGATGTAACAGCTTCCTGTAAGTTTAGCGTGTGCTCATATTCCTGTCTTTCCAGATGAGCCTGAGAGTTGGAGAGGCAGCACTGGTCAGGCAGGGAATGGACCAAAGGGTGGCTTTACCGGGGCATCGAAAGATACTGCCATGATGTAGAGCGGGAGCAGGGCAGCGGTTGGTTTCCAGACCGAACGGACGTCCCTAGCTCAGGCCTGCCTCTGCCTCAGGCAAGCCCCTCTATCTCAGCTCTGCCCCTACCTGCATACATAAATATGGCTGACCTAGATTCATGCTGTCAGGATCGCAACAGGTAACGCACCAAGCATTTTGAACGTGCCAAAGAGCCGTATCAGTGCGACTGTGGGTCGCAGATGTCTTCAGAAGCACGCGGAGCGGAGGATTCTGGGAACTGGAGGAGAGGCAATGGCTCTCTCGGGCCTCTGGGATCGCGGTGTGCGGCTCTGCGAGGCTGGGGCCGTCGCTGCTGCGTGGGGAAGCTCAGGGCGTCTTCCGCAGGCTCACCTGGCGAGAGGCGATGCTCTAGGAGGGAGCCGCTAGAGGGCACCTGCACAGCTTGTGCGCCAGGTCTCCGTCTGGGCGAAGGAAGGAGGGCTGCCCAAGGCACTTCACAGCAAAGAGTTAAATACCAAGCGCACTGCTACAGAAACATTTGGAAAACAGAGCTGTGATTCCAATCGTAATAGCAACTACCAACCATGTTTGTAACTTAAAAAAAAAAAAAAGCGTCTGACAAGCCAGCTTGAAAGCTGCCTAAATAAAATGGGCTTTAGGAAGAAGAGAGGGAAATCGATATCAATACAGTTTTAATCAAACGTACAAAAGCACGAGGCAAATAAAAACTACTTAACCATGCATGGAAAAGAATTATTCATATACAACACAAAAGCCTGAAACGTTGTAGCCTTTATTGGATTTCTGTCCGTATCCTCCCCCTTCTCGAGCATTCTTGTAAGTCGGGAGTGGGGAATCGGATCTTTTTGGACCCCCAATCCCCATGAGCCCCAACAAGCCTGGCCAGCAGTGAGGGATTGCATAAGAAACTACCTTCCGCAATCCAGAACACTGGTCCAGCTTGCCAGTGCCGAATCGCACCGGTTTGCCAGGATTTCTGGTGTAACCTTTTTCCAGCCTACCTGGAAATCTGGAGATCAAATTTTGGACCTGTTGCAAAGCATATATTCTAACACTGAGCTGCAGACCCTCTCCATATCATCCAGAACTTTGGAAGACACCTGTTCCCCACCTGTTGTTCTAAATCATAAGGACCAGAAACTTTTTCTTTTCGTTCATAAGCAACTGTTTGCATTATGCTTTCAGCTCATCTTCTCCCCAACACTTCCCCATTTATTGTAAAGAAGGGGGCTGCTCCATGCATTTTTAAAATTCTGTAATGTTTATATCCTTCCATCTTTGTTTGTTTTTATACCTCTTACCATATCTGAAAAATACGAACAAAAGAACCTGCCCCTGTAAGAATGCATAAGGCTCTGAACTGAAGTACTTTGTTTGTTACAGACTTGCATGAAGCTGTCTGCTCAGTCATCTGGTAAATAAGAATTGCCTCCAGGCAACTAGTCTGGAAAAAGTTAGAAAACCTGGTTTTCATCTATATTTTAAAAGACTATGATATGTATGTATGGACAGGATAGAAACTTTCTGGTCTTACTTACGAGACCGTTCTACGTAAATGCCTGTTTATTTTTCTGTTTCTTTGCAAAACAGAGAATCCTGTGGCACTGTGAATGATCCATGTTTACTCAGAGATCTTTACTCTCTGTGTTTCTGTGTTTCCCCCCACAGTGAGAAGATGCCAGCGACAAGCTTTCGGGAAGACCTGCCTACAGATCGCAGGCCTGCTCTGTTCTAAAAAGAAGAAGAATAATTGCCGCAGCCCGTACTGTGATGGACCCTCAGAATACTGCTATGTTAGGGCTGGGTTCCGGCTCTGAAGGGTTTTCTGGGAAAAGCCCCTCTGCGGTTGGCGCAGGTGCGACTGGAGGCAGGAGGGAGGCAGAGGTAGATGGTAGCGCGAAGGAGGAGGAAGAGAAGAAGAGGAGCCGCGAGGGGAGCGCTGGCGACGAGGCTGGCAAGGATGAGGGCGCGGCGGATGCCCAGCAGCAGTTTTCTGTGAAGGAGACAAACTTTTCGGAGGGGAATTTAAAACTGAAAATTGGCCTCCAGGCTAAGAGAACTAAGAAACCCCCCAAGAACCTGGAAAATTATGTCTGCCGGCCTGCCATAAAAACCACTATCAAGCAACCCAGGAAGGTGCCGAAGGTGGGGAAGATGACGGATGAGAAGAGCGACCCCAGTCCTCCGCAGCCTGTGAGTTATGCTCATTCCGTGTGCTTACAGGTCCCAAATCTTTCCTCCGGCAGATGAGGGGAGGCGGGGGGTGGGGGCGAGAGGCTCGTGGGCACCAGAAACCGTCAGCGCTGCGTGAGCTTGGAATCTGATCTGTGGGGCAGAATTTGGCTTCCAGGGAACCAGAATCTGTTTTCAGGAAGGGAAAGGGAGAGCGCTGCGATCGCAGATGGAGAGTGGGTGATCCTCCAGTTGTCATTGCACTGCAGCTCCCGCCATCCCTCAACATGAACTGTGCCCGACTGGGGCTGATGGGCATTGCCGTTCAGGACAGCTAAAGGGATGCACCTTCCAGTAGCGTAGCCTGTAATCTTTTCAGATTCACAATAATTGCCATCATTCTATGAAGCAAGCTGCCCTCTTCCCTTCACCCTCTCTCTCTCACTTCTATCCCCTCCCTCAAAGAGCAGAACAACTTTAGGTATAGCTTTGTGGCTAGGGATGATGGGAGTGGCAATCCAACATATCTGGAGGACGGCATGCTGGGGAAGGCTGTTCTGAAGTTTGTATCTTGGTATTCCAAGATGTCTGGGTACTGTCTGGTGAAATGTCAAAAGCTAGTGTGATTTCCCTGGGCCTAGCTCTTGTCCCCAGAGTTTCTCTGTTCCCAGCCATTCTCTTTTTCCCTCCCCCCATTTTCTTTCTGCCCTTGTCGAAATAACCAAGCCTTAAGACCTGGATTTCAGATTCAGGGGAGAAACCCACCATTGCCACTGGTCTGTTCAGATTAGCCTAGAAGTTACCCCTCTTTTCCTACAACACTCATCGAATTGTTTTCCCTTAAAGTAGCCCTATAATAGTAGCATTTATATAAATGCTTCATTTTTGTGCTAGCGTGTTGCAGATACTTTATCTCAGCAATCTTTACAAGAATAGTGAAAATGTAGACCAGTCATAGTAACCCCATAATACAGATGGATTGATTGAGGTTTGCCTGAGGCTTCCTGCGGCGCTTGTGACTCTACAGAGATTTGTACAAGAGACTCCCAGGTTGCTCCATTATCCCAGATCTAATGATTTTAGTAACTGCAATTGTTCAGTCATGGTCAGTCTGCAAAAATGTTACCTTAGGATGACCCTTGGAAGTAACAGTATGAATTAGTCCTTGCAAAGCATAACAGGAGTTTGTTTGGAGAAACAACTATTTTTTGTTTGCTTGTTTTATCTGTAAATGTTGTGTTTGTTTCCCCAGAAGAACTTAGTTGTTCAAGCAACTAAATGTCTCTGTGAATGCTAGTCCATTAGACATGGCAGACTTACCAGTTTAGACCAATGGCTTATATTTCAGGAGGAGTTTTAAAAGGTGCTGTGGTGGGTGGGGGGAGGGATCCAGGACCTCTTTATTCCACAGCTGGGCAGCCTGGTAAAATTGACCATGTGCTCATCAGCTTCATGAAACTTTCGGAGTAGTTTTCATGTAATCTCTTTCCATAAGCCTGATGTTTCCCCATGGAGAGCCAGAAAGCCATTCTCTCCAGAGAGAAGGTGGCTTTTGTGGTGGGGCAAGAGGCATTTCAAAGTGGGGAGGTGACAGGAGAGGGTGGGATAGGAGCTTTCCTGATGCCTGTCCCAACTCCCCTTCTTCCTCCTCCAAAGTCTAGCGGAAAAACCTGTCTAGTGACAGGTGCAGGCTGGGAGGATGGGGAGGCAAAGATTCCCTCTGACATCCCTCCCACTTCCCCCTGGATGGCCGTAAGCTTCCCAGTTTGGGGATTCACAGCCATCTCCATAGGATCGTGCCCTCCATCCAAAACCATTTGGCTGCCATTTTTTTTAGAAGCAGCGGACAGCACGTGCCATCTCAGAAGAGTCGTTCTGTCTTCCTTCCTTATATAAATATATGGGTTCTTCAAACCTATGGAAGCTGGATCAGTCAGTCAGTGACAACTTATGCGACAGATCAGCTGAGTTTTCTTGAAAGCAGGTTGACATCTCTAATGATGATATTGATTGGTGTGTGTGTGTGTGTATTGGGGGCAAATGCAAATTATTTTATTCATCAGAGAAAGGCAGTATATAAATACCTTACAGAAAGAGTCCAGAGTAGTGTCGCCTCAAAACATCCAGGAAAAAATGTAAAAGACAATCAGTGTAAAAGCCAAACACTGATGAATACAGCAGATTGAGATCTAAATTTTTTATTTACTTATTTCTATGCCACCCGGTTGGCTCATGCTGTCGGAGTGATTTGCAAAAACCTAGCTGAATAAAAAGGGGGTTAGCCAATGCCTCAAGGGTAACTCACTGGGAGTCAAGTTGGACGCTTGAGGCGAGAGGGTTCCATAACCAGAGTGCCACAGCTGTCCTCGGTCGCCACCCATCGTGCATCCAAGAGCGGGGGATGCTGAAGAATATTGGTCCTAGACATGGGCACATTCAGTAGATCTGGGTGCAAATCTGGCCTCCGTTGCGTTTTAGCAAGAATTTACCAAAATCCACCTAGTTCTCCTTGTTTGGAACAAAATAGTAATGACAATGATTTATTTTGTTTCTGTGCTGCCCCATAGCGAAAGCTCTCTGGGTGGGTATAAAGCAAAACAATAAAATATAGTACAAATACCATAAAAGTGACCGTGTTCAAATGAATTTAAAATAACAGAAAATACAGGGCGGAAAGACCCAGCAAAGAAGGATCACCTGGATAATCCCATCAGACCACAGAAGAACCAAGCAGATCTTTCAAGGTCTCTGCATTGAGGGCTGTCTTGACTTGACACCAGAGAGATGGCCAATTTGGCACCAAGTGGGCTGCAGCCGGGAGGTTGTTCTAAAGATGAAAACAATACAGCGGGAGAAACCGATGTGGATAGATGTGTCCAGCCAGGCCCGGGGCTTCAGACAGTTTTTTTAAAGTCTGTATTGGACCCCTACATAGTCAGCCAGCTGGGTTTTTAATTAGGGCTGCCGCTTCATTTTCTGGAAAGGCTCCTCATCTTGAATGGCCTCATGGGATGCAGGCACACCGTGGATTCCTCCATTCTGGGAATAGTGGTACCTATTGATTTTGGAGGGCACATGATTACAGAGTTGTTTGAGTTTGCTTTTTGACAAGAAGCTGCCAAAATTCCGCCAAGTTCTTCATATTTGGGAGGGAAAGAACTCGAACTTTCAAACATTTAAATGTGAGGGAATGTAAAACTGACACCCCTAGCTTACAAGCATTTTTTATAAAGATAGGTGTTCTTTTTGGTACCTTGGAGATTGCTTAATGGCATGTAAATGCACAAATCAATTATCACCCTTTTTGCTTCAGATGGGTTGAATTTCCCCTCGAAATTTATCCTACAGCAGCCTTCCCCAACCTGGCCCCCTCCATATGTTGGGCTAGAACTCCCAGCATCCCTCAGCCAGCCATACAAATGATGGGCTTATAAAGAATCTCATCCTCAGCCATGGTGAGAAAGTCCTTCAGGCTGAGAAATGTCACAAATATTGGATCTTTGGGCCTCAGATGACTAGCACAGGTCAGTCCCTGGAGATTTGTTTTGCTCCTGTGCTTTGCACATTGCGCAGGAGTATGGGATGGCTCTAATGTTATTTTTAGCATGTGGTTATTTTCTGCATCGTGAGCCTTGGGGGCAGTGACCTTTTAAAAACGTCTTTTTTGTACATTGCTTGGTATATTTGAAAGCACTTCATAAATAATAATAGGACATAGCAAGGGCAAACGGAGGCACTTCACTGGCTGTTAAGCTGGGTGTATGAAGGTGCTCACAGTGCAGTTGTTTCCTACTACAAAATTATGCTCGAAGTGAAAATTAGGTGCTCCAATGCAGCCTTAGCATCCCAAGTGTTTTATAACTTTTATCATCTCTGCAGTGTAACTCTGCAAGGGAATGGTCCTGTGGACCTTAAACTGTATCAGAGGATTCTGTGATCAGAGGTCAGAGACGGCACTCTAACATTGAAGGCAGGAATTTGAGTTCGTTCTCTCTCTCTCTCTCTCTGTCAGAGAAAGGGGTGTTTCGGTGGGTGGGAAGGGGAGGAGATGCGGGAGGACAGGATAAAAGTTCTCCTCATGCCACTTCAGCCTCCTTTCCTCTCTCTCCATTGTGTCCCAGCTAGATGTTCAGCGTGAGGAGGCTCATAAGCTTCCAATTTCAGGGACTTGTAATCATTGAGAGCACAATCTGCAGGATTGTTCCCTGAGGTATGGAATTTTTCCCTGCATGAATTGGGAGAACTTGACATATTGTGTAGAGTTTTGGTCTTGGAAAGGATATTGTAGAGTTGGAAAAGGTGCAGAAAAGGGTGATCAAAATGCACAAGAGGCTAGAATAATTCCCCTAAGAGGAAAGCTTACCACATCTGGGGCTGTTCATCTTAGATCAAAAAAAAAAAAATTGAGCAGAGAAATCATTAGAGATGTGCAAAATTATGCATCATGTGAAGAAAGATGAAGGGGAACATGTTTCTCCTTCGTTCTTAATACTAGAACCCAATGAGTCCATCCCATGAAATTGATTCGGTCCAACAGTGGTATTCTCTGTACGAGATGTTCAGATGACTTTTTAAAAGGAACTGATTGAATTTGTGGCGAAGAAAGCTATTGGTGTCACCAGTCCTGATAGCTGTATGCCTGTGAGCACCGTTTGCTGGGGAACATGTGCCAGAGGGTATAAGTCTCCTCCTGGCACGTTCCCCATGATCAGCTGCTTGTCTGCTGAGCTAATGAAATGCTGAACTACAAGAAACTTGGCTTGATGCAGCAGGACCGGCAAGAGCGCAGGGACTGCAGAAAAGACAGGTGAAGCTGCAGATGTCAAGTGTCTTGGAAGCGCAGGAAATTGTCAAGCTGCTTCACGGTCTTACGCATCCCTGGAGGAATCCTTTGGTCTCCACCGTCTCAGAGCTTGAGGCCGAATTTGAAAGTCGACCCCAGAGCTTGTGTGTTTACACAGGTCCCTCTCCATTTTTCAAGTTCATCTTCTACAAAGAGAATTCTGGTGGAGCGAGAGGCA